AACTTTAATAGAACATAGCAGGGTTCTTGATTTTGTGTTTTGAAGGGTTCTCTTAAAGGAAAATTTGGTTCTACTCAGTACAAAATTATTCACTAATGTTTATTTTAACTACTTTTATATAAAACGTCATTTTTTAAGACAAAAATGTCACACTGCTGCATTCAAAGGAAGATTTGTTGCTAGCCAGATCTGTTCAATAATTAGCACTTTATGTCTGAATTATAAGGGGTGTTTGGAAAAATTGTTCCATAATGAAATATTTTTTGAAAAATATTCAAAGTAGTCTTCAAATTAAAAGATTAATTTTCCTGTCTAACAAAATCAAAAATTCAATTTTTTTTCAAATTAAAGCAATAAAATATGAAAAAAAATCTATCAACATGTCCTTAAAACACCCACGCGACAGATCTAGAACGGCTAGTCAATTTATGTGAAAATGTAGGATTATTTCTACCTTTTGTTTCTTCACAGCTTAACACTGTGGAGATTAAAGATAAAAGAAGTATTTGCAGTCACTTCTCAAAAAATGGGTTTGTCATACTAGGTATATTGGAATTCAATCCTGACTTGATAAATTTTGTATAGGTACTGTATATTGATCTGAGTACTATTTATGTTCCCCAAACGGAGTTTGGGAACATATTGTTTTTACTCGGTTTCTTATTATTATTATTATTATGTCGCCCCGAACGAAGTCGGGGACGACATATTGATATTGTACGCATGTTTTTTTTATCCAGGCTGTTTCTCGGAGATGGCTGGGACAATCTTCCTGAAACTTTCCTCAAAGGACGATCACTGGTTGTAGTTGTGCAGTGAGGTTGTTCAGTTCCAATATGTCTACCGTTGCCATGGAAACCTGTAAAAAGCGACAAATTTTGTCCGAGAGTGTTCTCTCTGGTCCCTTAATCGTTCGTCATGAAACTTTTCTTATTTTAATGATTAGTATCTGTAGTTATGCAACTCGCATTTAAAATTTTCAAATAATCGATTATTGCCATGGAAACCAGGTGAAAGTCAAAATTATTTAATTTCGATTTTCTCAATAACTACGCAGGCAATCGTTTTGAAACTTTCAGTGTTTATTCCTTGCAATGTGTCAAAGTGATTTCTACTTTTAAAAAAATTGTAATGAGTCGCTCACAGTTGCCATAGAAACGAAACAGAAAAAAAGATTCAGATGTACACATGTGTTCTCCAAGGTCTAGGTCAAAGGGTCAAAGTTCTTGGTGTCCAATAAAAGTTCTTTTCACAAGGATTACATATTTGAAATACGAAAGCCCTAGCCCTTACCGTTCAAACGTAAGGTACTATGTTCAAGACACCCCCCCCCCTTTTTGAAGCGCACTGCCAGGTAGAATACACAGATATAACATATACAATTTACAGGTAACGTTTTAAAAGTTTCATTCATAAAATTCAGTTCTCCTGAAGTGATTTGATAGTTTGCCAACAGTCATTCTTCTTCTGTCTTGTCTCTAGATTTTATAATTATTTTGTTTTTTCTATATAAAAAGTAACGATTGTCAACTTCATTTATTAGCATTTTGCGTTGTTTGGTATATCTATTACTCGTATATTATTAATTTCATTAAATAGTGCAAGAATAAATTAGAAAAATTGGTACGTTATTTCCATAGTTTTTATTCATTCATAAATCTTTGGATCCGCTCCTATACAGGTGCGCTAAGCCTTGATCACTACTGTAAACAAAACATTCATCTCGCCGAAAATATTCATGATTCCGCTAAACTGAGAAAGTTTACACATGATTTATCATCTCATAAGAAACATCAGACCTGTACACTGCAGAAATGCTCGAATTGAAGGTGGCATGTCAGATTCGTTTTCCGGCAGAACCTCCAGAAATTAAAGTGAAAGTAGGGAATTTTCTGATTTATCACTGGCGTTTTAATACACAAAATAATTCGGCTGATCTTCTTAATAAATAATATTTGCCAAGCTTTTTTGGTAGGAAAGATACTGCCAATTAACAAGTATGAGGCTCAGTTCAGTACATCTGCCCAATTTCTTGTATGCAAGTCTGCAATTTTGGACTTGTAATTTTTTTCCTGCACTACTTTACAGATTCTAAAAATAATGAGTGGGATGTACCCAATTAAGGTCTTCCGTTTCTAACGGAAAGAACTGATCATACGACTGGATGGTTGTCAAAGCTTAGCTAATGGACCATTGTTTTAGTGATGATAAAAATGAAAGTCTTGTCCAATACGGGGCGACATATGCTATTGCTTGCAATAGCAGACTTTCTAGTTATTATTATTATTCTTTTTTTTCTTCTTTGTTCTCCGGTACTTTTTTGTCCGCGAGTGTTCTCAGAAACTGTTCACCCAATTGAGCTAAAAGCTTTTTAGGGTTAATAGGTGTGTAGTGTAGGTGTGCAACACGAAGGTTATTTTGCGCGCATACGCATGCACGTGCGTGGGCGTGAAATGAGTGAATTGACTGATATACTTAATATAGCTATTACATTTACATTTTTTGATGAAATGATTTGAAACTCATTATATAAAGATATATTAATACTGTAGATAATGTGACACTGTCAAATTAGCACGAACTCACGCGCATGCACGTGCGCTTCGCTCTGATTGGCTGAAACAAAAAGCTCAATATCTTTTCTGTTTTTTGACGAAATGCTATGAAATTTAAAACATAGGCTTACTTTAGGATGTACTACAATATGATATATAACAATTGTCATGTAAGCACGCGCATGCACGTGCACTGCAATCTGATTGGCTTAAACTTTAAGTGGCTATAACTCCTTTGTTTTTCAACCAAACAGTATGAGATTTAGAACATAGACAGACATAATGGACTCCTACAAGGCGGTGAAGTCGTCATGCACATGCATGCACATGCGTGCACTTGTGCTTTGCTGTGATTGGCTGAAACAAAAATCGCAATATCTTTTTTAATTTTTGACGAAATGCTTTGAAATTTTACACATAGTCATGCATTAGGATGTCCTACAATATGATATATAACAGTTGTCATGAAAACATGCGCATGCACGTGCGCTGCAATCTGATTGGCTTAAACTTTAAATGGCTATTACTCCCTTGTTTTTCAACCAAACAGGATGGGATTTAGAACATAGACAGTCATAATAGACTCCAACAAGATGGTATGGTCGTCATGCACGTGCGTGCACGTGTTCTTCACTCTGATTGGCTGAAACAAAAATCTCAATATCTTTTCCGTTCTTTGACGAAATGCTACGAAATTTAAAACATAAGCATACAATAGGATGTCCTACAATATGATATATAACAATTGTCATTAAATCACACGCATGCACGTGCGCTGAAATCTGATTGGCTTAAACTTTAAATGGTTATAACTCCCTTGGTTTTCAACGAAATAGGATGGTATTTAGAATATTGATAGACATAATGGACCCCTACAAGAAGGTATGGTCATCATGCACATGCTTGTGACGTGAAATGGGTAATTTAAAAATATGCTTGAATAAGTGTATTTTTTAATACTTCTGGATTTAATGCTTTGATATTAAGTCTATTTGAATATATATACATAGTGTAGAAAAGATGATATGATCATTACCCACATGCATTCACATGAGCTCGCATGTAATGCTAAAATTTAAATATATTTCATAGTCTTCTGGGAAAACATTGTTTAAGTCTAAATTGCACAAAGTATGTCTTATTTGATAGAGTTTAAGGAAATATGGCACCAAAAGGGAGTTGGGGAGCGTTTGGGGAACATCTGTAACGGTCCCCGTTACAATTAGCCCTAGTTATTAATTGTGCTGCACCCTGATTTTTTTCTGCACTGACATCATTTGTTTCAATACCTGTCCTCCCCTTTGCTTTTCATCAAAACACTGTTTAAACCTTATCAATGGACCCTTTGAACATGAACTGTGGCCTTCATCTATATCGACGACGTATTATCACTTAACAAAAGTTATTTCCATCCATGTAAATATCAAATCATTACATCCCAGTGAATTTGAAGTAAAAAATACCGCAGAGTCTTAAACATCCGTTACATATTTGGATATTTCGCTAGATAAAGTTTTGTTAATCGTAACTTACGATGCTTTATAACGTAATGACTGCAACTTTCCTATCGTAAACTTTCCTTATTAATGAAGTAATATAATAGTTATACACATTACAAGTTGCGGAAGGAATATGGCATCACTACTGTGCGTACGTGAGGGCATGACTATGTGTGCGTGTTAGTGTATCTGTAACAGCTTGTGGGCAAGATTTACAGAGATCCTTGCAGGTAAAGACTGTTAATTTCAGAACAAGGAATACACAGATACACATGTGAGATTAGAAATCTCTAACACCAAAAATTATGACCAAGTTTAATGTTTTGCAAAACTTTGCAATAGTGGATTAAACTTCGAGGTTAAGATTTAGCTTGTTTGGTATCAAAGAAAGATCTTGTCACAAGGAAAACACATGTAAAGCATAAATTCCTTTTCTCCAACTGATAAAAAATATTGAGCATGGTTAAAGATCTTGCGGACAAACGGGCGGGCTGACAGATCAAAAATTGTTCGCCTCTGAAAACAATTCCTATTCGAAAGCTACAATACAGAATTGAAGTGAAAATCAAAATGACATATAAATGTAAGAAGCAGTTTGTTTACCAATATTTTTGTGTTGAACAAAGTTCGACAAATGTATTGAAAGTAGTGATTAGCTATGTACTAGTAATCTGTTTAAAAATATTTTTGAAAGCAGCTGAAATTCATTTTTTACTAATAAAAAATTGTTCAAAATATACTAAACTGCGGACTTAATCACTTTTCAGGATCTAATTTGTACGATCTGCCACCAATAAAAGTAGTTCCCAATCCACTCAAAGAATAAAAGAAGTGGTGGTGCAGGGTTCAATGTGTAAATTATAAAATATTTTGAATAAGATGATATTCAGTTGCATTTACCTATTCATTAACACCTGGATAAAATTTATACATAAAATTTGACACATTGTTAGTTTTATAAGTTTTGCAATGTTTTATTTCAAAGTACGTTCTTAGTATATAAGAAACTTTAGACTTCTGATGGTAATCATTTCCTTGCAGAAAATTCGTTGTTTATACAACTTTTTTTCTAAATAAAATAATAAAAATATATATTTAAAAATCAGACCTAGCATGTTATGTTTCTCAACTAAAAATGCTAATACATACCATTCATAAACATTTGATGTAGTAAAACAAAAGCGTGTGAGCAGTTTCAGTTAAAAATAGCAAAAGCTTCTTTTATGCAGCCTTGTTAAATTTTATACAAATAAAACATCTCTTTTTATATACATATGAATAAAACCAACAGAATCTAAAAAAATTAGCTCATACTCTATGTGTAATATCATTTTTTAAAAAAAACTAGGATATAGGGATTATTTTTTCTCCCCTGAAGAAATTCCACTACATCTACTTGGTTTCAAATTGGAATTCTCCGACTCGTCTGCCAGATATTCCATTTGATCTCTCAAGTTTAACAAATGTGAATGAATTTCATGCATCTGTCGTCTTGCACTACTGTATGCCACATCACCCGCATCTCTAGGATGTTCAATTGGATAATAATCAGCTCCAAATGTCAATGGTTCCAAATCACGTTTTTCCGGAGTGTTTTCGTCGATCCACAAGTCCTCGTCTTCTTCTGCGTCATCAATTTCATAATCTTCAACATCATCGTACTCTTCGTCTGAAACATCATCATCATTATCATCAATTTCATCCTGGAATGTTCCGTGTTGAACAGAAGCGTCATATTTAATGTCCCGTCCCTGCCGTTTTACTGAATATCTCCGAGTATCCGGGAAAGATTTGCTGAAAACTACCTCCCCACTTTCTATCTCATCTTCATCATCCGCCTGATTGCTGTCAGAACTTATATCATCTCTCCAGTCGCCTGGCTCTGATATATCAATGTCAGATTCTGTTCTTGTAACAGAATGTCGCCCACCTAGGACTCTTCTATTTCTTAACCTTTCATCCAAATCATATGGATCAAAAGGAAGTGTTCCTTCAGACTTTAACGGTTGATCTGTAACGTCATCGAGGAAAGACTCCAAAGGAAGAAGCTTGTCGTACGTGTCTTCCTTAACGGGAACCTCAAACAGCTTTTTCAGTGACTGATCAAGTTTTGATGGTTTCCTGTCAAGAGAGGAAGATTTCTTTTTCTTTTCTTGTAGGTTAACCGAGCTCTTGCTGACGACAGGCTCTTCCATAATTTTTTCTATATCGGATTCTTCAGGCTTTGCATAGGACTGAATTACATCACATAACAGTTCAGACTGCCTTTCCTGGGCATAGGGTTCGTAGCTCCTTCGTTTAATTGAAATAGGTACAATACTCTCCTCGATTACAACTTTATCTGATACCCCATCTGGATCTTCACGACTAGATGAAGCAGCCGACTCACTTATCAGGTTAATTTTCTCCTGAATACCTTTGCTTGTTTGTTTTTTATTCTGACAATAGTCTTTATAATTGAATTTATTTTGTGGTGTAATATTTTGTCTGACGGTATTTGTATTTAAGAGTGGAACACTTTCATCCTTTGATAGACACTCAACAGCCTCTTTTTTATCACTTATGTCCTCGCTACCATGTATTCCCTGATTACTGTTGTTCATGAGATCTAAAGAAAAATCGTCAAAATACTCTGGAGGTGGGGGAACAGTTTCGATTGGTATTTCCGTGTTTTCCTTATTGACATGTATTGTGTCATTAGGAACATCATCTAAATTATCTTTCAGGATGACACCATTACCAGGGTTTTCTTTATCATGCTTTATGATCTCCTTTGTTTCTAAGAGTTGAGAAAGTCTTTGACACACACTATCAGTAAACTGGTCCATCTCTTTACTTTTTCTGTCCTGTTTATCTTCATCTAAGTCATTCTCTAAATCTTCCTCTTCTTCTAGAATGTCGAGGGAATTCGGACTTGGTGGAGGGACATCAGTTAACACTGCCCTGACGGGTGATGGCATTTTTACCTGTTTCACAAGAACAGGGCCTGGTAACACATTCATTGTGGCCGATGATTTACCTGCGTGTTCCCGCATATAATTACGAAGGTTTTCCTCCTCAATTTCCATTGACAAAGTTTTCTCTTTTCTCACAAGGTACTTAGAATCATCACGTACAACAAGCGCGTCATCTGTTTCATTATTTTTTCTCCTTAAAAGGGGTTCAGGGGGTGTAATATTAGCTGCTTTTGGCTTTGAAATCGTGGAGTATATTGGCCTACATAAATCATTCTCTCTTGACGTTTGAGAAGATGTTGCTTGTTGAGATGATGATGGCGTTTCATTACTTGTTTCATTCGGTATTTCATTACTTTTAATGTCTGTTATCTCCTTATTCGTCTCAATAATCCGTCTTGTGGATGGCGGAGTATCGATTTTGAACACAGGATACGCTCTTCGGACAGAAGGTGAACCATGCTGAGCAGATTCCGGAGAAGGTTTAGTCTGCGTTTTCCGAGGAGGAGGTGTTGGGGCACGGTCATCTTTTCTTATTAATACAGGAGAACTACAATTTTCACATATGACTTGTTTTCCATTACTTTTTAATTCAAACGTGTTGCTTTGATCTTCCTGTGGTTTACTGAAAGGTGTATTCAAGTATTCTTTTTTGTTTTCTGCTTTTCTTGAGAGACTAGGGCTCGAAAGTTTGTTACTCCCTAGTCTATTCCTGCGAGGAGGTAATTCAGGCGCCTCTTCATTTGTTTTCACTTCTGGTGGATCTGATCGAAGAGATTCCGTTTGAAATAGTTCCTTGTATCTCGGAGGTGGGGAAGGAGGTGCAACGTCACTTTGTTTCCTGACCCGGCGAAGAACAGGGCTCGAAATTTTATTTGTATCAGGTTCAACAGCTCTTCTGGATGGCGGAGGTGTGGTGACCTTGAATACTGGATGCTGGACTCTTCTGACTGGTGGAGTTGACAACGGTGTCACAAATCCATGGCTACCTGAAGAAGAGTCGTCCGCCATTTTGATTCCTTTGGTGGTGGACGGGAAATTTGCATTTTCTGCAATATTTCTACTCGGGAGAACTGATTTTAATTCCGTTATCAGTGGATCTTCCCTTCTAAAATTGTATAAACCCGTTTCTGCCGTTTCTGATACAGGTTCGTCTGTCCGTTTCTTCCATACTTCCTCCGTTTCCACCTTCTCTTGATTTTCTTTCGGTTTCTTCTTTGAAGTACAGGTCCCCATATTTTTCCTATGTCGCGACCTTTTCTTTACAGAGTGTTTCCTGTCATTGTTTGGATTGTAGAGGCTGCTATTGCTGCTGGTGCTTGTTCTCCGCTCATGGTAACGCTGATGCTTGCGACTTCTTTTGCTGTGCTTGTTAGTTGGCTTGGAATAAGCAGAAGCTGATGAAAGCGAGGCTTTCTTGGGAACGATAACGTTCATTCGAGGTCACATGGTTCATTATTTTATTCGTGTGGCTTTTTTCCAAGGTCGAACCTGTTTAAATAAATACAGAAAAGAGTGTAGTTCAGCATATAATCACAATAAAAATAAGCATTCTACAATACTTTTTTCCTGATTAGATATTTTTTCCAGTAAAATCACTTAATCTTAATGGAAAATTTTATTTTTATAAGAGGGAAAATACAAATGTTCAGGATTTCTTGGCACGGTTTGATACATTAATTTTACTTCTATTTATCATACAAAACAGCGTGCATATTTTGTATTTTACATGCACTTTTATATTATAAACATTATTTTCTCTCAGATACTTGAAAGAAGAAAACAAAATCCCAGAAAATAGAATTTTGAAACGAAAATCAGATTATATTTGTTAAATGACGAATGTGCCCTTAGAAAATGAGATAGCCTGACCCAGTGGAAAGAAAAACAAGCTATAACTCTATATGTATTTATCAGATCCGAGATCTGCTTTGTGTCTATGCCAACCAAAATCTTGTGCTTTCAGAACAAATCTACGTTGACGTAATTCTAGTCTCCTATCTTATATTTTGGATTAGGAATATTTCTTTTTCATGGAGAAATCATGACTGTAATCTTCATTAAACTGGTTAAATTCGGAAGCAAAAAGTAATTAAAACAGCTGTTTAAGTAGATTTGGAAAAAAGTATTAGAAATTTGCAAGTAACGGTATGGAATTCAATGGTTTTTTCTTCTTCTTGAGTTAATGTTATCAGGTCTATCCGTCAAAGTTAACTGAATCATTAATTACTAAATTAAATTATATGCTCTAAAAGTGAAATTATTTAACTATAATCTGCCTCTGTCTGAATAAATCTTTGTTGATTATTGGCAATAAGAGGGTTAATTTGCTAATATTTCGGTAGGTGGTAGGTTGGATTTTCTTTTCTTACAGAAAACAAATCTACCTTAGGTGCATTTTACATCAATTCATTAATAATCAAAGTGGAATCACAAGGAGAAACTGTGTATCTCGATTGAACGGTGGTGTGGGCATTTTCCAGGTTTGTAATAAATCACGGACAATCGAAGATCTGATCCTTTTGGTAGCGATTAGCCAGGCATCTGTTCTTTTGTTTATTATATACAGATCGACGACCCATTAGTATCAGCTATGTTAATTAAAAACATTCTCACCATGCTCAAGCAAAGTACAATCGGCTTAGAATTAAAAATAACATTATAAGTTTAAAGATTGTTCTTTCATTCTTGAGACTTTTACGTTGTTTTTGATATTATATGTTATTTAACCAAAACACAATACTACTAAACTGCACCCCAGAGAAATATCACTGAAGATGAACATTATTTATTTTATTTGTTGAGATTCATGAAAATGAAAGATGTGGTAAGATATATTACTTTGAAAGTTGAATGTAGGAACGGGAAATATTCTTAGTACAATGACACGAGAGATTTTGATCATGTGATCACGGTTGATGATGACGTAGCCATAACAAGCTGTCTGACTAATCTCATCATACATCTTTGTTGCGTAACTTTGTGTTCGGATGTTTGTAGACTAATCCATATATATTTATTTTATCGTCAACTGTATTCTGGGAGGTTCCTTTTAACTTTTATTATGTGCGAGTAAATGCGTTTGAAATAAATATTTTGATGACAAAAATATGCTTTACAAGCCATAAATGTCCTCGATAATTTACACGTACATGTTCCAATGTGTTTATACAAAATCAACAGCTTCATCGCTTAAAATTTAACTGACTTTAACTGTGTTTTTTGTGTTATTAATTTTTTTTAACAAAAGACAACACTGTAACTAAAATATGTTCCTACGATACATACTGAAAGAGGACATCTAAGACATGGCGGACAGGAACGCCAACACAAAAGAAGCATAAACAAGATAAGAAAGCAGTTATCAAGAAGTCCCATATAAAACATTGTTAAACGGGAAAACACGGTACCTACCATTGTTGGATACAGGTCAAGACTATATCCAATCTTTAATTCCTGTCCAAACCGAAAAGAAAATCCTTCACAATACAACACACTCCCCAGCTTCACTCGGAGCAGCTCTCTCAGAACCTCAGGCTATTTTTAGCTTTAGCCGAAGAAGGGTCATATTTTGTGCAGAATTACTTTGTATATACTAAACACACCTAGCTGTTTCTGATAGCGAAACACTCTGCTAATAAATCGGAGTTGATATTAACGTGTGTTTTAACGGTGCTTTATGCATCTGTTTCTTTTGAAAGCCACTAGGGTTCTGCAGCCGATCACCCGGTTTTAGCGAGTCTTTTTTTGCAAAAAAGGTTCAAACTTTGCTGAATGAAGAGGCGGTTGTAGGTTGTTCTCCTGATTGGTTAAGTAAGTTCTTCAAGTCTTGATATGATGCAAGATTATTTGTTGCTGAATTTCCCATTATCTCCACATTTAGAGTTCATTTACACATCTTATGATTTTTCAATTGAGCAAAATATATTTAATCATATTCTCTTTCTGTGATTTTACTTCACATCTACAGCCCTATAATTCAATAGAATATTGTTCTATTTTGTATAAAATGAAAGAAGAAGTGAGCCAGCTTACTTACCTGACCCGTGCTGCCCCAAAACTCAAAGTGCCGAAAATCCCGAAAAAAACAAAGGAATCGTAATTTCCTGATGTACATCTAAATATCGTGTCCTTAAAAGTCTGCAAAGTTTGACCAAATTCTGTGCAGCGGTTTATGCGGAGTTGCGCTGACAAACTGTTCATCTCTATATTCAAGATATGGCCAAAAATCTAAGTTGAAAAGTGCCGAAAATCCCCGAAAAAAAAGGAATCGGAATTTCCTGGTAATATGCTTATCTATGCACTGTGTAGTAAATATCTGCAAAGTTTGACCAAATTCTGTGCAGCGGTTAAAGAGGAGTTACGCTGACAACTACTCATCTCTTTATTCAAAGTATAGCTAAAAATCTAAGTTGAAAATTGCAGAAAATCCTGTAAAAAGAAAAGAAATCGAAATTTCCTGAAAATATGCATATCTACACATTGTTTCCTAAATTTAAATTCTGTGAAGCGGTTAAAGAGGTGTTGCGCTGACAAACTGTTCATCTCTATATTCAAGATATGGCCCAAAATCTTAGTGAAAGAGTGCCAAAATTCCCGGAAAAAATAGAGGAATTGGAATTTCCTGTTAATATGCATATCTACACATTATGTTCTATATACATTGTATCTGCAGAGTTTGACCAAATTCTGTACAGCGGTTTATGAGGAGTTGCGCTTACAAACTGTTCATCTCTATACATGTATTAAAGATATGGCCAAAAAATCTAAGATGAAAAGTGCCGAAATTACCGGAAACAATAAAGGAATCAGAATTTTCTGGTAATGTGCTCATCTGCACATTGTGTCCTAAATATGAGCAAAGTTTGACCAAATTCTGTGCAGCAGTTTATGAGGAGTTGCGCTGACAAAAAAACAGGACTGACTGAAACACTAACTGACGGACGGGTCAAAAACATTATACCTCACGCAACTTGTTGCGTAGATTTTAAAAAGAATAGCAATCTTATTGACTTGAATAAAAACTATTTAATTTATATATGTAAGTCTTATTTTTCATCCTTTGGTTCTATCTGCATATATTTCTTCCAAAGCTATAATGTACAAAATGTATCTGAAAGTATTTTATTAATTGTATTAAATATATTTTAAAAAAAAATACTAGGTACAAACTCATATCTATGTAAAATTAGGAAAAGAGATTAACTTATGTTCTTTCTGTAATATGGAACACAATAATACATATTTTAAATGTGACAATACATTCCTCAACAGTTTTGAAAGACATTGTGAACAAAGTAAATATTCACAAAGCAAAGTTTTATTTTGGGATTTATAGTAAAAAACAAAGATATTCATAACTTGATGGCCCTATGGATAAAATATTAAATATATTCAATGAGATGTTTAGAAAAAAAATTAATTCAACTTGAAACTTATTTAGCATATAAGAATGGTGACAGAGAGATGTTTGACACCAACTGGAATCTGTGGAATCAAATGTTTTCATAAAATGTTATTAAATGAAAAAAAACTTATTTATGTAAAGGAATTTTAAAACATGCCAACTCTCCCTCCCTCTCTCTTTCCTTCTTTCTCTCTCTCTCTCTCCCTCTCGATCTCTCTCTTCTCTCCCTCTATCAAAAAAACCAGTCTGTAATATATTAATTTTTGTATTATGAATTGTGAAACAGATTGTGTAAAATAAATAAAGAATTAAAAATAAATTGTATTAAATATATGCAATCATGTAGTTTTCAGTTTCTGTTTAACTTTAAAATTTAATTTGTTTGAAATCGTAAATATGAAAGATTTTATTCTGAACATTCAATCACAATTCAACTTGAATTCATGTTAATTTTACATGACAAAAACTCATTTCATTTTAATTATTTCAAATAACTTTTCCTTATAGTAATAACGTCAATCTCTTGCAAGTATAATAATATCCCTACGAAATATCATTACATATTTAAACTCATAAAATAGAACAATCATTGGTTATTTCTGAAAGTGACCTTGCAGTTTTTGCATGTTTACCTAATAATGACAGTTTTACAAACACTCCGATAGTTTATATAGCATGCCAAAAAACATTATAATGACCGTATATGTTCACGAATAATAGAGATATTGATTTTTGGAAAAAAACAAAACAAAACATGAATATATTTTATTGTTTGAATTAAAGAAAAATAATAAGCATTAGTCTACAGTTTTTGAATTTCTTCATATATTCATTATCTTCACATATTTCTTGAAAGTAAATTCAAAGTCCTGGTTAAAAAAATCTTTTGGTCAAAACAAAACTCGCTCGTATTTGTTTTCTAGTCCTACACTATATTTTCTTGATACTGGGTTTACTGTGATGTCGTTCTTCTTGTCTTGTCCTCCATGGACTATCTTTGAGACTTGGAACATGTGATTCGTGTTTTCCAGATCAAAATATAGTTCTTGAATTTAAATTATTTTTTTCTTCAGCTAATCTGTCGCCGACCCGGTTTTAGCGCGTCTATCTGCATAAAAGTTCAAACTTTACTGAATGAAGAGGCGGATAGAGGTTATTCCCCTGATTGATTAAGTAATTTCTTCAAGTTTTGATATGATGCAAGGTTAATTTTTACTGGATTTCCCATTATATCTACAGTAAAAGTTCCTTTACACATGTGTAAATATGATTTTTCAATTGCGCAAAATATATTTCATCATATTCTCTTTCTGTAATTTTACTTCATATCTACAGCCTTAGAAATTATATTCAATGAAATATTGTTCTATTTTGTAAATTAAAAAAAATTAAAGTCATATAATTCATTTGAATAAAAACTATTTAAGCTATATGTACATGTATATAAAAATCTTATTTTTCATCTTTTGATTCTACCTGCATATATTTTTTTCTTCAGCTAGTACATGTACCTGACAATATTTCTTTCTTAAAGGTATCAAATGAACAATTTGTTTTCAACTTTTGTTTTTAAAATGTTATTTGTATTAAACACTGTAAATATAAAAGATTTTACCCTAAACATTCAATCACAATTTAATTCTAGACATTTTTGAATCATGTTAATTTTTGATAACGAAAACTCATTTCATTTGAATATATATATATATCGAACAATTTTCGCTTAGATCATACACTTTTAATCTCTTGCAGGTATTATAAAATCTCTATGAAATATCATTATATAAAAACTCTATGAAATAGTTCATAGTTGTATCAGTTCTCCGTGTGACCTTGCCCTTTCTGTTTACCTAATACCGACAGTTCTGCAAATGCTCCGATAATGTATCGGACTGGAATAAAAATCATGCCAAAAACAATATAATGAACGAATGCTTCATAAATAATAGAGAATTAGAGATGCTGATTTTTTAAAAAATATATTTAAATTGTTCGAATCAAAGATAAATAATAAGCATTGGTCTACAATTTTTGAATTTCTTCGTGTATCAACTTGAAGAAAATTTCAAAGTCCTGGTTAAAAAATGTTTAGTCAAAACTCGCTAATATTTGTTGTCGTCTAGTCCTACACTATTGCATTCATACTAGGTTTTCTGTAATTTCGTTTTCCTTAAAGCTTGTCCTTGTCTTGTATTCTATGGACTTTCTTTGAGATTTGGAACATGTGCCAAGCATTATAATTCGTATTTTCTACTTCAAAATATTGTTGATGGATAGAAATAATCTTTTTATTTAGCTACTCTGCAGGTATGCGTTATCTGTTCATTACAAAGTATAATAAATATACATCCATGGATGAATCATTTAATTTATTAGAAAAACTTATTTTATTACTTCGATACATTTTGAAGGATCATTTCATGGGACATTCAAATACTAGTATATTTATATCCTTTTAGTCAACATTTTTATCAAGTGTAAATCACAAAAAAGGAATTCTGAATTGATCAATGTACGTAAATCAAAACAAAAAAGAGAAGAAAAAAATATCCGTGAAAACGTCGCAATTTTACTAAATGAAAAATAAAATTATCAAGACTAGTAGTGTCAAAACTCTTAATACAGTCAGTTTCTTCTTGATTTAGAAATCTGACTCATTCGTCCTCTAAAAATAGAACTTCTACGAAACAAAGAATAAGTATGCCTTGCTGATGACGAAAGCCTTCCAGAATCTGTGAGGAGTTTTGCTGCACCCATACCGAGAGAGGTATATATACACGGCGGGAGGGGAGCCTGACAAGAAGCTACTGCCTTGTGTTATATTAACAAGGTAAGATTTATTCCTCCAGATATTCATATATCAACACCTACCATCGGTACATGTACACTGAGGAAATTTTACATATAGTTTGGAGAATATGTTTTTAATGCTCAAAATGTCATGAATTTTCCAAGGAAGGAAATTTTACTGAAAAATACAGTAATTCAGAGACATAAATAACATTTATTATGTTATTTTTGTCTCTGAGTAAGAAGGATATGATAGTGAGAATGGAAATCATTGATATTTTCTTTATTTTTATATATGTTTTCATGCAAAAACCACAGGCGCTTGTTCCATACAATAGGCTAGTTTTTATACTGTAAAATAACAGTATAAAAACTAGCCTATTGTATGAAAAAAGCGCCTTTGATAAAAACTGTCTGAGCTTTAAAAAAACAACAACAAATCTTGTGCTGAAGCACTTTAAAATTCCTAACTCATTAGTGAGTTGTTCTTCAAGTCTATTGTAATTGGCTATAACTGCATAACCTTCTAATGTAAGAAACAAAACTTCTTTTTACTTTTCCATCTCAGTAAAAGGCAATGTATACAAGTAGAATTCCACTTGAATGCTTTTGTTATTCGCGGTTAGGTTAATTTTCTTTGATAAAATGTTAAGTTTTTGTGTTTTACTACTTAAGTAATTAAAATTAAGCGGACTCTTCCATTCTCCGGCTAAATATTGGCATCAACATGTTCGTTGTTAATTCTCTTCCTAAAAATTCAAAAAAAATATTAAACTCCCAATCACCCAACAAACAGATGATCGTGAATATATTTTTAAGTGAGATCATAAAATGTTTTCTCCCTTTGATAAGTCTGCTTAGTCAATGATATCAAAGACTCATCCCCCTCGTCAGACTCCTAGCTTCAGAGTTTTGAACTCGTCTGTGGTTTTCATTACATACGTCATTCGTTTCAGCTCAAACCTACATTCCAGCAACTCTACAAAATGGCTATGATGAGGAGAGGAAAAATTCCGTAAGTTCTATCTTTTTATCAGCAGATCGGGAGATCTTTTTCATTACTCAGTTTTTACATCCATCATAAGTCGATTTTATCTAGCAATCTTTAGATCTAAGTAAGTAATATAAACATTTTTTTTATGAAATAAGTATTATTTAGTATCTATTAAGAATATTGCCAGTGACATTTGTATCCGTAAAGTAGTGCTTGTACATACTTCCGAGTAGCGAGAGTAATTTTGGCATTAATCTGTATAGAGTCGGAAGTATCAGGCACTACATCAAAAGCACGTGTCTAGTCTAGTACACAGCATGGGGTGATGAAAAAAATGGTTTACATGTATTGTTATCAAGCCAGACTTCTTAATAACAAATGGCAAGACTCTGTTCATTTGTTGATAATGCCAGCACCTAATTTATCATCACTATGATAAAAGATTTTTATGGCGAACATGTAAACTGGTACTAGATTCTGATACTTCAAATTCTGAAGGTTAAAATAATATTTCCTCACAATAATTCTTCTAAGAACAAGATATTTATTAAAATACGTTTTACAAGATCGGAAAAGTATTTTACTATAAGATTGCAGAACTGTTGTTAGTTTTTATAAATGAGTGATCGAGGCTGTTCAGTTCAAACCACTAGAACACTGATAATATTCATACTTTATTAATGGTATTTCATTATCTTATTCACCAGAAAAGAGGTTCAGTTCATCTTTGACAAATATGCGCACCAGAACGTGAGGAGCTTGAAGAAGCCGGACGCCATTAAGCTCCTGATGACCGAGTTCAACCTGAATGACGCCGAAGCCGAGTGCATGTTCGATACCTTTGATAAAGATCAGAATTCCATCATGAGTATCTGGGAGTTCCAGCAGTTCTATGAAACAGTAGGGAACGGGTATGTCTCCGAGTGTTTCCCTTATTTAACTTTCGCATGATTTTAAATAAAATTCACAACTAATTTAAGGACATACGAAACGTTTATACTTGAAACTTATTTCTTATTCTCGGTAATGAATTTAAGAGTTCCATAATTGAATGCTGCTTGGTTCTACAGAACCCCTCTTCGTTATCAAATCTTAAAATACAAGAAATACCGACTGAAACTATTTTTGTTAATATAAAAAAAACACAGTTATTTTCATTACTTACATGTAATATCAAGTGAAAACTCCTTAACCCGATATCGACGGTACTCGGATTCTAAATTTTAAAAAAACCTTGGGAAAATTAACTTTATGAAAGGTTACACTTAGACTCTAAGGGAATACATGTACATGATATGCGTTGCGTATGTCCTTAAGTTCGATTGCAGTGTAAACTGATAGTTTGTGGTTAATTAATAGATATATACTTGTATTCCATGAATGATTTAACTTATTAGTATGTAATATTGACGTGTTTTGTGTGGTTCCTGCCTTTCTTTTCTCCAATTAACTGATTACATAATGCGCTCTTAGATTTGTTCACTAATTTCTTGTGTTTTCTTTGATTTTTACAGAGATGGGTGAGTTGGAATATTTTCAAATTTTACTCCCTGATAACAAAGGTGGCACTGTTTCATGATATTTTTAAAAATAATCAATATGAATCGACTCATTCAGGAGGAAACAGATGATTTTCTTATCAATATATCAAAAAATTTATCAAAATTGCTATCAACTTGTTATCAGTGAGGGTTGAAATGGGAGGTATACACTGGGTTTCTAGAAGTTTGCGTTTATCAATATATCCTGCAGTAAGGCCCTAGAAATACTGTATGTATGTATTATTCACCGGTAGTTCTTCATCGCCTGCAACCAATCCTAGGAGTATGTATATGCACATGAGTATATCACTAAATTTACATTTCAATTTACTTGAATTCGTCAAAACTCGGTAATATCTAATTTCATGAAGATTTTTTTTTTAATATTTGCACTGTACAAAGAATTGACGTTTCATAATTGATATGGAATAGACATACATTGACTATAGTAACAAACCAATCTTTTAAACAGGGCGTCGGAAATGTTGAACAAATTCCATGAACTGGACGTTGACAGAAGTGGAAAACTCGACCAAGACGAAGCCAGACAGGGACTAGAACTTATGACGACCGCCACGGGGCGAAAATTAGATCCTCGTGAAATCGAATTCTTCCTGAAAACGGCCTCCGATGACCAAGGCTTCATTGATATCGGAAAGTTTGTCAGTCTGTTCAAGCGATTGAAGGTTTACGACAGCCCCGCACCCCCAAAGAATGCCAAATGTCACGTGCTGGGTAGTGAATGAACTGGGACAGACCAAATAAAGACAGTGCTGGAAAACGTGTTCTTAGATGAACATTTTTTTGTATTTTTAAGATTTAATTTTTTATTTAAACGCAATGGACGTCGTTAATATACTATAAAAATCTTATTGTGTAATATTTCATTGAACCATGCGTCACAGTTTTCATGTTATACATTGTACGCTGATCGTATATGATTTGTTCTTGTTTTGTTGATCTTTTTCACTTTTTTACCATGACAAAAATAAAATATCTCGAGAAACAAATTTCTTTAATTAATTTTTTTGCTGGGGAAATAGTTTTAAACCGGTTGTTTTTGGTTTAGAGAATCAGTGAATTATGCGTCGTCACAAACAAAGGCAGTTAACTCTGGAACACTTTGAAATAGTTCAAAATTGCTTTGACCATTTCTTGCTTATAGTTATACTATATGTTGCATAGAAGCCTGGATCAAGCAAAATTTTAGTGTTATCCAAGACAGGTCAAAAACTGATTAAAGCATTTCAGAGTTAACCACCTACTCACCACACTTCCCTCGCGGGAAAAAAAATGGAAGCCACTTTTCCTTGAGAAAACTTAAATGTATCACATAAGTTGGAAACACTAGAAAGATGCTTCTGTAAAACCTATAACCCATTGATACAATCAGAAAATGCATGTAGGTCAAATCCAGCATCCATGATTTGATGTACTGTGATGTACAGAATGAGGTTTCAGGGAATAACGGTGGTGTAATGTGAAGATCAGTTATCTGCACAGCTAAAATCTGTGATGTGCAGTGGAAAACAGTGATTGTGTACTGTGAAGTACTGTAAGATACAGAGGAAGTGTACTGTGAAGTACAGGGAGGTGCTGTGAAATGCTGTTCTTCTGTACAGTATTGTACTGTAATGTACTGTGTAGTACAGAGGTAATTACAGTAATGTACAGTGAAAGTACAAGGGTTGTCAGAGATTTTCAGAAAAAAATAAGAATTCCAGGGGATAATAAGTCCAGTAGTGATTACAAGTCTTGTATCAACAAGGTATTGTCTAGCTTGAGCTTAGAGTTTCACTGGATTGGATATTCTTCTTAACCAGGTCACTCATCTCGAGAATATAGTTTTAATTAGGTCTGGGAATGTGCATCGCCCTAAATGCATTATCAATAAAAATGTGGTTCAGGTAAGCTTTTACTTACTTAAGATCGAATCTGCTTTAAAAGCTTAAAAGCTGTTCACTCATCCGAAAAACTAGGCCAGATCCAGCATCCAAAGTAATCATGATAGCTTGCGACCATAGATGCATCATTCATACAACTTTTGGTCAACATAGGGCTTATGTATGTAGTTACTTCGGAATAACTTTAACCTGCTCCAAAATCATTAATCTGTACAATCTCTGACCAAAAAATGATAACGATTATAAGGTCCTAACGAAACTTATTATTTATTTCATGTGATTTAAGATATACGTGGAAATTGTAATACGGCTAATGTCAAAAGGTCACAAAATAAAGAATATCATACTTTAAGAGTACATTATCCATAAAAATAGTATAAAAATTTTAAATGGTAAAGAATATCAAAATATTTCTCAAAAGATATGATGATGTTCTCTACAACTGTTACAATTTTTATGAGAATACTGTATTATCATAGTAAAGTGTTTGTGACGTGAGTCCAGGTTTCTACTCCCGGAAGGGGTCAAGGCTTGAGAAAATAATACTCAGATGACCGTCAAGGCCCATGGACTTCTTGTTATTTTTCATATGTATCTTCTCAACATATCTTATGTTTTAGTGCACAAAAGCAGGCCTTCATATGGCATATTCAATAACTTTATATTTATTCACGAAATAAAGAGTATAATTGTACGATTTATTTCAATTTTAAGCACAAATTTGAAAATTTTCAGCTGAAATTCTAAATGGCAACCCCCCCCCCCCCCAACACACACACACACACAAAACAACAAACACGAATATTGAAATATTTTCAGTAGGTAATCTGAAAAAATTAAATATACTAAAAAAGAAACGCACAGTAATTTACAAATGTTTGATTTTTATATCTTATGATTTTCAAAAGCGAATATTACCCCCACCCCTTCCGGTACAAGGACTGTCACACAAAGACCCTATTGTAGCAATGTAGTGAAATTTGGCAAGCAACTCTCCATCACCTTTACATTGACATTTTCCAGCTAGAGCAATGGAAATGCCTTTTCAATATATCGTTACGGGAAACGAAAGGAGAGTTTACTTTTTTGAAATATTGCTGCATTACTTATGATGAACAGTACAAAACCCTTAAAACTCCATAATATTGCCAAATGTTTTTTTAAACATGCAATTTTTGATTTCTGTTAAGCAGACTAAAACTTGACTTCCGATTATGGTATGGAAATAGTTCAACCGTTTTACCGATGTTTACCAAATTGAAGATATTCATAATTTTAAGATACAAAATTCTTTACTTTACATAATTATTTCCCTACACACTTTATTGTTATTCATAATCTTTCCTATTTATAAATTATGCTTGAAAGATGTTTTTGGTACAGAACAATTAAAATTGTTTAAGGTCACAGTAGAAATTCCGAGATAAAATCTTGACACATTGCTGAAGGTGACAGTAGAGTGTGGGCGATTAAAACTACTAGTCCTTTGTGCGATAACAATCCAGTTTTAATTCTCTGATTTTGTGACAAACTTTTATATCAAGCAGCCATTGTTATTTTGAAATTAATATAAAAATATGTCATCATAGACCGCGAACAACAATGGAAAAAAATGCAGTGACCACGGTGACTCAACCGAGCAGGGCATCCCCGTCACGCGCACATGCGCACATGCGCACAGCTGCTTTTACCTTTAATGGTAAAAATAAACATTTTGTCCTAAAGTGCTTGAATAAAATACGTTGATAAATAAATACGAAACAGTTTTACAGGATTCTACTAAAAGAAAAACATGGCCTGTCGAAAGCTACCGTAAGTACAATTTATTTTGTGTACTTGTGTGTAATATTTATATTTTATTACACGTAAAAGAAATATTCCCCTTCATCATTGCCTGACTTGGTGAATGTTATTGATGACATCGGTAAATTCTCTCACCAAACACTTATTAAAGATCAGTCTGTCGCAAACAAGGATTAGGTGGCAATATTTTTAATCCATATTTAAAACCAACTAAATATTGAATGTCGCCATATGTTATTGTTATATTTAAATATTTATTTAACATATCACGGAACTTTAACTGAAATGTGCATTAATGATGTGTTCTATACATTTGTCATTGTTGATTTGTACTTTACCTGTATGTTATAGAGACTCGATATATAGATAACGACTGATGAATAACAATCACGATACATCTTATTTATCAATTAAACACTTGTATCAACGTCGCAAACATTTCAGTAATAAACTGAAATCCTGCATAATTACTTTCTGAGATCACTTTTCTTTTACATTTTTTTAAGAAACCTACAAACTCAGTAAGAGACCTACGAAAATTCTTAATTAATTTTCCAATCAGAAAAAAAAAATCTGCATTTTAATTCGATAAGTATAAAAAAAAAATCCAAAAGAGACAATTAGTTCAACCATTGTAATACTATTGTTATACTAGTAACTTGTTTTTTATGATACATTTTGCGTGAACTGTCATTTGAAATTGTATGGCATGTAAAAAGGTAAGATATTAAATTTAATATGGCATCTTTATATTATTAAAAACGTAAAGTTACGTGTAATTAATCATTTTTATGTGAAAATAAGGTTTTCGGCGTCTTCCACCTTGTGAATTATGCGTGATATAAGGGCCATTTCACCTGTCAGGTATACCCGTGGTAAACCGTCATTTTGTAGTCGATTAGATTCATCAACCCCTACAGTGACAACTTGGCGAGAAAATAATCACGTGAATTGCAAAATTGTTTATGCTAGGTTTCGTTTCCAAAATCTCGGCAAACTTTCCGAAAATCAAACAATAACAAGGAAAGGAATGTTTCACTTTTCTTACGTTTCACTTTCATTTAAATTCGATGGAAGGTACAGGTTTTAGTTACCGTGCAAAAAGAACCATCAAAAGTGATCTGGTAATTAAGGTCACGACCAATTTCCTGTGTATAACCCATCAGGAAATATTTGTACAGTAAAACCGATTACAAAGTTACCTCTACCTATGCTGAAGATACAAGTTTATGTAGAAGTATTGTCTGTTTGATTATTAGCATGCGTGTCCCCATTCATAAGTTCCGTGGGATTGGGGAGGGGGGATCGGGTTAAGGCTGTTTCCCAACTTTTTTTCCTAACAATTAGGATTTTGGAGTTTTGGACAATCCACACTTTATTGTAACTGTATATGAGAGAGAGAGAGAGAGAGAGAGAGAGAGAGAGAGAGAGAGAGAGAGAGAGAGAGAGAGAGAATTTGTGGGAGAAGAAAAAGGAAGATGCCGTTGGTAAAATGTAGCTAACTGAAAAATGCACATAATTTGTGAACATTTTTACGTTCGGCATTATCAGGTCATTGGCATAAGACAGGGTAAAACAAACATTTTATGAGAGATTAAAATTTGAAAAATATTCAAAATATTTTAATGAAATTCAAACAACATACCCTACACCAACTAGCAATGGTAATACGTTGCTCTATATGTACGTATTATTTTTGCAGGCCAGAGGCGCAGAAAATATTTGATAAGTATTGTCAAAACTTCGTCATGAAATTGAAACGCGAGGATGCCATTAGAATGTTCACCTCGGACTTCCACCTGAATGAAAAGCAGGCAGAAACCATGTTTGAACTTTACGACATCGACAAAAACGGACAACTCAGCCAATGGGAGTTCAGACAGTTTTACACCAACCTGGGAGAACAGTAAGTAGGCAGGGACCCAATTAAAGGATATAAATGACTAAAAATTAACAACGCGTTTATATATTTTTCTGATCCCTCAAGATTAACGCAGTCGAAGCCTTGTCGATCACGTCAATTTCAAATGATAATAAAAAAAAAACAATATTAAATACTTTTGTTTGGACATATTATTATACATATCAGGAAAACAGATTTTATATTGTGGGTTTACATAAAGTAAAGAAAACTCAATAGGATACAGGGATGAAGTATCGTTTTTAAAAGTGGAAGGGGGTCCGCACGGGAAAGAAAATTATGGATTTCCTGAAAGTTAGTGACGAAGAAAGCAAAATTTTCAATAAATCTCAAAATCCGAAAACCATATTTTTAAAGGGGGGGGGGGGGTCATTTTCTTTTCACAACCGAATTCCTTCATACATTACTACAACAAAAATTGTGGACTCTCGTCTATCTCACTCTTTTTAGCAAATCCAATGGCGGGAGGAGGCCGCAACCCCTCGTAACCCCACCCCCATCTCCGCTTCTTGATCCGCCACTGCCTTGATAACAGAAATAAAAAATATTTAGCATCGTTTCCTACATTTTACGGTCCCCGTACTTTACCACTAGGTGATAAATCCAACAGTAATTTGTACATAAATGCAATAAAATTGCACGCAACTGCAATAACCTACTTCGCCATAATCACGCCTCGCGTTCGGCGCAAACAGTGCAAAAAATTATCACTTTGAAGATTTATCATAAAACTTCATGTAAAAGATTTTTATTATGTAATTCCCAGCTTTTAATTAAACAAATAAAGATACATGCATATCTGTAAAAATGTACCTACATTGTAAATGTACGAGTAAAATTATACAGCTTCTATTTTTTTTTTACCGTTAACTTTTATTTTCTAGTGCTGCTGAACTATTCGAAACATTTGAGAAACTCAACTCCGAGGGAGCTGGTAGTTTAGATTTTGAGAAAACCTGGGATTTACTAAAAACAGTAAAAAACGCCAATGGTAAACTCGCTGATGATAGCGAGTTAGAGGTGTTCATCAAAGCTGCGGCCGGCCAAGAGAAAAAGATGGACTTTGGAAAATTTATGAATGTGTTCTGTAGGATTAAACAAAGTAGATCTTAAAATTATCTGAGAAAATCCAGGTTGTTAAAAAATTAATTGTGATGGCTTTATAGTGCATATATATTTTTTTAAATTAACATTTATTTAAAGTTTATTATTTCATTTCATTCATGGGTCTTTTATCAATTAGGACATTACCATTATCTTTTTTTCGGGGGGGGGGGGTGGGGGTGGGGGTGGGATTATACATACATTGTATATATATGTATAATGTAAACTTTTCCACTCTCGCAGTCATTCATTATCTTCACCTGTGATCTGGGTTCTATGAATCTTAACTGTTACTGAGGTTGTTACTCTAATATAAAAAGCACCTGTGTTCAGTTATTTATTGCTATTTATTTCTTAGGAATTAACAAATATTATTTGATTGTTATATTTCAAATAAAGATTTATTCACTTTTGTTTTGTTTTTTTTTTTTACTTTAAGAAAATAAATTTCCAACTTCCAGTCTGTTAAATCTTAGATTACTTTTTATAAAAGAAACTCAAAATAGGTATTTATTGTTACATCACTTTATAGAGTAAATTTTTAAAACACTTTTGTAGTAATTCAAGCTTTGAAACTTCGTAAAATGGGTTATGAAAAAGATCTATTTCATCCTACTTCGTGAAACAGATAATTTTGACACCTTTACCTAATATCCAGATCTGCATGTAAATTCTATTTAAAATATGCTTAACAACTCTTTTGGCAAAGCTCTTTAGAATAAACATAAATTATTGGGAGGGGGCAAACAAAATGAAAGGATTACAATACTACAACTTATGATGTTTTTTCTTCAATAAGAGAAAAACAAATAGTGCATACATGCACATCAAAAACATCTTTGTGGTATTTAGACACTTTGTAGATCTTCAAATGTAAATTCCTCTCATCTCAACCCAAACACTTTGAATTTTAAGTAAAAAGCAAGACTAAGTATAAATATCACCTTTTTTAATAAAAATTTCATACAACAATTCACTGAGAATGCAACATACTTAAACCCTCTACACTACTGGCACCCCCTCCTCAAAACTTCTTAGGAGGGTAATAATGTAGACTTGTCCTGTAATCATCAACAAATTTTTCAGTGAACAAGTGTTTTAAATCCTTAAGTGTTTTATGTTTTATATACTGGAAAGGACTGTAATACGTCACTTATGAAGATGACCTAATTTCTATTTTTCTAGTACAAAGAGTTGTCTCCTCCTTATTGAGACATGGGGTAGAGACTCTCACTAAAAAGGCCAGACTCAAGACAGTAGTACTCTAACTAGATACAGGCCAGATTCAAGACAGTAGTACTCTAACTAGATACAGATCATTGTTTTCAGTAGTTCAATGTATGAATCTCTCCATCAGAGTCAACATAATATTCCTTGCTGACAGGAAACATTAGACATAAATTCTTCCCTATTGTCAGAAATTCCATACATCGGGAAATTTTGTTTATTTAAAATCATAAAAAATTTAAATTTTTTGGTGAAAAAGCATTCATTATAAACAGTCAACAATGCCCCAGAAAGCTATGAGGTCTAGACATAAATAACATCTGTCTCTATGTAACAACAAGTCAACAATAAAATTTCATGGCAACAATCTAAAGAAGACTGGTATACTGCAGTAATGTGATCATGCTCAGTATTTTACGTATACATGTATATAAATGATATGTCTTAAAGATCTCTAAAACGTGTGACAGTGGACCACCTGTGTCACCTGGACCGTGTATCACCTGTGTCACCTGGTTACGTCCTTGACCCCCAGGTGTTTGTTCGTTAAGAAGTCGGCTTGTGGGAGGACAGACAGAGCCTTATACACATCTGTAACCCCAATACCATCAGGATACCTGAAAATGCAACATTCTGAATTATTTGATAAGTTTAAATTCGTTAAAACATCTTTCTTATTCAATGCAGTTGCTTGTAATTAAAACTTAAGAGATACGTGTACTGCATCTCAAATTGTTATGATTGAAGAAATTCAAACCTAATTTCAAGTTCAATAGTAATTCTGTCTTTGACATTCCAGCAGTGAAATGTACAAAAAATTAACAGTTTTCAAGATAATTATTTTTTCGCTTAGTCCAACAACTAAAGAATTCCTTGTGCTGTAAAGAATAAACATTGTACACAATCAATGACTGCATAAGAGTTATCTCTCTTGAATAACATACCTGCCCATGTTAACTTTGAAAGCGAATGACTCAGTTATAATGTCCTCAACAAAGCACAACATTGCCTGCATTGTAAAATTTAGATATGCATGAGTTATGTCCTCTAAAATTAAAGCTATTTACATTGTAAGATTTATATTTTTAAAGAAATTTTAACACAAAAAATACATCAAACTAATAACATATTGAGATTTATTTGATAAAAATTAAGTTCTTTATTTATCGTCTTGACTGTATTCTGTACCTTATATAAAACATCCTCAGATACAGAACTATAAACATCATCAAGTACAGGAGAGGGTTCAAATTTAACTCCAATCTGTAAATTATCACAGAAAAATCTATAAATATATCCAAAATACTCAGTAATCCATAAATAAGTATATCAAAGAACAATCTACAAGATATCATAGAACAATTAATCTATAGGCATATCACAGAAAAATTTAAGATATATCAGAACAAAATCAAATGTCATCTCAACAAAATTCAACTCAAGGGTGAGTTTTGAGAATTTTCATATTGACTACATTTGAAAGCATTTACAATATATGAACACATTTCTCATAGAATTATACATCAAAATTCCTTAAAGTTCCAACCAAGAACATGATTTACCTTTTGAGTCAGATCCTGAACAAAGCGAGCATTAGCTGAGGCTGACAGAATGACAGGATCTTTGGGGTCAGTTATCTCCTCCTGAGGCTCAAGCTTTATCCTTGGTTTGGGGGGTTCTGATGTCAACAATGGAAATACATATATTTTAGCTGATGTACACAGGGAAATTTTTTCCCCAGTTTTATTTCCCCCCTTCCCCCTACCCTCATTTGGGCGAATTTAAAACGGGGCCAATTCAAAGAATACAATATACTTTCTTAAATACCCACGGTAAAACTTTGAACGGGCAAATTTAAGACAGGGTAAAGTTGTCTGCAAGTGTGAAAGGGCGAAAATAACATTGGGCAAAAAAAAAAACCTGTATACAGTATGTACATGTATAATGTGGAAAATCCATAATGTTAATCTTAATGAATAAAATTCATTAAAAAAATGCTTTGTAACAGAAAAGGAGAAAATTGAAGCTCTACCAACTAAGCTATCTTGCCAACAGCACCCCTTCTCACCTGGCCACCACATTCATGATTCAAGTCCTTTTTTTCCCTCTTTTCCTTTATTTTTTAAGATTTCATAAATATTTATAATCTTTACACTTCATACTACATGCATCTAATTACAATACAAAGGATATATATCAGACACTAATTAAATTATTTTATTTCTACCTACACTACTGTTTTATGTTTAGCAACACCCCTGATCAGTGTCTAACCACCCCTTGTTGTTCTGAGTCTATACACGTACCATCTGATATGATATCCACCTCATCCTCGGACAAACTCTCCGTCCTCCGTTTACTGTTAATCTGATCGACTTCCGTCAACGTCTCGTAGCTGTCCGTTGCTGAGCAGAATCTCTCTCCCATCCTCATCTCCTTCATAGGAAACTCCACGCCTGATGGATGCAGGGTCTTCTCTACAGAAATTTTAATTTATAAATATCATTATAAGGATATACAAGACTTATTAATTTGACATTCAAGTATATTTGCAAAGAATAATTTTAATAACATTTTAAAATGTATATTTTGAAAATATGTGTTATGTAAAGAAATCCATGAAATTTTATTTGTTATTTGATGTGTTATAGGATACAATGATTTTTTTAAACTCATTTCATTAATGCGTTATTCTAGTTGCATATAAATGTATACTGAAAATAGGAAATATCCTTATTTTCTTCATGAATTACAGTTAATTCTCGATAAACCGCCACCTTTTGTAATTTAGAAATCATGGCGGTATAACGAATTTGGCGATGAATTGAATTTTCCATCTTTTAGGAGAAAAGACGCAGAGTTATCGTTCTTAGAAATACCATTTAGCGTTTCTATTCTTATTATCACATGTACATGTATATATAAACATATTTCTAAATTTGAAAATACTTCAAGTAATTTTTTTTATGTACAATTTCGCTAAAACAAAGTATTCAGTTGTGAAATTAAGACAAGTATATGTGTATGTATGTAAATCTGCACGTCTGATATTGAAAAAAATATGCTGGGTCGATCGTCATGATATATTGCCTAAAGTACGTAAAATAAGTTCTTGAATAAACTCATTGTTTATGAAATCATTGTTAATGAAACGTTCACAATTTCTGACTTATAATTATTTTTTAAACAAACCTTGCATTGTTTTTAAAAGCAGAGGTCATCAAAATGATATCGTTATCGGCGTTCTTTACAACGACCGCTTTCATGGCAAAGCCTTGACTAAATGATTTTATTAAAAAGAAAACAAAATTATTCTAACAGTTCATGTTAAAATCATTGTTTACTTAATTGCATGTACCTTGATTGGCTTTGCATGCTTTACAACAGGGATAGCGTCAACCAATTAGACGCGCTTCACTGACCACATACACATGTGGCGGTATTATCGAGATAATTGACACTTAAAAATGGACGTTTGTTGTGAAAACAGGGTGGCGGATGGCGGTATGCGAATTTGGCGTTATAAAGAGAATTTTATATAGCAGGAAAAACGTTCTTGGGAAATCATGGCGGTATTGCGAAAATGGCGATGAATCGAATGGCGATAATTCGAGAATTGACTGTACTTCAATTCTACAGCATTCTAAACATGTTTCATACAATTTTTCTAAGTTAAAAAGGCCATTGAACAAGTTTACTAAGAACCTCATAAAAAAATTTGCAATAAATCCACTTACCCATGTAATGCGGACTATAAGCATGCAGACGACACCAGCAGACGATCTTCTTCACAGACCACAACTGGTTCCCTTTAAACTGATCACCATCTAACAACTCCTTTAAATATTTTTGACATGCCACAGCTCTCTGCCACTAAAATAAACAAAACAGCTGCCTTTATACAACATCTAGGTTCCAGGGTTTCTTAATTTTATCTTTTAAAGTCCTAAAATAGATGGTGAATTTATCAGTTTGACTTAAAGAATAATACATATCCAACTGAGACCCCTTGCATGGTCATTTAGCAGATACATGTAGGCTGTCTTGTGCTCAGTGTTTTCTGAAACAATTGCTTGATTAGGAAGGGTCACAAAGGACAGATAGTTAAATTTTCCATACCAGCAGGGACCACAAAATATTAACTAGAGAAAGGGTTGATCAAAAATGAGACAGACAAATTACTATTTGTGCCTAAAAGAAGTACACTGGTGATGGCATAAAAAACATAAGGTATATAGTAATACAAGCATACCTGTCAACTCTCCCAAATTTATCGGGAGTCTACCGATTTTTAACCACCCCCTACCGACTGTCTACCGAATTTTTTTTTAACTGCCGTTTCTACTGATTTTGAAAAAATCCGGATTTTTTATCTACTTTGTTTCGTAAAATACCAACTAGTCAACACAAAAATGGATGTCATGCAGTGCATATCGGTAGCTAATCTGTTTATTGCCACTGATAACAGGTAATCAACAAGGTGTCAACTGTGCTAGCAGATGTAATTGCAGTTGTAATATGCTCCTTATTCTCATTAAAATGTATATTATCAAAGACAGAGATGCCAGATGTGAAAATTTTTACAGAACATGACGGTAAATAACGATATGGAAGTACTTGATACTTTGCTGCAAATAAGTTTACAAGTGCATATGACAAAACTATTTCTCCATAAACAATACAGTGATCAGGAAAGTTGTAGCTACAGTACTCTATTATTAATTTAACAAGGAGAAGGAAACAATTTCCTGGAAGCTAATATAAATGAAGAGTCTAAAAATTTCCCCTCAGATTTTGAGATTCAGTCTTAGTAAATCCTGCATCAACATCAGCATATAACAGTTCCTGAAACTACAGAGCAACAAGACAGTGTGTTTAGAAGACTTCTTTAAATTTACAAAGCTAAACACAGTAATGCATTTCTAAAATTAAAAAATATAAAATTCGCACATTAGAACATTACTTAAATAAAGTATTATATTTAAAAATTCTGATATATGTATATGTTATGAGATTAAACGAAAAAAAATACAGGGTCCATGTATTTCATTCATACTTGATTACACATTATTTTAAGAATATAAGCATGAAGTTTTGACAATTATTTCAATTTCAGATCTTTAAATCCAGGACACAACTCATGTTCCTTAGACTTAGTGAGAAAAATCCACTCATACATCTATTAAAAGCTGGAAACTCAGACTGTCTGCAGAACCTTATTAATTTTTCTAATTGCCAAGTTCAACTACAACATTTGCCATGAATTTTATATAAATTATGCTCTTATGGACAGACAGAATAGATAGTGAACATAAATTTTTATTTATAATTTCAAAATTAAATCACATTGTACAAGTGTCTAAACAATGTATGAATTAATAACTAAATTTCATGAATTAATGATAATGTTAATATTAATAATAAAGGTTTATCTTGTAAGTTGTTTATTTTTGTTCTATAAACAGTGAAATGCGCGACTTTTGACCGTGTATTTGCAAGAGGTCGTAAATTAATACCACCCGAAAAATTTTGGCCATGTTGACAGGTATGTACAAATATAAAAGTTTCCAATATAAATGTATTTACCTCTGATGCCCACCTTTTGCCTACATTCCACTCCAACCACTGTTCCAATGTTTTTGCACAATATGGATGCTGATGGATATCTACAATATTACAGGCAATTGTACAGCTCTCAAAGAATTACCTCTCATCCACCACCAATATTTATCAAATAACAGAGAAACTTCACTCTTCAGATGGACTTATGAACTAATTGGAGATGAATATTTATTGAATAAATCAAGGTTACCAACTTTGGTATAAGTTTATACAATTTTGCTCTCCTTTGAAATTGTGAATTCATTAAATGTTTAATATGAGATTAAAAAAAAAACATCATACTGGCAGAGGGGGAGACAATTGGGTGTCTCTTTATGGCTGCTCTGACCAACGATTGAACGTCTGGATAATTTTCAACACTACAGAGGAAAAAGACAAAATTAACAGAAAACACAGGAAAATTTGCCATCTGATATACAAGATACTGTGAAACAGATAATTTCTGTGATTTTCCCATTTTTGCAAAATTTAACAGTTTCATGTTTGTTGAAATTGACTGAAGGTAGATTAAAAAATAATCAAATTGTAAATTTATAATACATGAATATTTTTGAAAATCAAATCACAAGAATATTAGAAAACACAAATAAATGTATGCTTCTACTATTACAAAAAACTATTCTATTTTATAAGAAATTTTATCACAAATCGCAAGTATTTCATTTTTTGTGAGAAGTAATTTTAGCGATTTTAAAATGTTAACTAAAGAAGTTATTACAAATAATATGCAATTAATTTTTAGCGATATTCAATTTTAACAATATCTTTACACTGTAATGCCAAAATAAATTACAAAAAACTATTATAAACATTTTCAAACAGAATACATGTATATAAGAGCAATAAAATTGATCAGATCATGGGAAAATGCTTGAAATATACAAACCAAAGTGGCTCAATATCCTTCACAGGTGTTGGGTCATCTTGAAGAAGTTTCTGGGAAGAAGTAAGTAACTTTTCTGCGGGTGTTTTTTTCTTCCACTTGTGAATTCTCTTCTCCTGTGAATCACCCATCTTTACAGGCAATCCCAGCTTCCTATCAATGTAGGACAACCTGGCTGCTTCCTTTAATTTCTTCTCTTTCTCCACGGCTTGTTTCTTGAGACTCTCTATAAGTGCTGCATTGGAGGGGATCCCCACTTTTTTAGGAACTTGCTTGTTGACCTTTGACACTTCCTGGGATTTGTTTACAGCCTCAGAATCTGACACAGGAAGCTGTAGCAACAGAGTCTGCATCCCAATCTTAGCTATCACTGTCTTCACTTGTTCCTTGCCTCCTGTCACCTGTCCTGCAGGTAGATCATTTGTCTTTGACACCTGTTTGGTAAGATTCACCGAGGCATTCGTTAAGTTTGTGGATGGTGTCAATCTAGCGGCTGTGGTTTTCACACTTGAGGTGAGCATCACCTTTTCACTATTCTGTGTAGAATGACTATCACTGATATTTTTAGAAGGAAGTTGAATTCCAGGCACTTTTTTGGCATCTTCGTTAATAAGAATAACAGAATGCATAGTTTTAGGGGGCACAGAAACTGGGACAGCTTGTGGTAGCACATTAATTGGAGTTTGTATAAGCTTGATTCCTTGGTGTCCAGAGGTTGAAGCATCTTCACTGTTTTTCACTAGGGCTGGTTTTATCCCTACCACTGAGGTGGGGGTATCTTTAGGAGCCCCCACTGTTACTGGCACTAGGAAATTTTGTGGGGTAGTGCGCTGACTAGTCAGTACTTGAGTAGAGGTTGTGTTGGATTCTGTAGCCTGAGACACTTGTTTGACTGCATTTCTATGGGCTGCTGCTATGTCTCCTCTTAATAAAGAAGCTAACTGACATGTCTTGCTGGGAATTTTGTTTTCCACATTGCAGTCTGTTTTTTGGATGAGAGCTAATGTTTCCACTTTTTTGCTGACCCTGCTCTTTCCAGCAGGTTGAACCGACTTGAGTCCTTGACTGGTCACTTTTAGCTGGTTCTGGGCAATCTGACCCTGTAAGTGGAGCTGTAACTGACTTGGTTGAGGAACTTCTTTTCCATTTTTATCCAACACTTTAGTGGCAGACTGGCCAACAGTAAGTAAGGGTCTCACAGGATTAACCTCAGTTTTTATCAGAAGGACAGGGCTTGGGCCACCGGTTAATGGAGAGAGACTGTTTTTAGATACAGGTAGAGGGGATCTGATTAATAACTGAGAATTTTGCACAACGGGTTTTTGAAACACAGCTTTAGCTCCTGCTGACTGATGATGCACTGTCTGGTTTTGACCAACTGGCTTCATTGTTACAGTGGAATTCTGTATCTTTGATGGACTAGAGGTAACAGTACTTGTGGGAGTGTTTACCACTGCTATTGTACTTTGTGTTTGAACTGGTTTCTGTGTAGTTCCTTTGGTGGGGGTTGTTTGAGGACTTGGAACAGTTCCTTTTGCTGCCTGGTTGTTTACTGGCTGGCCTGCAACTGGTGTTCCAGGGACAGTTTTTAACAGATGATGAGGCACAAGGAATATATTTCCCTGATTGTCTTTGCACCTTATATACAGAGTCTGTGCTGGGTTTGGTGTACCTGGGGTAGCAGTTGTAAGCGTTGTTTGATTAGAAGGCGTTGAAATTTGATTGGCTGAGGGTGGGCGAATTCCAGCTGAGATGACACCAGCACTAGAATTTTGAAGAGATTTAACCTGCTGCGGATTTGCTTTCCCTGCACTGGCAGACTTCACATTACTTGTATTGCTTATCTGTGCTCCTCTAGAGACCTGAACTATGTGAGTCAACTGAACATTTCCTGTAGTAGAAGTCTTTGTCACACTGGGTGGTGTACTTTGGAGAAGCATTTTCTGTAATTCTGAGGAATGCTTGGAGCCAGAACTATCCGAGACACTTGTAGAACTGTGCACAGACTGTTGTTTCACTCCATTAATGGGACTTCTACTGTGACCTGCCTCTACAGTGCCAGTCTTGTTAATGCTATGAGAAGTCAAGGATCCAAGAGTTCCCAAGGTCAAGGTCATATTGGCTTGCTTGCTGCTTGGAGAAAATGGAGAAGTATTTTTTGAATTGCTGAGATTTTTATTGGATGTTTTTGATTGAGTTGATAATGGTGAAGATTGTTCCTGTTTAAATTCCTTCTTGATGGGGGATAAATGTTCTTTGATTGTTACATTTGATTCCTTCCCCACCAAAGTTGAAGAAGAACCATTACAAAGGACTCTATTTGAAGATTTTAATTCTATCTCCTTTTCCAGCTCAACATCTATCACCTGTAATCATACAAAAGATATTTAATGTACCTATCTAAAATTTATAAAATTATTAAAAGTTTTATTTCTTGCATTCATTGTCCACAAAAATATATTTTTAATTTTTCACAGAACTGGTCTTACAGTAAAAGAGAAGACTACTAGTAAGTCCTGCAAGTGTATAGGTATGTATGTATTTAAATGTAAATGTCCTTAATTACCGTTTCAGATCCAAGAGTCTGCAGACCAGTGTAAGTTCTGTCAAGCTGAAGAAAAGATAATCAGAAAAAATATCAAGACCTGTAATCTGCTGTCAATTCACTTTTTTGGCTTAGTTCTGAAACTTTGAATAAACTACAATCTCCCCAGATATCCAACTCACTGAAGGAACATGTACACTTAGGGACTAAATGTCTTTGCTGAATTCACATATGTCAAGCTTAAAATGTTTCATATATTAAACTAATACTATCCACAAAATAGAAATAAAAAGTCTGAGTCCTCATAAGAAATCCTTCTGTATTTACCTTTAACTGATGAATGACGTCTACTTTCTTATTCCTTGAATCCTGAAAGTACAGCTGCACTCGGACAGGAAATTCTCCCCAGCCTCGCCGTGTCAGATGAAAGGGTGGTTGTCTTAAAAAAACAAAGTGTTTGTGAAACAATGATGCCCCAATACATGTATGGCACCTCATGGTGAAAATTAAAATTTCTCAAATGCAAGTCAAACTCCTAGGTCAAATTTGTTAGTACCCAAGAAATGTCTAGTATTAAGGAATATTTATGTGAAATACAACAGCCCTTACACCAACTATAGGTATGGCCAAGGTTAAAGTTTTTTTTCAAAACTAGATAAAACATCAAGGTTAGGTCAAGGGGTCAAAATAGCTGGAGTGACAAATAAAACCCATGACACTAACCTTTTAAAATCTATAACCATGAAGCTTTAAAGTTTTTCAAAAGTAGGTCAAACTCTGATTAATACATCTGTGAAATATGAATGCCATAGCTCTAACCAATCAAAAGTTATGGGCAAGGTTAATTTTTTGTGGACAAACAGACAGATGAACAGGCAAAAACTTTTTGATAATGATGGCATAAAAATCTTTAATTCAAGAAATCTATTAACTTACGACACTTCAACTAGGTCATTAGGTCTGTAGCTGGGGTGCAAGAAAAACCAGACTTTTTTCACAAAGTGATCAATATTGGGCTCCCCTTTGGGGCCCCTGACATACACCATCCACTTGTGAGTTGATTGGTCATTCTCGTCTCTTCTATCCACCGGAATATACCTGCCGAATACCAAATGCTGCTTAATGCACATTCAGATGTCTACATCTTAAAATTCAACTAAAGAAGATGAAGACATCTGGAAAATTTGTTGAATAAATTTGGTCTTCTTACTTACTTTGATACATTCCCTATCACAATTCTCTTCTTGACTTTGAATCGATCAGATCTATTTGTTATTCCACTCAAAGATGGCTCCTCCTTGATCATCTTGTCCTCCTTTGTATGAACATTTAATTTTTAATTATTGATGCAAACATTTTTTTACCAAAACAAGACAGACAATGAATTTTTATCATTACAAAACACACACATTCTACATCAATGACTTTTCCTATACATTGCAATAGTTAAGTTTAAACAATTAAGTATTATTATGGGTACTTGGAGAGCTTTTTTTATCCATATATTTCTAACTTTTCTTTGTGACAGAAGGAAAAGAACTGATAACATGAACAAATTCCAACTTGAGACTTGTGATGTTACATAATAACATTAGCAAGGCATTCAATGTACCTCTTTCTCTTCCTGTGGTTCCTGCTTCATAATCAGTTTCTCTGTGGTGTCTCCTTCTACTTTTGGTTCCACTTTGACCTTGACATTGAGAGGTCGCTTTCCCAGGGTGTCCTTGACTGTTGGGTGTATGGGTGCACTCTGCTGGGGATCACCCTGGTATAAACAATTACATGTAAGTAAAAGTAGGCTAAAATTTATCACTGTTAAAAGTAACAAGCACTAGATGATTTCTTGATGTGTGATATTTTTAAGTGTTTATATGCCTTCAGAAAATCAAGGATTCTATTAAACATTACAGATTTTTATTTCATCTACAAAATATTTTGTAAATCATTTCTCTCTGTGACCTTCAGTGAAACAAACTCTTAAAGGATTTCACTGCTATCCAAAACTTATTGTGCAGATATTATAAGTAGTTCAATATCATACAGTGTGTAGATATATATTGTATATTTTATAAGCACTACTTCTTATTGTGTGTAGATATACAATGTATACCTTGATATGTCTCTGTTGACCTGCTGCTCCATAGTAATTAGCAATGATACAGGCTCGCAGCCTGTCCATCATCATCTGGCTATGTCTTAGACTCTATAACAACAAACAGAAAGTAGGAATATTTGTCCATGTATGTACTTTTTTAAAAAGAATATTAGTTTAAGGTAAAAAAAAACAACACAAAAACATTTTATTGATTCTGGTACCTGGTCAATGCAGTCTAACTCCTTCTCTTTGTTCTTGATTTCTTGGTGAAATTCTTTTCTTACAATCAGGTCTATTTTCTTTCTTGTTGTTTCCTTGGCTATTAAATATATAGTTTACCATAAATTTCCAGTGAAAATACTTCAGTACATTAAATATACTTATTTATCAACTTAGATGAGAAATAATTTTCTATTATGTAAAGATTTTGCTTTATCTCTGTGTTATTAGGATTGATGAGTAGAATAAAAATCCAAATTTCTTTTTCTATACAACAATATTTAAACAAACCATCCTCTTCCAGAACTTTCTGTCTTTTGCTCTGAGCCTGGGTTACATCTTCATAATCAGGATCAATGTCTATGTGACCTCTTTTTGTTGCCATTCTAGGGGTACTAATTCTAAAATTTAAAATATTTAGATCATTAAAATATTAAAATATTAAGATGCATAAAATAAATGTGCAGAATGGATCAATAATGTTTGACTGTTAAAAATTATTTTACAAACTTACCACACAAACTTACGTTTCTGAAGTCAATTAGACAATTACAGTTAGAATATTTCTTTTTCAAATAATTTTTTCTGCTTTCCTTAAGGTCATTTTACAAAGCAGCGCCTCTAGTGAATATGCACTTTTTATACCACATAGCATTTTTAGAATGTTTTCAAGGTGTTTCATGTAACTTTTCTTTACTCTTGTATCATATGCACAGTGGTAGCCAAGATTGAAATGACAGTCAACATGCATTTATATAGATATGTGTGTATAGTTTATTTTTCCTCTTGTTTCATAGAAACAATGAAGGCCAGGACTGAAATGACAATCAATAAGTATATTTATATTGCTGGCAACGCCAGCTAAGTTATAAACTTTTCTATCAGGAAACAGGAACATCCAGTTCTTAATCATCATAAAAATACAACAGTCTGCATTAAACGAATAAACCAGCTCCATGCATTATAGACTATCTGCATGACAGATTACTTCTGGTTTGCAAACACGTAAATTTAAATGTATCAATTGCCCTTTGTAAACAGCACTGATTACGGAAAAATTTATGAGAAACATAAATTAATAGGTTTTTATTAAATTTAAACACATAAAAATAAATTAATGCATGATTATGTGACGTACCACATGAACTCCATCAGTTTCATTCATTCCTAATGCACTTCATACTGTCAACTACATTTCTGACGGTAATTTATAAAGTGCGGTGCATGATTGCATTTCAGCATTGTCAAACCATGGCAACAAACATCAAACAATATTTAAGAACTTATTTAGTAAAATAAATTGTGCTTTTGAAAAGAAAGAACAAGTTTCTCACGTTCAACATTTCTGTTTCATGGAGGCCGCCATCTTGTAAGTCGATGTTTATGTAGCGGAAAAACAATACACGCGGAATGCCATTTTCCGTATAATTGGAAAACACAAGTATTTCAAAACAATTCATATTCAATAGCTCTATCTGACTCGATGATGTTCTTTTTAATAGTTGTTTTCATAACTGTTAGTTCTCTGGATTAATGTTTTTCAATAGAAGATTTTTTTTTTCCGAGAGGCGAACCTGTTTTCGCGGGAAATCATAAACACAGAGGTGGATCAACCAATAACAAAGAGGCGGGGAAAGGACTGTCGGCCAGGTGGGTGTTACTATAAGTCTCCATGTTGTTAGCATTTTGAATTTCTAGAAAACAGTTAGGAAGTATGCAAGAAGTCTCTCAGAAATGAGTAATTATCAAAAACCACAGAAATAAAATATCTGCATGGAAAATCAATATATTCCTTGCATTAAGAATTTTTTTTTCAATTGTTACAATGAAAAACATAGAACACAAAAACACTAAACTCCCACCTAGAAATTATTTGATTTCAGAGTAAGAAGAAATCAAAATACTGATTCTCCTCAAATTTTGTCCTTCCTCTTACAGAGACATTTTTTTTTACTTACCTGAAAAAGTTGACAAGCAAAAAAAAAGATAATTGCCCTAACTCGAAAATCCTATTTTGTGTGTGTGTGTGTGGGGGGGGGGGGGGGGGGGGGGGGGTAGAGGCCAACTACATTCAGTACCACATTTTTTGCTCAAAACTCTACAGTATCTCTATTTCACTATACATAGTAAAAAGTGGGGGGTCAACCAGTATTTCAATGAACATTTTCAGTAGTAAAAGTTATGTCTGGAAAAAAAGTGGCTGCCCCCCTCCCCCTGTTGCTACGTGCCTGCACAATAATACAAATTTTACTATCAAAAGGTGCAAAAATGATCATAAAATTAGTTCAGATTAGTTTGTGAAAGCATTACAAATAAAGAACCAGTTATAATTTTTCAATGAAACATGAGCAGAATTTATCTGAAATTAAAGTTAAAATTTCGGTAAAAATATCGTTAATGGAAGTTAATTATCAGCAATGGAAGTTAAATTTTTAAGAGAGACGATTGTTTTTCACTTAATTCATTTTGTAATGTTGAAAATGTCAAATGTAATGGTATAAAATAGCTGACTCGCAACTAGAATCAACTATATTAGGTTGGAACCGTGGTCACTTTCAGATAATTTTCAGTTCTTTTTGGAAATCTGCATTCTGTGCGTGAAATTTAAAACAAAATCGTTACGGAAGTTAATCGGAAGAACCATGCATTTCTTTGCGAGAAGCTTAAGGGGTTTGATTAATTTTTATGTGGGATAAAAATCATTTTTTTAACATTCCTTGCAATTTGTTTGGAACTCTTTTACGACTTGTTGTAAGATTTGCAACTGGAATACGTTTTTCTACATTACATTATGATCATGTGAAGACTTTAACTACATACATATTATATTGGTAAATATTTACAAAACCATTTGAGTATGTTAAGTCTTAGAGAGTTAAAATCGATTTTTTATAGTGAAGAAATTACAACGGTAAATTACAAATTTTGTATGCGACATAAAAAAAATCGTAGTTGGGCATGCTTTTGTAGAATGACTGAACTATATTTAGATAACATAATCTGCAATTTTATTAATTTCAGCAAGCGAATTATTATTATGTCAGTTCGTATTTAATTTTTTCAAAAATGCAAATCAACGTGTTTTATTCAATTGCAAAGTTAATTTATACGGGTCAAGTGGTCACCTCTCAGTGTTGCTCTAAGACATCTTGGCTCTAATTCAATCCGTAAAAATCAAATATCCTGAATCATTTTAATTACTTATCTAGTATACGTTATATTGTACTATGTCCTCATAATCAGACAGTGAAATTTTAATTGTGAAGCTTGATTACGTCTCTGGAGAGACTGTGGTTTTATTCATAATTATAAGTGTGTCACATTAATTTCCGTTTGCACTTTTTTGACATTTAACATTCAACTGAATTTGACAAAGAAGTAAATTCATACACACTTAAAAGTGCAAACATTTCATCATCAGTGTAATATTTTTAAAGACGTGGGCACAACAATGGGGTTTTAATGAATTCCATCTTAAACTGTTATCAGAAAAAAGATTTTCTCTGACACCTATCCCACCATATACTTTTTATTGTGGGTTATGGTGAAATAATCTAGATCCTATTCCGATTTAGGAGACGCGTTCTTTGTCAAACACAACCATAGGGAATTGGCTGCTGGAATGTGCATAGCCTGTATATCAAACAGGGCGACAGTTACATGTAGAATCGTTCTCCGCGTGAAAATAATAACATCCAATGGATCAAAACACATCGAGTAGGGACATCACATACCAATAGTCAACTTTCGAAGAACCGGCTATTATCAGAGAGATGAAGAAGATTGCGATGAAAGAGAGACAGAAGTTTCGTAGAATGCATGGAGACCTGTTAAGTGGCGAATATCAAATTAAATTTTAGTCAAAATGACTTACGTGACTGTATTGGTTTGATGATGCAGAAAACACAAAAGAAAGTAGGTGATACAATATCTCTCAACCTTCTGATTAACTTTGAAAACCTAAACACAAAAAGAATCAACAAGGAACAGGAGAATTTAACAGCAATAGATAAAGACTGTTCACTGTTCAGTAATTTGCAGAACGGTATTCATGCACACAGATATCCAGAAGACAATGTGGGACTCTTCTGATGTTCAGCCACTTTGTTCAGGTCATTGTAACGAAATAAATAAAAAAAAGTCCATTAAACAATACAAATTTTGAAGCAGAGCGAACACGGACTCTGTAACATCAGAAGTGGGATCAGGTGCCATGGAGGAGTGGCCCTCTGGATGTGCTTGCAAATCAAGGGGTTGACGTGTGAAGGGATCCTGCATTTGTAAACAAGCCAAGAAAAAACAAGGAAAAAGATCAAAGGATGCCTCTATAATTAACTCCCAAAAATCAAAGGACACAACAATTATGAGATCGTTTAAAATTTATGTTCAAAACAACTTACAGCATCTCATAGAACACCCCTGATGAAATTAATATGGACACATTCAATAAATTTTCTGGAAAATGGTGGTCATAGGAGAAAAAAGTAGAATGGATCTTAGTCAATATAGGTACACGGAAAAGACCAACACAAAATAAAAGAAGAGTAAATCAACTGTCGAATTCTAAGATTGTGAAAGATCGGTTCAAAGCATAATAATCGGAGGTATGGAAGAGTAAAGAGCACAAAGAAAGAACACGCAAACCAAGAAGTTCTAAAAGAATCTCCAATCAACACGGAATCCCACATAAACTCTTCTTCTTTTAGCTGCTGTATGTGCACTGACCTGAATGCAAGTGTTAGCTTGGATCAAAACTGTCAAGGGGGTTTAAATTATAAAAATGAATAATTATATGCCCGCCCCTCCTGTTCACTTTCTGTTTATGAGAAACCACACAAAAAATAATCGGAGAAGAATTAGCTGGACAAAATATAAATATCAAACATGCTGGAAGAACCGAATTTTACACATGATGTTATACTGAATCTCACCGATATGCAAGATAAAACCACCCAGCATGCAAAAAGACAATTAGCGATTGGTCCTGAAATCAACATCACGAAAACTAAGATTTTAAGGATCAATACGAAATCAGATGATCGAATCCCTTTTGACAGAACAAAAGTAGAAGGTGTCATCAACTTTTTCTTCCTCGGAAGTAGGAATGTGACTGATGGAGACTTGAAGGTCTATGTATTTGCTCGGGGTTTTAATGCACTGTACTATATATCTAACATATTCAAGAAGGGGATTGTTCTACGTATTAACAATTTCTAAAATACGAGGTAAGTCATTGACAAACAAGTTGATGAAGCAAGAATATCAGCAGTCTTGTTTAAAGTCATCATTTCGTAAGTTCTATGGTCGATACAATCATGACAATGACCTTTTTAGTAAATACAATTTATAATTGATTCAAATGCTGACTGACGTTTTTCATACTAATTGTTAGTCCATTATTTATACACTGAATTTTTTCCCGTTCTTTCCCGATCACGGCAAGGAGCACACAGCGGGTGTGACCAGTTTGCTGGTGATGCTCATTCCTCCATGTCACCCGATCCCACCTCTGATGTTATGGAGGTCCGTGTTTGCTACACTCTTATTTTGTAATATTTAATGAACTTTTGAGCTCGAATACTGTTCGTTATCTCCACATATTTCATTCTCGAATAAGAAAATACAAACAACAAAATTAAATGTTTTTAAAAGAAATTCTTGGAGTATGATTTCGAACCGCGGAAGACGACAAAAGTCATTATAAACAGGTTAGATGCCTTCCAGAGAGAAAGAGAAAAGAAATAAAACAACTGCTCAGGAAGCAGGTCTTTATAGGTGTTCTCAGGGTAGGCGAGCTAGGAATCCTCAGGTGACTGCCTTATAGGTGGTCTCAGGGTAGGCGAGCTAGGAATCCTCAGGTGACTGCCTTATAGGTGTTCTCAGGGTAGGCGAGCTTGGAATCCTCAGGTGACAGCCTTATAGGTGGTCTCAGGGTAGGCGAGCTAGGAATCCTCAGGTGACTGCCTTATAGGTGGTCTCAGGGTAGGCGAGCTTGGAATCCTCAGGTGACTGCCTTATAGGTGTTCTCAGGGTAGGCGAGCTTGGAATCCTCAGGTGACTGCCTTATAGGTGGTCTCAGGGTAGGCGAGCTAGGAATCCTCAGGTGACTGCCTTATAGGTGGTCTCAGGGTAGGCGAGCTTGGAATCCTCAGGTGACTGCCTTATAGGTATTCTAAGGGTAGGCGATCTTGGAATCCTCAGGTGACTGCCTTATGAACAGAGCAGCACGAAGAAGATTAGGTGAAGTAAGTATACTATTACCATGTTCGTAAGTATATGCAGTATTGTATTAAATATGTGATTTATAGTCACATTTATAATGCAAAAATATCCCTATTTCGAATGAAACTTGAGACAAAATATGCCCAAATGATAGGCTGTACTTCCTAACAAGGTCATTACATGTATAACGACCAAAGAGTTTTCGAAATGCTGAAGTTAAACAAAACTATTGAAATTCCTATACCATCATTTTGTTTTTTTATATGCAAGAGATTGTTCTTGCAGATCGTCGAAGTTGTGATACATACACTCTTTATGCAGGTGATAGTGGAATATTTCAATTTCTAAATTTTTTCTCTATAATAACCGTTTGAAAGTAAGCGGAGTTGATTTCCTTATAATTCTGCCGGAATGTAAATTAGGCAGGTCGATAGGTCAGCAGCTAAGGAGGCCTAATACGCTTGCAAATCTCATGCGCATCTGTCTCTTTGTCTGACGCTAAGGAGGCCAAATATGCATGTAAATCTCGTGCGGCTGCCTTTGTGTTTGACATCAGTGTGCGAGGACTATTGAAATTGGCATGGAAGTCCTCGTGTAATTTAAATCGATTAGTCTACATTCTTAATGTCTAAGTCTACAATTTTATTTCACAATGAAATGGAAATATAAGGAATCACTGTCTAGTTTTGAGAGTATGCCAGGGACATCAACAATAGTGGGAAACATGGGATAATTTTAGCATAACGGGCTTCGCCCGTTATGCAAATTATCCCATGTTTCCCACTATTGTTGATGCCCTGGCATACTCTCAAAACTAGACAGTGATTCCTTAAATATATAGCTAATAAGGAAAAACTAAAATCGTCTTTTTTAACGATGACTTATCGATCAAGCCATTACCAGCTCATTCAATTTTATGACTCAGAATAATGCAAATTTTTTCATTTACACTAAGAAAACCATCATTTTTTTTCTCTTTTTATTATATAACTATGTGTACAGTCATTTACTATTGTTTAGTACGACATTGACAGCAAATACAACACATCAGTAAGTCAAATACAGACTGAGATTTTACATACAGATTGTTAGCCCATTAACGACGTTCGATCCTGATATTTAAAGTCTTAAACTTTTTTTGCCAAGTATATTTTTAGTTTCTACATACATAGCTTAATTAAAATTCAAATCAAAAAATGAAGGTCAATATGCTTCTTTTGGCGCTACATTACATTGAATATGACCTTTTTGCACTGAAATTTGTGTCTTAATTAAAAAATTTAATTTTTGACATTTTCCCTCCAATATTTTATCCAGTTAAAAGCATGAAACAAAATGAACTGTTAAGTTTGTTTAAAAAAAGACACTAAAAAATTGTGACTAAGAAAAAGTTTCATATTGCTTCGCATAACAAATTATTTGACCTTTCTGCACTAATAAAAAGTGATTTTTCTGGCATTGAAAATTTAATAAGCAAAAAAATCATTTTAAAGTCTTTAACTTTTTCTGATTTTAAGCAAATAGGTCAATTTTTTCTTGAATATTTAGAAAAGAACATCAAAAGCGGGGGTACATGATGTAAATTTTCAGATATTACTAAAAAAGTGTCGATTTTACGTTAAAATTGGCTCAATTTTTTCCCGCGTTTTCAGAATATATTTACTATATTTGTCACAATTTGTTGACTGAATTCATAAGAAATAATTTAATAGATATTTCAGAACCAGCATAACACATTTCACTGCAAAAAACAGCTTTGTGCGCAACCAGGATGGAAAAATAAAAATCCAAAATTAACAGTACTGTTATAGTGCAAACTGGAAAAACTGATAATTTTCGTCTAAAAAACCTTCCGCCAGAAAATATAGTCCCTAGCTTAATTCTACTTGAATGGAATTTAATCGCGGTTTTTTCATTGAATATAGTTAAATTTGCCCTGTAGAATTCAGATTTAATGTTAGAATTTAAAAATGATACAGAATTTTATAAATAAAGGACCTGACCAAAATACGCTCAAAATCTCAGGATCGAACGTCCTTAATTATCTACGGATCTTTCCATTTTTTCTGATGATGACAAGGAGCACACGGGGGTTGTGACCGATTGGCAAGGGGATGCTCACTCCTCCAGGACACCTGATCCAAACCTCTGATGTTTTGGACGTCCGTGTTTGCTCCTCTCTTATTTTGTAATGTTCAATGAACTATTGAGATCGAATAATTTTCGTTATCTCCACATATTTCATTCTCGAATAAGAAAAAACAACCAAACCAAATGTTTTTAAAAGAAATTCTTGGAGTATGATTTGGAACCTCGGAAGGCGACAAAAGTCATTATAACAGGTTAGATGCCTTCCAGAGAGAAGGAGAGAAGAAATAAAACAACTGGTCCAGGAAGTGGGTCCTTATAGGTGGTGTCAGGGTAGGCGAGTTTGGGTATCCTCAGGTGACTGCCTTATAAACAGAGCAGCACGAAGATTAGGTAAAGTACAAGTATTATCATGTTCGTTAGTATATGCAATAATGTACTAAAAATTTTATTTTTAGTCAGATTTAGTGTAGAATATATATCCCAACTGGAATGAAACTTGAGTCAAATATGCCCAAATGATAGGTTAAATCAAGGTCATTATAACGACCAAAGAGTTGAAATTCCTGTACCATCATTATGTTTTTCGATACGCAAAAGATTGTTCTTGCAGATCGAAGAAGTTATGATACATAAACTCCATACACAGGAGACAGTGGAATATAACTAATGAGGGAAAGCTGAGGTCAACTCGTTTGTTTTTACCATATCCCTTTTAATGATGGCTTTTCGATCAAGTCATTACCAGCTCATTCAATTCTATCACTCAGTAAAATGAAAATATTTCCAATTACACTAAATTTATCCAGAACTTTTTCTCTTTCATAATGCAACTCGGTGTACAACCATTAACTATTGTTTAGCACGACATTGATAGCAAATAAAACTCATCAGTATGTCAAATGTAGAATGAGGTTCTACATATGCATTGTTAGCCCATTACTTATACACTGAATTATCTACGGATTTTCCGTTTTTCCCAATCATGATATGGAGCACACGTTGGGGGTGACCGGTTTGGAAGGGATGCTCATTCCTCCAAGGCACCCGATCCCACCTCAGGCCAAAATACAGAAGAAAAGTCACAATACACATGAAGTAGGACCAATGTAGGCTATGCTTTTCCAAAAGAGTTGCTTCATGATCATTGGTGGAGGTCCCATAAACCACAATCCCGATCAAGACGCATCCACCTAAAAATAGATAAAATATGAAATCAAACTTCTTTATATTAGTAAAATATTACTACCGTGTTTGAAACATTGTTTAGTATTATAAATATATTTCTTGTAACTTGAATTGAATAAAATGCGACGACCAATAAACGGCGCCGAATTCATTAATGATATTTTAAAGCCCACAAAATTTACCATAGAAGATTTTAAAAGATTGAACCGAACATCGTTAAGCCAACATGCTTCAAGTAAAGTAATTATTTTATTCTTGATAATGTAAGAGCGTATACAACCTTATACATCATTGTCCGGGTTTTATGTATTGAAACCATTATGTAACCCATGCATGTAATGAATAATAAAGAAGAATGTGATTGTACTTCTAATAAGAGTTAGACACGACAGTCGGTAAAATGTTGCCTGTGCGTAATCAGAATGATGGAATGAAATACAATTTTCTTTATGCATCATTTTCTCCTTTGATGAATAGCTAATACTGATTGCTTCGAGGACATCATTGTCATTAATTTTGTAATAGTCAGACATTTGTTTTACATATTGCTTTATTAAACTATACTCAAGAGAAGAACATAAAGAAAGTCAAATGTTTGATTTTCATATCCAAAGTTAAATTTTCACTGTTTTAAGTCAGTGTCAAAATACAGACTTTCATCTCCATGTATAAAGTCGATCCAGAAGAATGTATGATAATATAAAAAACAGAAACATTTCATATGAGGCACATCTTGTCGAAAAATAGAAGAAATAGACCCTCCTGTAAACTGAGATGCAATTAAATTTATCGCAGTGGCTTTCTCAATTATTACAGATAATTTTAATCCGTTTTACGAATCCCAGTTTAATCCAAATAAAAAAAAAATAAAGTAGTCTGCCATATTTGTTTCATAATGCATGTTTGACTGACTAATGACAGTGTGACTAATAGCTGAAGCTTTTTCACTGTCAAATTCTCCTTCTGGGGGTTATTTCTTATTAAACAATATCATAAAATCTCCAGCATATGGTGTGTAGGTCTTCATAGAAATTTGGCACTCAAGTCAATTCTTAAACCAAGGTAGGCCACTGACAAAGAAGTTGATTTTACATGACTTTCAACAAAATCTATTAAAATCATAATTTCGCAGATTCTATGGTTGATATGAAAACCTTGTTTTACAAAAATAATCAAATAATTGCTGGTACTTATTATACCAATTGCAAGACCATTCTAACACACTACTTTTAAGCAGATTTTTTTCCGTACACCTAATCAATACAGACAGCTTAAGGCGAATGTGACGAGGGGGTGAGGGTCTTATTCCTTTGGACACCTAATCAATTCTGGTTTTTCTAAAGGGGCCTTTTTCCCCTGTTTACAGTTTGTATTTTTTTACGGGATTTAGAAGATCGAAAAAAGTTCTTTATCTTTAACTTTTTGTTCATAAGGTAATTTCAGACTCTTCACTGAATAAAGCATTTCCATGTTCACTGCATGAATAGACCAAATTATAACCTTTACTAATGATATTTCCGTTTCAGCTGTTTTTGTTTTGTTTTGTTTTCCTTGCTGAATTTAAAAAACCAAACTACGAGATGAATCATCAGCGACCCAGTTAATAAAGCAGACCTAAGAAACGCAAAATGTCCTTGAATGAGAAATTAAACAGAATGGTCTTATAACGGGAAAAATGGGAAATGTATTAACACAATGTCTATCGAATTTGAAGCTTATTCCAATGAACATGCTACACTCATTGTAGCATCGATAAGATGGATTTGTCACAAAATTAAACAAAATCCAGTCTTTGCTGTAAGAGATAAAAACTATAGATTTGTGCAACTGTGGCAATTCATGTTTTATTTATTTGTAGACAGACTGAATCATTATTCCATGAATAAAACATTATTTCAATATAAACATCAAGATTTCAAGTGATTAATGAAATTAAATTTTCCTCCAACGAAACATCACCAGAAATCTTTCTAACGAGGAAAGATCCCACCGGCGACTTGACAACCTTGGATGCTGTGTTAAAATCTTGGTTAATGCATATAACGCAAAAGAAATGTTATAAATACAGTGTACTTTTCTTGAATACCTGATCATGCTTCTTCCAGAAAAATGCAGCTAGAGAGAAGATTATTTGAGCTATAAAATCTTTTTTTAAAAATTTAGTACCTGTTGATATGCTGGCTAAAATGGCGACGATATGAACAAAGTCACGTGAGGCGACTTCCCGTATGAACAAACAGAGTAGAGTAAGGGACAGAGTACCACAGGAGGCGAACAGTCCTATCGTCACGAATACTCGGGTCACTACTATGGCATCTGTAAATAAAATAAATATTTTAATAATGTATTTTATTATATGTTTACTTTTTAAAATAACTTCATCTTTTTGTAAAAATTTTGCATTAACACATGCCTTTCTGTACGAATTTTTGTAAACTTTCTACATTTTTCCTAAACTTGTGTTTTTCATCAAAAAATATTTTCGTACGTTATTTTTTATTGCCTATTCATTATATCACTAATGCTGAAATATATTCTGCATACCTATATCGTAAATTATTTTTAAAAAACCTGGGCATATTTTGTTATGATTTTTGGATATATGAATTTAATGTTACTATAGTATATATTTGATTTTATGTCGCCATGCAGAGCTTACTTAACTTTCAACTATTATATTCGCACTGAAAAAAATCATACAAAGAAAACTTGGATTAAAGGAGTTTAAGGGATTCCACACATTTTGGATTCGAAAAAAAAATGATTTAAATTTCATCAAATAATATCTGTCTATTTATTTAACGCAGTTAAAAAATTCGACAATTCCGAGGAAATGGTAGGAATGAGGCGATATATTTTATAGAGTATGACTATTATAAATAGCACAAAGAAGCTAAATAAAGCGGGGCAAAAGCCTTATGTCAAAATTATGAACTATTTCATAAAACAATAATTTGTTAGGCTTTCAACTCAAGATTTAGATATATCGACGACACATTATCAATTAACAATAATCATTTCCATGTATCTGCATTAAGTAATTTTTCAAGAAAATCCCAGCGAAATAAAAGATCACAGATTTTTGAACGTATTTTTATTTCAAATCTGGATATTGTTCTAGAAAAAAGACGTTAAAGCAAAGATTTATAATAAAAATAATGATTTCAACGTTTTTTCATGTCAAATTTAATCATTTGTGTAGAAATATACCATTTTCACCTGCAGATGTAGTTTATGTCTCCCAGTAGATTCGGTTCAAACCATGCTTACGTAATTACATATAATAAAACAAGGCAAGCTATTGACAAACGAGTTGACTACACAAGGCAAGCTATTGATAAACGAGTTGACTATGCAAGGATCTCAACAATATCATTGAAAGTCAACGTTTCACATATTTTGATCGATACAAAGAGCTTGTCAGAAAATACATATCTTTTAGAAGAATAATGAGTGACGTTTTCACATTAATCGATAGGTCATTATTTACACACTGAATTGTATTTGGATATTTCATTTACCCAATCATGACAAAAATTAAACGGCGAGTGCATGTAGCCGGTCGACAAGGTGTGTTTTCCTATCCATGGCACCGGATTCCACATTTGATTTTTTAGAAGTGCATGTTTAATTTGCTTTGTTCCAAAGTTGTTGCAATGAACTTATTAGTTAGATTACTGTTGGCTATCTCTATAATTCATCAATGCATTTCATAACCATTGACGGCTTGTATATCTCGGTATACTAGATAACCCTGTAAAAGACAGAATAACAAATACTAACAGACACGGCCACATCCAGAACATCCATTTGAGTGATCGATAGCTTGATACTGCACGATCATTTACTTGAAATAACTCGATTCTGATTCACTATTGTATGATTTCCAGTATCTTTCTCGCCTAATTTGATTTATCAGAGGAGAATTTCTACGTCTGGGGACGCTGCTTTCTCCATAAGAAGTTTCAGATGAAGATATTTAATCAATCGAAGCCTCTTGCACCATTAGACAATGACTATCGTTTATATCATATCAGTTTTCTTGCTATACTTGGCCTTTATATCTCGCACTTAATAAGGAATGTCAATTTCAGACATTTCTTTTATCATGATTGTTTGTCGGTCTCGAGATTTTATTTAGCATTCTTTATACCAATGTAGCATAAAATTGTGGGTATTTTTGTACATGTGTTTTCTCTGTGAAAAAAGTCAGAAATCTTATTGAATATTGTATTTTTTGTTTTGGAAACTAACATAAGCCCTGTAATAAGCACGGCAGAGTTGTGAAGTCTCTAGAGACTTTATTCTACAATTCTATAGAAATAGCGATGCCACAAACAAAACAAAACACCAAAGCTGGCTCAATTTATTTCAATGCATGTAACAAAATACTTATTGTAATTGTAAGAAAATGCCAAGAAAAACATTTATGAATTTATAATCAATTAAATATAGAAAATGTGAGTGAATAAAGTCCAATTGTCTGACACGAAATTAAATGAAAAGCCATGGAGGATCCTCTACAACTGGACATCTAAACTATATTTTATCAAGGAAGAAAGTTGCAAACATGAATATATTCTATCTTGTTAGTAGGAAAAATGGTAGATTTCTATTCTCTTCCTTTCTCAAATACGTTGCTCATTTAATGCAAATGACAGTCCCAAATTAATATTGTGAAGAACTGCTTTTTGTCACGAAAATTAATTTTCAGTCCAAAAAAGATCGATATATATTTTGAGGGAAATCGACTGAGAATGAAATACCACCGCTGTTTGTAGCTATATTAATAACGACGCATACCTAAGAATGAATAATGCCAGAGAAACGCATACTAGTATTTGGTTTTTGATTTTCAAAAGAAATATACGATGAGCAAATCAGCATTTTTTTTATAAGAAACAATAAGCAGACCTATTTTTGCATTCATATGAAGCAGAATATAATCAAAATCTTGTACACGAGAAGAAGAAAACACTTGCCGTGACCTTCAACTTCACTTTTAAATATATCGCCGTCATAATATTAATTTGCATTAATTCTTTCAATTCTAAATGATATATCTCAGTGAGTTTGAAACAAAACTTATATCTTTAACATTGTTGGAGATTTTACTAGAAAGAGACGTTGATGGTTAACCTAACAACAAAGCTTTATCATGCATAAATGTGATGACTTCAGCATATTATCAATCATCAGCTTCCTTACTTAAGTAGCAATATACCCCTATCACCTGCATACGGTGTTCATATAAGATGATTCGATACGCAGCAGCATGTAATAAGTACGGGCAATTTTTAAAACGAGGTAAGTTATTGACAAACAAGTTGATGAAACAAGAATATCAGTTAGGCTCGTTTAAAGTTATCATTTCTTAAGTTCTTTGGTCGATACAATGGCCTTGTCAGCAAATACATTAATTTATCATTACTTCAAATGATGTCTGACGTTTTTCATAAGATTAATAAACCATTATTTAAATACTTGATTGTCTACAGATTCCTGAACATGCCAAGGAGCACACGGTGGGTGGGACCGGTCGGCAGGGGATGCTCACTCCATCAGGGCACCTGATCCTACCTCTGATGTTTTAGAGGTTCGTGTTTGATATGTTCCTTATTTGTATTGTTTGACTGGAATATTAGCTTGAATACTGTTCCTTGTATCCATTTATTTCATCAGCATTCAGAAATTCCTAAGTTAAGATGTTGGTGTTTTTTTTAGATAACGCAGAAGAAAATTCGACTGGTTGGACAGAAGTCGCCCCTACAGAGTAGGACATTGAATTTTAAATTTATCGAAGAACACAAAGGTAGAAAGTTAATAATATGAAATTATCATACACTCAAATAGCCTGTCGAACTTAAACTCGGGAATGTTTATCACTTTAACCGAAATATTTTCTTTAAATTACAGTTTTCTTATGATAATCCACGAAGATCCCAGTAAAAGTATGTCTAACTGTTGCATGACGTTACTGATCTTCTTTTGGGCATGGCAAGGTGTGGAACGCTAGGAACGATGCTTCTATACTTTGGGTTAATTTACTATGCCTCTTCACTTTATCAAAACCCCTTAGTGTGTTGTAAATTAAGAATTAGGGTGTAAATATCACAACTAGTATAAGATGATATTTATTGCTGTTTTTCCAGATAAAAAATACAGATCGAAATGAATTAGTGGGTAAGTTCTCCTGTCTATAGTCTGAAACCTTAATTCATTTTAACTAACAGGAATTTTTTTATTCATATTACAAATACATGTACTAATGAAAATTAATGTTTTGATTCAAATTCTTGATCTAACTTATTTTTGTGATAAAATTGAAATTATTTCATTTGTTTGTGTGTATGCAGGTGAGATATTTTTTTTAACACTACGTGTAAATGTTTAGAATAATGCAACAGTAACGACTGTCAAAAAGGACCTACCAATAAGAATAAAAGCAAACCTTTAAATGAAAAACCTGTATATTCTAGTTATTAGTAGTTTTTTTTTTCAAGAAAATTAGCTATTAAGATCGATGGTCACAAGGAAAATATAACAGAAGAACAAAAATCATTAAATACTAGTTCTGCAATTTCAGAATCCAAACTCTTTGTGTTTGTATATTTCTCCAGCTTCTATCTATAACTTTTATCTTTTTTCAATACAATAACACTCGGACACATAAGTGGGGTCGGTAATATTGCACGCTATTGACTTCTTCCTATCAGTAAACAACATCATTATGATTATAATAGCCTAATCTGTTATCTCGATGTTTTCCCTGTGTTATGCAATGCGCATGCTGAGTTATTTGTCTTGCATTGCCTCTTCATAAATTGCTCAAATACATAACAATTGCAATTAACAAGAAAAAAGATAACCTGATTATTAATTTGTTTCCTCTAAATACAGAAACACACATGGTTTTATTTTCTAGAACTTCTTCTTAGAGCAAGGCAAATTTATCCTCTAAAATAAGAGCTTCTAATGTACAGAAAAAAGATTGTGGATAAACATCTCCCCAGTTTATGTTATTCACAACTGTATTATACATTTATGTGAGAAAAAGATCTGGTTGATGTCGTCCCTGACATGAAACTGTGAAACCCTGTACTGATCTCCTTCAAACAGGTGTAACAAAAATCATAAGAAACCCTTTAAATTCATTATCTTTGAATATTTTTATTCTAAGAGTTCATGAAATCCCCATTATCAGTTATTAGAACTAAAAATAATCGTCGACTTCTTAAATTCAGAAAAGATACAGAAGTTTATATTTCCATGGATTCAAAATAAACGTATTTTCAATAAAAGTATCTACGAATATTTAAACAATAAAATAAAAAAAAGTTCAAAATTTGTTTTAAAAAATAAAAACCTTACTATTCTAAGATTAAAAAGATTGATTTACCTCTTAATATGTTGACATTTATGGACATGCCAAGGATTTTCTTGTTATTAGTGATTTTTTAACAGGCAGTCGATAGGCTAAGCTAATTAAGATAGTAAAACGATTTAAATAATTTGAGATATGCCCACAAACATTTTAATCACCAGTATTTTGATACCAGTTTTAATTAGATGGTTGAGTTTTACATTTATCGACCGATAATGACGACACTTCGAAAATCTGTAAATATTTTGAAAAAGCAATTTTAGTTTTATTTGGAATTGCATTCAAAAGTGTTCAGAATATTTTATTTCCTACCTTCCAACTCCAAAACTGCAGATTGACAATTCGGATCTGCAGAAAAACAGGAGAAGCAATTCCAGAGTCCACAGTATGTATGCTTGATCTGAGGGTAAAAGCTTATATGTGGAGACACGTCTGTCACGCTCTCAATCAAACGCCAGTACGACGAGGCAAACGACACCAGATGGCACAAAAATCCCAGAAAAGCAGGAATTAAGCTCAATTTCAAAAACAGGCTGGACGATTTAAAAGTTTCGTTGAACATGTTTGTCATAAGACTTTGACTTTTCGTAGTAAACAGTTAAGTACTAGAACTCATGGTTGTACAAGTACTACACGTTATTTTCTGTAAGAGACACATTGCCATAACAACCTCAGATGCGCTAAACGCGTTTGATAGAACGAAGCCGATATTAATAGGAGCTAGCAGGCTCTCGTGTGATTTATTCTTCTTCAGCAGTTCTCTAGAGCTTACGAGGAACCTTAGTTTCAATGTCGGGGTTAATTATGAAGTAAGGGAGTGAGCCAATTAACATTTTTTTATACTCGATAAGGATAATCTGGTTTTCATGTTGACATGTTGAAGAAGTTATTAAGATAAACTTCAACAATATGAATAAGAATTCAATACATTCTGTACGGGGAATATACAAAACTTCTGGTATTATTGATGCAGGAAAACAATAGAGGAAATTTTTTTTTAAGCTTAATTCCAGGCTCTCTTGGTCTACTCTGTGACGCCCCAGTACCCTTGTGTTGAAATAAGATAAACGGTGTGGAAATCTCTTGCCGTTGATGCTAAAAGATGGAGATCAAGTATTTATTACTGACAAATATTGTTAAAATTTAAATAGGATCAATAAGTAACAAATATAAGAATTTAAAATCAATCAAACAATGAATAAATGGGATGTTTAAAAAGGATTTATATCCATTTGTTTATTTTTCCCATCTATAACCATAAAGCAGCGATATTTGAAAAAAGCTTTTAAAGGTAAAAACAGTAAAGAGCATTTCCACAGAAGGGAGTCAATATGGAAAACAAAACATTGAGTAACAATCTACTTAAATGTTACGTTTTGATTTTTAACTTTGAGGTAAAAGAATTTCCACCTGTGCTTAAGGTTAGTTATTCTAATTCGCTTACTGGCAAGAAATAGTATTCAAAACTGTCCTCTATAATGAAAAGTATTCAGCCTTACTAATAATCCCTATATACGTTATTTCATAGAAGAACATTAACAATTTAATGAGACCGAGAACTACAGATTTTTATTTCAATGTGGTGCTCAGGTGGGAGGAAGACAGTGGCTGATAAAAATAGGAAGAGGGCCATGTGTTTTATACATTCATTTCCTATGAGCACCCAAAAATTAACCAATCACATGAATCCAAAAGCTCTTGTCTGGTATATTTCTGAACCATCAATGAAATCGTATATAATGCTGCCTGTACTTTTAATTTCTCCTCGGGAAAGGGGTATCAGAAACTTCAAAACACGCACATTTCTAACACAAAAAAGATCTTTAGATGTCAGTTTTGGTTTTATTCATCCCAACAACCCCAGATGTATATTGCTTTTATGTCACGCCACCTACATTTATCTAAATAATTCCATTTTCCAAAATTATGTAATCTTTATTCACATACCTCTTGTACTCCAAATTTCAGTTCAACAATGTTTATGTTATATACGATATTTAAGGGTTAATTAGAAAATAAACCTAAATCTATAATTTTTTAAGATAAAGATTTAGTATATAAAGTGAGTAATTATTTTGATTTTTATATCCAGTGGAAAAGAAGTATTAACGTCAGTTGGTACACTGCACGTCTGCTTTAATTAACAATTTCAATGTTAGATACAGGGTTTATAGAGGAGGGCCGATCTAATTCAGTTATTTTTGCTTCTAAAAATACATCAATAGGGTTTATTTCACACTGAAACAAACACTTGAGTATTAACGTTATGTGACTTTTGTATGAATCAAACATGCTTTGCATTGCGAAAAAAGTAAGTAAAAAACACAAGTCTTCATGTACGTGCATTTATTGTCCAAAATGCATCATAATAATTTTGAACATATAACAATAATCAAATCTAATTTTTAAATATCATGTAATCCTTTATTTTCAAAACAATCTAAAAAGTAGTATTTCAATATTGTTTTGATTCATTTTTTCAACCAGGTATGCGAAATGACCGATAGAAAAAAATATACAAAACTTCAGAAAACACAGAATACCTGTTTTACTTTTAAAGGTTCCATGTAAGTGACGTGCTGAGAAACAATCAGACACACAAAAAGTTTTATTCTGAAAAAAAAATTACTTTTGCTGAAAAATTTAAAAATATGAACCCTAACTATTGAGTATACAGTATCAGAAGAATAAACCATATGTTAGTATTATTACAAAGTGCACATTTAACTAAGATTACAGTCCTAGGTGCATTGAAAAAAAGGAATCAACAATCCCATTTGTTCTCAAATGTTTAAAGTGTTTATCATAAAATATTTGACAAATAGCTTCAGTATTAATGCTAATTGTTGTTGATTAATAAAATTAATTCATTAATAACACCATTTAAGGACTGCTGGTGTATATAAGGAACGTGTAGCGATAATTCTGAAAAAAAATCCTTTAAAACAAAACATCAATTTAACACAGACAACACTGGCCTCTGAAGACAGGGACTGGATTGTGCCTGTGACCTGTCAACCGGTCACAACAGCCAATGCTCCTTGAATGGATCGGATAAATGGACAAAAGGAGTATTCCACTTAAGTATAGTAGCGTGGTCCCTTTTTACACCCTTGGTTTACTGCATAGATAGTAGGATTGGGTATTTTGTTTGATTTCATTGTGTATAATAAAGTATTTCTAATAATATGATTGTGCATTCATAATGAATTATCAAATACATCAAAAAATACAAGACAATTTTTAACACCCATCGCGCTAAAAATTGCTGTCCTCCATCAGACTACGATATGTAAATGGGCGGAGACATTTAGATTAGATACTATAAAAAGAATTATATGTTAAAGATTCACAATCAACAACTAAAACAATTTTCTATTCATTTCACAAAACTCTATAGCAATGTGAATGAACAACGATAACTTAACCAAACAAGTCCATATGCTGACCGAACATGTCACTGAACATTTCAACTGAGTGCTTGCTAACACTGTGGGCATTTACCTGTAACGACACAAATCCACGTGGCTTGTTGTGATTCGAGACAGGTCATAAGAGGTTAATCGCATGTAAATGAAGATAGCGAAGAGTTTCAAAATCACAATACTTTTAATTAGAAAGCATAGAGCACAAGGTTGTTCAACAAAGATATTTTTACTCATGCTTTACCCATATAATACACACATTATATATCAATCTCGACTCTGAACAAACATGTGCTCCTTGAAAGTGTGTACCTGTCAGTGATTTCTTTTGATATTCATGAAAATAAATGGACATATCTATTATTTGACAAATTTCAAATAATAAAGAAAATTACTTTGCTTTTGAAAGTAAAGACCTAACAATTTGTATGATAGACGACAGTCAATATTCGACAAATGTATTTGAAATCAAGGTCATTGTAAAATTACAAGAGACTCGGTCATCTACAAGTACATCAATATTATATTGCAGAACGTAAGAGTCTTTGTAGTATTAGCATGGGAGAGTATTTGTATAGCATAGTTGACCTTTTTTTCCTCTTTACAAAATAGTGTGCAAATGACCACTAACAAGGGATGCAAATATAGAAGAAGCAGTTGTCAACCTAGTAAAAAAAAATATTGCATTGAATTTATCGTAATGTATGATTGTATAAAGTGTTAAAATGTCATATGTTTTGATGCAGTTGCTTTTTGTTTTAAAACGTGATTTCAAAATTCGTACAGATGCCTTGGAGTTTTCAAGTATTCATAATTTATTAATAACACATCTTCAATAATGTAGCACAATATTGTACATTATTTCTAAATTTTTTCCCTCACTGCTGATTGGAAAAGTTCTTTATGAAGATATGAGATTGACTCATTATTTTTAGTTGTTTTTTTTTCTTGGAAAAAAAAATTGTTGAAAATTTAGATATGAATGAATAGAAATAATATTTATTTATCATTTTAATCTTTTCAGATACTAAAATGTCACTAGAGTAACCAATGGAAGAAAGGGTTGTTATATAAAAATATATGGAGAAATGGAGAAAATGAACAGTATTTAGGCTCAAAAATTCATTCAAACAATACAAATCAGAAGCAAATTAAGAAAAAGGATCATTTGGTACATTTTTTTAAACCAAATTTTTCAAAATTATTAACTAGATTCATGGTATACAAACACCAATTTAATGACAACTTTTTAAAACTTTTGCTCTCCAAACATGGTACCACCCTTCCCCGTGGTGCATGATTTGAGCTTTCAAATAAGTTTGATCTTTTCTGGTCCAGTGGTTCATAAAAAGATTTTTTTTTAATTTTCCCATCTAATTTTCTCTACTTTCTAATAATCTCTTCTTGAAAAAGGAAAGGCAGTGGGCAAAACCTCACTTAAGCCTTCTGCTACCGTGCGTCAAATGTAAAAAAAAAAAAAAAAGGCCAAAAACCAACCGTAGAAAAACTCTAAAGTCCATTACAATAATACAAATCGAGAGGAGAGCAAACATGGCGTGTGTTCCATCCGTGTTTTCCTTGTCATGAAAGGGAAACATCTGTAGACAATTCAATGTGTAATTAAGTTCGATATAATTTCAGAAATAACATATTTAATATTGAAAGCTATGTTCAAAATTCTATTTTTTTTTAAATTATGCAGCTGAACTAGACATGAAAAAGTAGTCCGGATAAGTTTTCTCAATCAAATATACGTTGAGATTTATGTGGTTTTATTTATTTTGAGTTGAAGCTTGCAGTATAAGAAACACGGCAATGTGTTTCGTATTCATTGCCAATTCCCGTCTTAAAACAATTAACCAATCATTTGAATTCAAAAGCAGTTGTCTGGTAAATTTCTAAACATATAAAATCTAATAATGTTGCTTGCACTTTAGATATTATTCTTGGAAGAAATTCATGAAAATCTGTGCAGTTCTGACATATATATTTAACTCCAGTTTTCATTTTGATTTACTTCTTTATTTTCTAGACTGGCTTGGTTTTATAGCTTACTTTTTATCTGATGCCACACACGTTCATTTTTCAAATAACGTTTAAATTGAACGATCCTTTGATTTTTTTTCTGCTAGAGTTGTTTCATGGCTGACATTCGTTAAGCTTACATTTCGTTATTTTGTTTGTTGGGATTCGACCATATAAACAAATAGATTTCGTTTTATCAATATTTTCCCTTCAATTTTTGAAATCAGTGCATACATCAAGCCTGTTTTTCTAAGGAATGATCAGTTAAAAGTAGAACGTTTAACTAACTTTGATATTCAAACAACTAAGACGTCTATCATTATTGCGTACACACCAACTGTTAATATTTTCTTTGTTAAGAAAAGACAATGAAGTTATACAATTTTTCATTTCAGATTATGAGTATCTTCTTTTTAAATAATGCCTCTTTTTTAGATTATGCCTTTAATTATATATTTTATTTATTTTACGTTTCTCAAAACTTTAATCTTTACAAAAATCAAAAGAAGTGTTACCAATTTTAGTATTTTTTACGAAATTTCGTGAAAGAATTGATTTTGATTAAATTGATTGAAAACTATTATTTCATCCTAAGACAATCCTAAATTATTTTTTATCAAACCTGTACTTGTGTTTCAGAAAATTTCACTACTGAATCAAAATTTCCTCACTGTTAGAAAGATTTAAATTTAGTCTTTAAAAAAATATCCCGATATAATTTCTCAGTAATTTTAATATTTAAAGGCGCATGGACACAGAGTTTTAATATATTTTTGTGTGAAAAATCAAAATATATAAGTCGTGATATTATACAGAAAATATTAACTTCAAATCTGTGTCCATGCACCTTTAAGCAAAACATCTATTTCATTTTTGGACATATTTTTAAAGAAGACGTTAATAGTAATCTAACAAAAAAAACTATATGATAAACGATATAACTTAAACTTTTCAATAGTTAACTTCCCTGACTTATGCAGAAATATCCTTATGACCTGCATATGGGGTTTATATCTCTAAAATGATTCTATCTGCAAGAGTATGCTGTACTTAAAGAAAAATTTCTAAAACGAGGTTAATTGTTGACAAACACGTTGATGAAACAAGAATATCAACTGTCTCGTTAAAAGTCATCATTCCGTAAATCATATGGTTGATACACCCGTCGACTTACCGATCACCGGGCAAGCGCTCTACCGCCTTAGCTACTTAACGGCCACAGTTCATGGCAGGAGTATCCTAACATAAAAAATAAACTGTGTGCAGATATATAGAAGACTGTAAACATATTGAGAAATTTAGACTCCATCATCTCTAAGCAATATAAAGGAGCAAGACTGCCAAAGGTATATATCCACTTACATGTAACCTTCAGTTCTATTCACCTGTCAGCTGTTCAGACCAAACCCCACTTAAAAGTCGCAATCTCTGATGTTTAGGAATGCGCACCGCTTATCAACATGTACAGTATAACATGGATCAATGGACTTGGTCATACTTATAGATTCTAAAAGACCGATATTATGCATATAAAAATGTGTATGTTCATTTAAAGAAAAATATAGTCCTGAGTGTTTTTAGTCAACCAAGAGGGTTGTTGATGACTAGATAAATATGCGTTTATTGATGAAAAAAGATGTTGATATTATGTGAAAACGTTTTAGCTGTTATATGTCTTGATGATGTCTTGAAAGAGACACACATATACATACTTATTCATCGTACCCAGAAACGGAAAGTTTTAGGCGAAAACGATACGTTAACATTATAAAAAAAAAACGTTTAAGAAATTATTTTATGACGTATTTTCATTTTATTTCATGAATAACATGCCAGCTTTAAAATTTAAAACACTGTTACAACCATCAAATAAAATGTTTAGAATGAAATAGAATTTCAATTATTTTTAAATACTTACGTGGCAAAAAATAAATTTACAACTTGTCGTCCGCCTTCACTTACTTAAATCAAGTTATAAAACAATAAACCTGTACTGCTATTGAAAAGATATTATAAATGCATAAAATAAGGTGACGTAACCATCCTTAGGGAGTGACCTCTAGAGGAGACATTGGGAGGAGGTGTATGGGTACATGTGATTGTAAATAGCTACTCATATTGTCCACCCATGTTAATATTGATTTAAGGTACACCCAAAAATTCTACATCTATAAATCTAAATCTGAACAGTCGAGGTAGAATTATAAACTTTAAAGACCAGCTGTTTTCGGTCTTTTCTGACGGAGAAGGATGTCACCAGCTGGAATATTTTCAATAATCTCTCTCTCTTTACGTACGTATGGCATTTTTTTTAATTCTCGGGTCCATCCAAATGTTGGGGATTTTTTTCTTAATTCTAGGGACCATTCCAACGTTACACAGTGTACTCACTTACTTTTCATAATCTAACTAACTGACATTAGAGGGCTATTTGATAAATTAAAATTCAGATCCATTCAAAACCTACAGTATAGTAAAAAAGAAGTGACATTTAAAAAGACTATTCTTGAATACTCTATATTTTAGTCACATTGACAGTAGATAGAATTTTTTAAAAAATCAATCTTTATAATGTAATAAAAATGTAATCGTTTCAGTAACAAATCTTAAATCTTCGAGAGGGAATCCATGTGAAGAATATGCACAACTACCCAATCCTTACGACCGCTACCTGACAAACAACATTAGTGGGTCAGCTGGGAGCATCTTACATGACAGGCACATTGAGGAGGGCTGGTACAGGGTGGGGTACGCTTTGGATATGCCAAACACACCCCCACCTTCTCATCTCCACTGTGGTACAACATTCCCCGTCTGGATGAACGGTAAAAGAAATAATTTCTTTATAGATAAGTTCAGATAAAAATATAGATTTAATCAATCTGAATACTAAAAATTTACCAAAATAAAACAAAATCATAATTGGATTGGAATTACAAGATGAAAGGCCTTTAAATTTTTTTCAACATGTCAGTTGCTTTATTGCAGGCAGGTCTTTAAGAATAAAAAAAAGGCTTTTAAACAAAAATCTTATTTAAGTATTAGTCTCACATTCTTTACGAAACATCCATCAGAAAGATTGTTTGTTACTGATTTAAGGAAGTATTCCAAGCACTTCTGAAGGAGAATCAGAAAGGAGCGTATGTTTCCTGGGTCACGTTGCGGGAAATTTTTGTGTTCACCATATTCATATAAAAGTTAAGAACTGCGGAGTATACAGGGTGTACTATCTTCCTCCCACACCAAGCAATGACGAGGCTTACTGCTTTGGTGAGTACAAAAAATAGTGTTCTATTTCAACAACGTTTATTCTGTGACTCTTTCTTTTTTGAACTATTCAGCTGTAAAATTCAATCATAATATGTTTATGCCTGATTGGTTTTCAATAATTTCTTGTACGTGTATAAGTTAATGCCAAAAATATCCTTTATAGGGACAAACAGAGCCGGTAAGTATGTAAAGAATGCATCATTTCAGTTTGTATCATTATCTGAGTAAAATATATGGTGTCATGAACTTATCTTATTAACAAATAAAATGATAATAAATATTAATTTCAAAAGTCGATGATTTTTACAGTCAAGCCAATTTATTTTTATCAAGGTAAACCATTTTAAATTTTGTAAATAATTTACAGATATTGAAAACGACAACAGTTCTCTCTCTGTTACAACAACATCTGTTACTGATGACGTCACAACATCATCAGAAAAAGAAAATGTTACAAGTAAACCTGAATTGGACCCTTGTTACAATTATTCTCCTCTTCCTAATGCATATGACCGGTACTATTCCAATGTTCTGAATGGATCCACGGGGGCCCTCGTTCATGACCGTCATCTGGTAGAGGGTTGGTATCGGGCAGGACACTCCCTGGACATGCCGAATATCACCCCTTCTCTTCTCCATTGTGGAACAATATTTCCTGCCTGGATGAATGGTAAGATTTTAAAAAAGAATGTATGCAATATAGAATTAAAATGATTCTAATTGTTTCTATAGAATCAAAACTGACTTTTAATAGTACAAATGAGCTAACTTTTGTGTAATTTGGCTAATTAACTAGTTGTTTAAGTCAACTATTCAATTTGTGGTTAGTCTACTTTTCCGATAAATGTCAACGGTTTACTTTGTTATATTAGGTGCTGTTATATGCAAATAGAGATACGTATTATAAAATTTGTTTCTATAAAATGGAGTTTTCCTTGGCGAAATCTTTCTTTATCATTTGCAAAAAGAAATTTCAATAAATAATTAAATTAAAATACCTTCGTGTATTCATATTACTTGCAAAATTATTACGACATAAATCCATCTGAAAAATTGTTAATTACCTATTTAAGGAAGTATCCCAAGCACTTCTGAAGGAGAAGCAGTGAGGAGGGTGTGTTTCCTGGGTCACATTGTTGGAAATTTTTGTGCTCACCATATTGATATAAAAGTTAAGAACTGCGGAATATACAGGGTGTATCATCTTCCTCCCACACCAAGCAATGACGAGGCTTACTGCTTTGGTGAGTACAAAATATTGTACTCTGTATCAACAATATTTGTTCTGTAACTCTGTCGTGTTTCATAAAAGGTTAAAAATTCAAGTACAACATGTTTATGCATGACTGATTTTCAATACGAGTAATTTCCACCGTAAGTAAAGGTCTAACATATCTTTTATAGGGACAGACAGAATCGGTAAGTATGAAAAATGTTCAATTTAATTTTAATTTTAAAATAATATCTTAGAGCACAATTGTCACAAAACTTGTTATCTAAGAAAAAAAAAGCAAATGGAATTATATGATCAAAGAGTTTACAAAATCAATCTTTTTACAGTCAAACCAATTCATTTTTATCAAGGTAAACCATTATAAAATTTGTAAAATAATTTACAGATATTGAAAACGACAACAGTTCTCTCTCTGTTACAACAACATCTGTTACTGATGACGTCACAACATCATCAGAAAAAGAAAATGTTACAAGTAAACCGGAACTGGACCCTTGTTACAATTATTCTCCTCTTCCTAATGATTATGACCGGTACTATTCCAATGTTCTGAATGGATCCACGGGGGCCCTCGTTCATGACCGTCATCTGGAGGAGGGATGGTATCGGGCAGGACACTCCCTGGACATGCCTAATATCACCCCTTCTCTTCTCCACTGTGGAACAATATTTCCCGCTTGGATGGATGGTAATTTAAAAAAAAAAGACGCTATGTATTATAGAATAATTATGATTCTCTTTGTTTCAGTAGAATCAATACTGCCTTTTTACCGTATAACAGAGCTAATTTTGTGTAATTTGACTAATCTTGTTTTGTAAATTAACTAATCACTATGTGGTTCTTAGTCTATTTTACCAATTAAAGATATATCAGACAAACTTTATTTCAGAAATCAGCAATATTTCTTATGGACTTATATTCAATTTAGTAATCTGATTATGTTTGCAAGATAAAGTAGTAGAAGAATGTGTTAGATTCTGTCACAAATATAAAATAAATTTTGCAAACTTTTGTATAGAATTACATAGAAATACGACACAAAGTATCATACTGAAGAAAAACGACACAAAATATCACACTGAAAAAAAACGACACAAAGAATCATACTGAAGAAAAACGACACAAAGAATCATACTGAAGCACCAAAGAAAACTCACTATTTCTTTTCTATTTCCTTCCTATTCAAAATCAATTAAAAACATACCGATTCGTTTTAAGATAGGAGTTATATTTTCGAAACTAAATGTTATTTTCACATGTCTTTATCCATTCATGGCTATGTGGCAATATTCTCATATTTCCATTTTGCTTGAAAAATAATGATTCATTTGTATAAGGTCGGAATTCATTTCATGCAAAACATTTGTTCAGTTATATTTTTAATCTTTAACAAGGCTATTCAAATAATTTGATGATATAACATGTTGTTATTATTATTTTTTGTTATCAGGGGAGATTCCAGACACCACAGATGGTGTGGCAGAAAGAAAAGTTTGTTTTCTGGGTCACCTGGTAGGAAACTACTGCGTCCACCATTTACAGATATTAGTGAAGAACTGTGGCGTCTACAGAGTATATTATTTATACCCAACACCGAGTAACGACGAAGCCTACTGTTTTGGTGTGTTCTTATTTACATATTTGGATAATTTGTCATCGTATTTCACTTGCCTGTTTTTTTATGTTCTAAGATGTCTACACATACATATTTCTTTCTTTCAGGAATGGAGAAAACAGGTGTGTACACTCCAAAATATATCTAATTACCTTTAAAATTAGTATTTTAGTTAGTTTGTTAGTGAATATATTTAACTAACACTGTATTGAATATCAGAAAAAAAAACACGTTTAAGAACACCAGATACGAATGATATGGATTCTTTGATAATAAGTTCTTTAATAAACACATACCGGGGTATTTAGATTAGTTCTGTTTTGTAAGCAATTATAAGACCAATGTACATATGTATATTAATAAAAAAAATAATTTGAAACTACCTATCATGGCAATCTACATATATATATATATATATATACTATATCCCAAGTATAGTTTTCTGTAATCATGTATAAAATTAGTCTTGAAAATAAATGTGATTAAATCAAGTTGTATGCAATTTGCTCGTGTAATAGAATAATTAGTCAGTTTTTTTTTTTTACATTAGAGTCTACTACGAGCTCCGTTGGATCAACCACACCATTTACTTTGCGTACAACTGCTACAAACGAAATCGGGAATTCAACCATTTCAAAACCTCAAGAAACTACTACAAATGATTTGGAATTAGAGTTAACGACCTCAGACCAATATAGCACTGCAGATTATGGAACTTCCGCGTCCCACATTACAATATCAACTCAAACTACCCAACAATTGACAACTAATTCAACTACTAAACCCCACACTACATCCCAGGCCGATCCTTGTTTAAGCTATTCAATCCTTCCAAATTATGAAGATCGCTTTATACAGAACGTTGTCAATGAAAATAGTTCTTTCATTGACGACAAGGACCTACCAAAACACTGGTACCGCGCTGGTAACCTGGATATTCCAGTAATTAGGCCGACCCTATATCACTGTGGAACCGTGTATCCAGGGTATCTAAAAGGTTAGAGGAATCTTTAATTATAAAGGAAAAAAGTGTGTGAAAACTTACATTCTTCATAAAGTTTACATAAAGAAAATTTTGATTTATTACCTTTGTATATAACTACATGTAGCGACATCGTATTCATTTAATCATTTAGATTTATCAATTTTAGAAAATGCTCTTAATATTTCGAATATTATTCTTTTTAGCTTGAACATTATTTCTAACATTAAACAACACACTGCAGGTTCCATACCGAATGTAACAGCTGGGGTGGTGACCAGAACCGTCTGTTTCTATGGTGATGACGACAATTGGTGTCATCAAACTGTTTCGATAAACGTGAAAAATTGTGGCACGTACCGAGTTTATTTTTTGAAACCAACCGATATTAAGAGCTCAGGATATTGTTTTGGTAAATGGATTAATAAATTAACAATATTTAGATACATATCAGAAACAACTGAATTTTTGAGAGAGGTTCCTTATAAAGCAAATATGTACGAATTTTGAAAGAAATAATTTGGTTTTTTTTTCTTAATTAGACACAACATATTTGTAGCATATTAAAAATATCATTAATCAAATATTGGAAAATAATATCGATTAAATAGATCAGGGGTCCCTTTTAAAAAAGAACTCACGACTGAGGCCAAAACTAAATTCTGCTGATAACTTTCAAAATTAAAATGAATGAAGATGAATTAATCTTTATAAAAGTTATACAGAAAGTTTATTTCAAGATGGTAATTTTAAACAAGATAATTAATTTTGAACGAGTTTACATGCAGTTTAAGCTTTTGATCTTAGTCGTAAGTTCTTTTGTAAAACGGGCAACAGATACCGGTATTAAATATATATTTAATATAAAAATATATGCACAATCTTATTAATGTTTTGAAAGGGTCCAACCCCTCTACCAATGTCACAACCACGACATTCTCTACAACCCAAACGACACGAGACAGCAGTGCGACAAAAACAACCCTAACAACTACAGACGAGTTAGAAAAAGATGAAACGACCTTAGATCAATACACCAGTACAGTGACTACAATTGTATCCAACGGTACTTAATGTTCTCCATAACTGATAGTAATTTCAGCTTATGTTATTTCATGTGTCATCATTAAAATTTCCTTTAGATTCATTGGTATTTTTAACTGAAGCTTAGTCAGCTATCCTCTTTTCACTGGGATAATAACTATCAGTTGCCCGCTTGGCGCAGTGGTTAGAGCGTCTGCTCTAGATCCGCGAAGTAAGGAGTTGATCCTTACGTCGCGGGTTCGAATCCCATTGTGGTCCTTTGGATGAGAACGTATAAACCGAGGTCCCGTGTCGCAGTAGGAGTTGTCACGAAAAAGATTCTTCCCTACTCAATGGCCCTAAGTGCCGAGTATAGGCCAAAATTTGCAGCTCTCCGCCGGCAAGTGGTGGCGTCTCCATATGAGTAAAAGATTCTTGAGAGGGACGTTAAACAATGTACAATCAATCCATTTAAACCAATCATTTTTCGGTTTTATATTTACTAAAAAGTATACTTTTAGTCATAAATTATTCTACGATTTGATGACGGTGACATGATATGGTTATTAATGCAATAAATAAATCATAATTTTTCAGGGACTGCGATGACAACTAACTCTTCAAGCACAACACGCACTACTGTACCATCAACTGGAGTCAGCGTCACAAATTCTACGACGGCTATCCCTCAGATAACAACTACTGAAAATCCGGGATCTGAGATGATAACTAACGCATCGAGCACACCTCGTCAAACTAAATCAACAACTCATGCCATTAACGTCACGAATTCCACTACAGCTTTACCTCATGAAACAACTACAAATAATCCAAGTTTTAATCTGACAGGCAATATATCAAGCTCAACTCAACCGTCTTCACAAACAACTCTTACTATCAATGCAACAGATCCAACCACGTTGGAATCTCAAGAAACAACATTGGAAAATTCAGGTACGTTATGTTACTGTTATCGCTTTTGATGAATGCATGCGTCAATTACCTCGTTCTAGACTGTCTTTTATGAATGTATTTGAAAAAAAGTAAACATATAATTTCTTTCGCAAGATTACAGTGTCCCCACAACGTCAAAACCAAATGCAACTATTCAATCAACGTCACAACATACAACAACAACAACAACACAGGGCAACACAACACAGTCGTTAACATCAACTACAATGTTGCAAACAAGAACATCTCCCACCACGGGGTCACCAATCTTTACTTCATCACTCTCTTCCACGAAACCAAACGAGACAGAATCTACTGACAAACCTTCAACAACATCAACAGCTTTTACAACACCTGTCACCGTGGATCCATGTGTCCATTATACAAATTTAACAAATATCCAAAAGAGATTTCATACCAATCAAATTCAGGCCGACCCAACCTCCAGTCTCTCTGACCATTTGCTTGTGTATGGGTGGTATGGAACTGGAGAATATAATTTGTTAACGTCGAGTGCCATGAGTTATCACTGTGGGACATTTTATCCTATATGGATAAACGGTAAGCTTTTTCTTCAGTAATTCCTTTTTTCACATTATGTGATGTTTCTACAGTTTTCTCGAATTCTTTTGGAGGGTGTTCTTGATGTATGAAAGAAAATATAGACATTACTTTTTTTATCATTATGATGCAGGCAATATACCTACAGTAGAAGATGGCGTAGTTGATCGAACAGCATGTATTGTTACTGATACGGAATGTGGGATGACTATTTCCATAAAGATTCGTAATTGTGGAACATACCGTGTTTATCAACTTCGACCTACTATTATGTTTAGTGCATACTGTATTTATGGTACGTGGACAGTAAATAAAATTAAAAGTATTCACATCTTAATTTTAAAATAACTTAGAAGGAAGGATTTCCTATTTTGTTTGGCATTCTAAGATTCCCTGTAGTTAAGATATTTCGTCCCTGGAATTGGATGTTTTATGGCAGAAATGAATAACACATAGAAAAATTTGAATGTTCTTTTTTTCTCCCAGAATACAATGCCCTTACAACTTCGAAACCGTCTTCACCACCGACTACAGCAGCTACACAGGGCAACACAACACAGTCGTTAACATCAACTACAATATTGCAAACAACAAAGACATCTACCACTACGGAGTCACCTATCTTTACTTCATCACCCTCTTCCATGAATTCAAACTGGACAGAATCTACTGACAAGCCTTCAAGTATAACAACAGCTTTTACAACACCTGGCACCGTGGATCATTGTGTCCATTATACAAATTTAACAAATGTTGAAAAGAGATTTCATACCAATCGAATTCAGGCAAACTCAACCTCTAGTCTCTCTGACCATTCGCTTGTGAATGGGTGGTATGGAACTGGAGAATATGATTTGTTAACGTCGAGTGCCATTAGTTATCACTGTGGGACATTTTATCCTATTTGGATAAATGGTAAGCTTTTCCTTCTGCAATTCTTTCTTTTTTCCACATCAGTGTGATATCAAGAAAGGTTTCTAGAATTCTTCTGTTAGGGTTTCCTGGTAGTATTAAACATGGTATAGATTTTTTTTGTAATAATCCTATTTTAGGTAATATACCTACGGTAGAAGATGGAGAGGTGAATCGAACAGCGTGTATTGTTACGGATACGGACTGTGGGATGACTTTTTCTGTGAAGATTCGTAATTGTGGAACATACCGTGTTTATCAACTTCGACCTACAGTTGTGTTTAGTGCCTACTGCATTTATGGTACGTGGACGTGAAATGAAATTACAACTATTTTTTCAAATATGTTTTTAATTAACTTTAAACTAGGAAAGATTTCCTTTTTTGTTTGTCATTCTAAGAATCTCTGTAGTTCAGATATTTCGTCCTCGGAATTGGATATTTTAGGAAATAAAATTAATAACACTGTGAGGGTGTGGGTTATACACCCTGATGAACTTACAAAAATCAAAAGAAGAACTTTAAAATTTTAACAAAATTTAATAACAAAATTAAAGAACAAAGTAAACAGAAATTTTAACAAAGAATTTAACCAAAAAATAAAAAATGTACAAAAATAAAATAGAAAAATTTTTGTTAATTGTTGGTCCTCAGTCAGTCAGTGCGCATGTCCCTTGGTATGAATAGGTCCCGTTTGTCCTGGTCCTTCCGTAAGTGCGGAAATCCTTTAAGAATAGATTTTTACAGTTTCCTTTTTGTATGGCTGCACGGAACAATGTTAATTAATAACGGGCTGCGTGGCACACTGGGTTCCTCTCGGGTTCCAGAGACAATGGTCCGACGCCAGGCTCAACACTTTGAAATGTCTTTCAATGAAACTAAATATTCAGAATTATTTCCAAATTCACAATAGTTATAATTCTCAAACTTTCACAATGTTTCGTTCATATAATAACTTTAACTCAGATAATGAAATGTTCAATGAGGGTCACCGCCCGATGATATACTAGTAACTCACAGAACTGGTTTTAGAGATGTGTCGACATCACTCACACGCTACGGTCTACACACCATAACATGGAATTGGCTACTCTCAAATAAAGAATTTCAAACAACATTCTGTAGAGAGACTTTAGGCATGAAAATAAGGCATAAGACCCATGTGGTTTTCTACAGGCCCCCTGGTAGCACTAGACGAACACGTCTATCGGCTGATGTTTTTCCCGGGTACTCCACAGAGCACGCTTTAACCTTACTATTTAAAGTAAAACGAGGGGCTCCCCACAGGCTGCTATGTTACTATGGGAACTAAAGGAATTTAGGGGCTCCCCACAGGGTTATTACACAAGTTACCGGAAGGGTGAACCCAGGGGATTTATTTACAATGTAATGAAGAATTTCAGTTTGTTACAAACACATAGAAAAATTTGAATGTTTTCTTTTCTCCCAGATTACAATGCTCCTACAACTTCGAAACCGACTTCACCACCGACTACAGCAACTACACAGGGCAACACAACACAGTCGTTGACATCAACTACAATGTTGCAAACAACAAATACATCTACCACTACGGAGTCACCTATCTTTACTTCATCACCCTCTTCCATGAAACCAAACTGGACAGAATCTACTGACAAACCTTCAAGTATAACAACAGGTTTTACGACACCTGTCACCGTGGATCCATGTGTTCATTATACAAATTTAACAAATATCGAAAAGAGATTTCATACCAATCAAATTCAGGCTGACCCAACCTCCAGTCTCTCTGACCATTTGCTTGTGAATGGGTGGTATGGAACTGGAGAATATGATTTGTTAACGTCGAGTGCCATGAGTTATCATTGTGGGACATTTTATCCTATATGGATAAAAGGTTAGCTTTCTCTTCTGCAATACTTTCTTTTTTCACATCAGTGGGATGTTGAGAAAGGTTTCTCGAATTCTTCTAAAAGGGTTTTCTTGTTGTATTAAGCATGGTATAGATATTATTTTTAATAATCCTATTGCAGGTAATATACCTATGGTAGAAGATGGGGAGGTGAATCGAACAGCGTGTATGGTTACTGATACAGACTGTGGAATGACTTTTTCTGTGAGGATTCGCAACTGTGGGACACATCGTGTTTATCAACTTCGACCTACTGTTGTGTTTAGTGCATACTGCATTTATGGTACGTGGATTGAAATTATAAATGTTTACAAATATGCTTCAAAATAACTGCAAAGAAGGAAGGATTTTGTATATTTTGCAGCATTCTAAGATTCCCTGCATTATGTTTTGAAGAGGTTTCGTCCCAAGAATGATTTTTATATAGCCAAAAAATTAATTGCAAGTGAAAAATTAAAATGACTTCTTTTCTCCCAGATTACAATGCTCCTACAACTTCGAAACCGACTTCACGACCAACTACAGCAACTACACAGGGCAACACAACACAGTCGTTGACATCAACTACAATGTTGCAAACAACAAATACATCTACCACTACAGAGTCACCTATCTTTACTTCATCACCCTCTTCCATGAAACCAGACTGGACAGAATCTACTGACAAGCCTTCGACAACAACAACAGCTTTTACAACACCTGTCACCGTGGATCCATGTGTTCATTATACAAATTTAACAAATATCGAAAAGAGATTTCATACCAATCAAATTCAGGCAAACTCAACCTCTAGTCTCTCTGACCATTCGCTTGTGAATGGGTGGTATGGAACTGGAGAATATGATTTATTGACATCGAGTGCCATGAGTTATCACTGTGGGACATTTTATCCTATTTGGATAAATGGTAAGCACTTTTTATCTGCAATTCTTTCTTTTTTCACATCAGTGTGATTTTAAGAAAGGTTTCTCGAATTCTTCTATAAGGATTTTCTGGTAGTATTAAACATGGTATAGATTTTTTTTGTAATAATCCTATTTTAGGTAATATACCTACGGTAGAAGATGGAGAGGTGAATCGAACAGCGTGTATTGTTACGGATACGAACTGTGGGATGACTTTTTCTGTGAAGATTCGTAATTGTGGAACACATCGTGTTTATCAACTTCGACCCACTGTTGTGTTTAGTGCATACTGCATTTATGGTACGTGGACGTGATTTGAAATCATAAATATTTACAAATATGTTTTAAATTAATTGTAATGAAGGAAGGATTTCCTTTTTTTGGCAGTCTATGCATCCCTGTAGTTAAGATACTTCATCCTAGGAATTGGAACTTTTAGGGAAAAAAATAGTAACACATTGAAAAATTTACAGATTATTTTTTTCTCCTAGATTACAATGCTCCTACAATTTCGAAACCGACTTCACCACCGACTACAGCAACTACACAGGGCAACACAACACAGTCGTTAACATCAACTACAATGTTGCAAACAATAAAGACGTCTACCACTACAGAGTCACCTATCTTTACTTCATCACCCTCTTCCATGAAACCAGACTGGACAGAATCTACTGACAAGCGTTCAACAACATCAAAAGGTTTTACAACACCTGTCACCGTGGATCCATGTGTCTATTATACAAATTTAACAAATATCGAAAAGAGATTTCATACCAATCAAATTCAGGCAAATTCAACCACCATTCTCTCTGATCAATCGCTTGTGTATGGGTGGTATGGAACTGGAGAATATGATTTGTTAACGTCGAGTGCCATGAGTTATCACTGTGGGACATTTTATCCTATTTGGATAAATGGTAATTTTTTGTCGACATGCAATTATCTTCCTTTTTATATAATTGTAATGTTTTGAAAGTTTCTGTATTTAACACATTTGTATCATAATCCTATTGCAGGCAAGATACCTCTGGTAGAAGACGGTGTGGTTGACCGAACAGCATGTATTGTTACTGATACGGACTGTGGGATGACTATTTCTGTGAAGATTCGTAATTGTGGAACATATCGTGTTTATCGACTTCAACCTACATTTGTCTTCAGCGCCTACTGTATTTATGGTACGATGATGTGAAATATAATAGTTAATAATTATATATTGAAAAATAACTGCTTTGAAAGAGATGTTTATAACTTATTTGATATCGTCCATTCCAAATAATTAGACACATTTTCATCTATGAAGTTAACATGAAAATGTTTAAGGATTTTATTTCACCTTCCAGATGCAAGTGTCCCCACAACGTTAAAGCCAAATACAACGATTCAGTCAAGTTCACCACAGACAACAACAATAACAAATGGAAACACAACACAATCGCCAACATCAACTACAATGATACAATCGAATACATCTACAGAGTCGCCTATTCCAACTTCATCTTACTCTTCCATGAAACCAACAAGTACACCTGTCACAGTGGATCCATGTGTCCATTATACAAATTTGACAAATATTGAAAAGAGATTTCATACCAATCAAATTCAGGCAAACTCAACCTCTAGTCTCTCTGACCACTCGCTTGTGTATGGGTGGTATGGAACTGGAAAATATGATTTGTTAACGTCGAGTGCCAGGAGGTATCACTGTGGGACAATTAATCCTATTTGGATAAATGGTAAGTTTTTCTTCCTGTAAATATTTCCCATATCGCTCTATATTCATGTTTCTCGAGATTTTTCTAAAATATATACATAAATAAATGATTTTTTCATTAACGCAGGCAGTGTATCTTTAGAAGAAGATGGTGAGGTTGATCGAACAGCGTGTATTGTAACTAATACAGACTGTGGAATAACTATTTCTGTTAAGATTCGTAACTGTGGAACACATCGAGTTTATCAACTCCGACAAACCATTGTCTCCAGTGCATACTGCATTTATGGTAGGGGGATGTGATATAAAGATCATTAATATTAGGGATATCAACGAATAACTTGTTAACCGACTACTGTATTTGATCGGAGTATTCGGTTAATCGGTTACTCCATCGAAAAGTTAAAATTGCGGTTATCAAAAATGATGTGATTGTCATTCCAATTAAACAATGATATAATTTTTTATCTAAAATAGCTGTTAAGAAAGAGGAACTATTACGACTTTACTTGATTTGCTCTTTTGAATAGCTGTGTTATGCGCTTTACTGTAATATTCATCTATAAAAAAGATCATGCGATATAAAAACAACTGTTTCATTTTTCACAGATACCAATGTTCCCACAACCTCAAATCCCATGACAACGATTCAAATGAGTTCAACTTCTCAGCAAAGTAAGTCATAATCGGATTTGGATTTTTTTAATTAAAGAAAATATCGTATTTTGAAAGCATAATTACAAAAAATGTCATAAAAACAATACTCTTATCGAAATTTGGAATCAACAAATACGTGTTTTGATCAAGGAACTATGAAATGACAAATACTATAGCGACGGTCATAATCATAAATTGAACAACTTTTAAGCGATGTAAGTACATAATGATGTCTGTTATTGTTTTGGCAGCACCTTCACCAAGTCCAACACTCTCTAGTGCAGAAGTAGAAGTGCATCTTGTTCCAGACGGTATAAGCCAAGTTTTCCAAGCACGATGCACATTTAATGCGAGTAATGCAAGTGGCTTCCGTTTTAACATAACTTGGTACTTTGACGACGTGTTCGATTCTTCCTTCTCGGCTACCCTGGAGAATATTTACAGAACCTATATTTATCTTCAAAGAGATAATTTTAAAACTCTTGGAAGAAATGTAAGTTAAAAGCATATTTCATTTCATGTTTAATGCAAGAGTGATATAAATCAATGACTTTTTTATGGATTTTTGTAAAACTGTCATTTATTTCCAGATATCTTGTGGTGTGGATATGCTCAGCAACGATGGAACAATTATTGAAGCAAGAAAAAGCCAAGAACAGTTTTTAGGAATCAAAGTAATTCCTCAGCACATATTTTACACTTTGGAATTAAAGTAATGAATATATTTTATATTTGTTTCAACACCATGGGTTTCTCAGGTGTACAGATGATGAATATTAACCATGTCCCATGTTGCTTGCTCGAAAAAGATCCTCCACTGCTTAGTGCCCTTGTTTGCCAAGTTAGGTCTAAGTTTTAAGCACCAAATGAGTTCTTTTTTTTACTTAGCAATTGTTTTGATGTCAAAAGTCTGCTCTTTGTTTAGTGCTTTTGATTTTTTTTAAAATCACTTTTTCTCCAAGTTCATTGGTCTTTCTAACTGTCTATCTCTAATTAACATCAATATTGAAAAAAAAAAGTAGTTGTACAGTGCCTTTTAATTTTTTTTATACCACTGCTGTTGATGCATGTATATACCAGTAAAACGTTTTATTTGAAATGAAATGCATTCGTCAATATACAGATTCTTACGCCAGTTGTTACATTTAAACGTGGAGAGGAGGGGAAAATTAAACTTCAGCTTACTGTACCTATTGGTTGCCTCCAGTTGGTTAGTCAGTGTGACGTCATCCTAGCCATGATGGACCAATCAGAAGACCAATGCACAGGTTCAGACATATTTGTGAATCGATTTTTTTGTGAATACTTTTTTCGTATTGATTAAATTTTCCTCGTCACTTTGTATCATTTGCGGTCAAACTTTTAAAAAAATCGATATTCAACTAATTTTTTTTACAAGCTCAAATGATACTTTTCATATTTAAAAGGGTAACGTTAGATATTTTTTGTAGTTATTAAAGCAAAATCCGATTAAAACCTACATAAAATAGGTAATTGATATAAAATTACTATCAACATTTTGGACCAATAGGGGCTGCTGTCTCTGGACAGAGAGATTGTGGAATTTCCTTGAAAAGCAGAGAATGGACCAAGATCTACGAGATTCCAGTTGGGGCAATAGAAGAAGAGGGACACACGTACTCAGCTACTTACGAGGTGGTTCTTAGGACTGACGCCCACTTCCACCAGCCTATATGGGGACTTTATGAGCTTCCACCCGTAAAGGTGACATAATTTTTTATTAAAGCATTAGGCCTATCATTTCACAAATGAGAAAATTCTAGTTGACGCCAAAGTAATGTTATAAATTCTTGTTTTAATACTTAGTAAATGAATCAATTCGCACAATTTGTTTTACTATAGTATTTAGAATTATGATATGCAATATTTTCACTTGTACTGATAATGCAGAATAATAAAGTAGATGCAAAGAATTACGGCAAAAGTAATGTAAGCAAATTATAACCAGCTATGGTATTTCGTTATAGACGAATTACGCATTGCCAAGGTATTTAATCTATAACTAACGTCTATTTGTATGTCAAATAATAAAAATACACAGTAGTCTTGTTCCTACCTTGTCATGTCCATTTCCTTGCATTTAATGATGTACATTTAGTACGTGTTTTCCTTACAATACAGATTGTCATCCAAGAGGGTTCCGATAGAGAATGGTCCAAGAAATACTGCCGAGCCGTCAATGACCCCCATCTTTTAACTTTTGACCAACGGTTAGTTTTGATTTAAGTCCCTTGAGTTTTTCATTTACTAGTATATGATGCATATTTATAATTGCTACGGGTGTATTATAAAAACAAAGTATCTTAAAATAATTTTACAGGCCATATGATGTACACTTGAAAGGAGATTTCATAATGTATGAGCATAAAACTGCCCCAATTCAGGTAAGGCATATACACACGGCAGGTGATTTGAAACATTTACTTTTTGTCTATTTTAATGCAGAACCCACAAATGCTGCGCTTTTTGGACTCTCATTAACTTTAAAAGTTTTGAAAAGAAAAATAGTTTTATTGGCCATTAATAATTGAAGTATAAAGTAAGTAACGTATATACAAGTATGGTTTAAATTGTATTGGAATTTGGTTTACATTTCACAGGTGCAGGCCCGATTTAAGCCTTGCTATGGCAATTCAGGCCCCCACTGTACCTGTGGAGTGGCGGTACAGGCCGGAAGAGACGTGTTCGTGATTGACAGGTGCGAGTCCAGAAAGAGGCTACGGAGGATGATGTACACATCCTGTATGGACCACACCCTGGAAGTCAGAAAGAGGCACGATTACTTGTATAATGTAAGATATCCATAGCAATACTATATATTATGATTTCTAGTCTTTTCTTCAGCATAATAAACTTTTCCCCATATTTTTAAACATGTCCTCAGTTGGTATTTGTGTGAATTTCTCATGCTAACAAAGTGTAACCTAAAGACTTAGAACAATCATATTTAACGTGCAAGTCTATAAAAAGATTTTAATAGCCTTTTGTATATGTACTTGGAAAAGATGTACACACCATATGGAACAAGGATTCAGGTAAATCTCCGAGGAAAAACTTACATGAACCTCCAGATTTATCCCTCAATCCGCGATGTCGGACAAACAAGAGGACTGTGTGGAACACTTTCTAATGAATGTGCGGACGACTTTCTCCTTCGGAATGGCAATTATCTTAATGAACCTGCCGCTAACAAGTCCTGCGGAAACTTCGGATGGTCGGATTACAGATGGGAACCGGATTCATTTTCCAGATCCTGGATGTATGATTTTATTCTGTATTCTTATTCATTCAAAATGAAAATTATTTATTTAAGTATACCTTGTATAAAAGTGTATTGAATTTAAGGGGGAAAACAATTCAAGCGCTTCTTATAATGCTTAATTTGTATAAAAAACAATCAGTTTGAAAAGAGAGAGATTGTTGTTATTCGTATGCATCTCTCAGTTCTATTCTTATTCAACTGCAGGGTTGCTGAGAATGAAAGCCTATTTGAGGATTACGACTCAAGTAACGCCGAGTGGCCACGAGAGAGATACTTATGTTCCTGCAAGAAAAACGTGGTGAAAATGAGAATTGATGGCAGAGGAACTCCTGATTGTTCCTCCAGCGTGGTATCCAACTGTACCAGACGGCGGGAAAAGGTCGTAGCAGTCGGCGGAGGCTGTGAGGTCAAAAGATCATCAAAGTATGGTTTAAAACATTATGACGTCACACGCGTACGGAGGCAGGAACCGAATCAGAGAAGGATAAAAACAGTTGTTTCGGTAAGATAGTGGAAGTACATTGTATTAAAATTACTGTTTCCTGATTTATTATGAAATTATTATTATCATTTTAAAATTCTATACAGCACATACCATTGACGACAATCAACAATGCCACCTCTTTTTGTCAAAATCATTTGTCCAAATCTAAGGCTTTTACATTGTGTGAGGATATACCTAACGTTAACAAGGAGGATGCAATCGAAACATGTGCTTTGGACATTGTAGTGAGTAACGATAGAATTTTTTTTAATGCTTTTATATCATTTTATAAATTACAAACATGAATTCAGATCCAAATTATTCTTAACAGGTTCCGTTTTTATTAAAGAGAAAATACTTACTTTTTTCAATTTAGAGGTCAACATTAATTGTCCAAAGGTAAAAGTCCATATGAATCTTGTTATATATTTTTGTTTTTCTCATTTAACAGTTGACAAATGGTTCTCTAGAGTGGGCTGACAATCCAAAGGAAGCTATGATTGACCGATGTGTTTCGGAATTGCGACTTAATGCGACCTTGAATACAGAAAGCAATAACACCCCATCAGTGGCGGAAGTGATACGTAACATAGCATGTCCAAACGATTGTAGCGGCATTGGAACTTGTGTAAATGGTATTCATGAATTCTTCAAAATCAAACGATTAGCAAAGTATTATTCTTTAAAATAGGAAATACATGTACGAATTAAGTATGTGGCAGAATGGAAGGAATATTCCTCCATTTAATTTATTATCCAGATTTCCTGATTTTTATTCCGAATTAAATCAATATCAGAAAAGAATGCAAATTATTTGTTAATACAAATGGATAAACATACAATTCAAAATGAAACATATCGAAATGCAACTGTTGTATTTTACTATGCAAATTAAAAAAATATATCATAAAAAATAAGATATTTTACATTTGTAGAACATTATAATGACAATTAAAAGAAAAATTTAGAAAGGAAATATAATACAAATAGACAGCTATAGAATAAAATTAAGAATTGTACAATACAAATGAAAAATTATTGAATACGAACATAAATATCAACCATACAAATTGTGAAATATGTGCATATAATTCAAATGGAAATTTATATATTACTAGTACATATGAAAAAGTATACAAAACAAAGTGCAATAAATCAAAACAGACAATTGATGACCACTGATTTTATTTTCATTAAATTTTATATAACTAAAATAACTGTCATTAATAATTAAAGGTTTTTCAAAATGTTTTCATGTAACTTATTAATCATTTAAAATATTTTTAAAATAGTTATAAAATACTAAAAACAATAATGTATTAATTAAGATTTAATGCATGTGTTTATATAAGTATGTAATATTTTATATAAATGTATTTCTTCTTTATATTCTGTGCTTAACTGCATATGTTTGAAAATCCTTTTTTATTTTTTTTTTCAAACCATACCAAAGCATATCATCCATATTATTTGTCCATTTGTATAATACAGTTAGATTTTTTTATCCATGACTTACTATTTGTGTAATATTTATTTCCAGGAACGTGTGTTTGCCCGCCTCTTTACGGGGCATCCGACTGTTCCCTGAATGTGTCTGTTCCGCCTGAGATCTATGGGATCGAAGGTGACGGCTTATGTGACGTCAGTCAAATGTCATGTGACCAAATTCTCGTAGCAGGCGATGATTTTACAGAAACTGGATCATACAACTGCAAAATAGAAATTGCACATGTAAGACCTCTTATTATAATAAGTTAATTAAATGAACAAGTAGATATTTTACTGCATATTTATCCGTTATTAAATGCATGGTACTTAAATTGCACTGTATATGGTATTTTCGTCTTGCTTCTTCTAATTGCAATTAACTTGACAACCAATAAATTACATATGGATCATCTAATAGATTTACATCTGCTGTCTAATCGAAAACAGCGAAAATGTTTCCCGTTGCACTGAGGGGTTAAAATTAATTTGATTGAAAATTACATCTTCTGTGCAAAACAAATGTATGGTGAAAATTATAACGTATAACCTGCATCCTTTTTGTGAACAGATATTGTTTGATGGCGCGACCTCATCCGCTGGATTAACAAAATTGAACGGTGATATGCAGACGTTAATGTCGATTTCATGTCCAGTTCCAGTGAGGGAAAAGTTTGCATCTCGCAGTGTATTAAGAACAAGTCCAGTTTTTGTACGGACGTTCAGCGTTTCTCTCAGTAGTGACGGAAACACCTATAGTGAATCCTTCCAGTTTTATGAATATAATTCAACCTATCAGGACCTTGAAATAGTAGACGGAAAGCCAAAGTTTTCATTAAAGGTGATGAACAAAAATCAAAACAAAGAAAAATGAATGATAAAACTTTAATTATAAAGAATCAAGTTTTCTATTGCATTCCAAATGAAGAAAGAAAAGGAGATTTACGAATTTTTATATATCGTCCTCTCACTAGTACTACTACCTATGGTTCTATTTACAGAGTGGATACTGTTTCATTGATGAAGAAGGAATTCCAGACGGGTGGCGCCAAACAACTAATATTTGTAATGCTTGTAACTCCTCTGTTAGTGTCCTAGAATGGACACCAGTAAAAAGTCAAGGTAAGATTTTAAGCAGTTTCTCTCAAAATTGTCTTGAAATAATAATGCTCCATCCAATCAACTTCATAGATTCCAACATTGTTAAAAACATTTTAAATAAAATAAAAAGATCAAAATATCTGAAGAAATCGAAAAGCAATGTTTATCAAAAGTAATAAACTAACCCAGGCTTTATCCCCTCACTACTGAATAACAATAGACCAAATGACTGTCTGACCTTGCTTTGGTTTCAGAATGTGAGGTTATTCGGGAACCTGTTGAGAAGTCTTTCTTTGATTCCACTGAATTGTACTGGATGTTGGGATTGACCATTGCTGTTATCTTGATCATACTTATGGTCGTCTGTCAACACCGATGCCGCAGAATTCGCTCCAAAAGGTAATTACCTAAGAATCACAAGTGGAAAAGTTTTAATTACCATATATATACAGAGATTAGAGTTAGAAAGCTGCTGTTCCTCTGTCTCTATATCACATATAAGACATGATGTGATTTCAGAAAATACACCGTAAGTTTTAATTGATCATGAGCCTAAGTAATGCTCATTTAATAACTTTCGTTTTAATTATTCAAAGTATAAAACAGGTTTTGTGGTCTTTTCCTATAGTAAGAAAGTGAATTAAAATCAATAATTACGATCAATTAGACATCAATTATGTCTGGAAATCTCACCCTGTGTTTTACTTTGCGAGAAAAACGTTCTGTTACAGGATAAGCATATATATAATGGCTTTGTAAAGCTACTTCCATGTATTTTTTGGAGTTCTATATCAAACAAAGTCATTTGAACATGTTGATATTTATTTTAACTTTTGCTTTCATTGTAGAAAATTTTCATATGACGTTTCTTCTGAATCATCGTTCAGTGGTATCGAGCTTCAGGATCCTTCTTCTGTTTATTTCTAGTGCAATAAACTACTGAAAAACTAAATACATGTGCTGTGATTAATACAATATGTTGTATATAATACAGTTTGATAATACGTGTTTTATACATTTTGTATGCAATACATTGTTACTGTTGAATAAATATTGATTCGATTTTCGATGCTGTTGATTTTTTTAAGTACCTGTCATCATCTACACACCAAATCTTTTGATATACAACAACATTAATAAGTAATTAAAAAGTTTCGAATTTTATATTTGTTTAATTAATGTTTTTATATTTTTATTTAATATGTTAGTTCTTTGCATGATTATTTTCAAGAATGAACTCTGGAGAGTAATAATGGAAAATTTCGCACCATCAAAATGCATGATTTCACCAAGATAAACACGATTTATGAGAACAAAAGTTATCTGATCACAGGAGTACACATAATATTTTTTGGTGTTTTCAGTAAATTCATTTCCATAGTCTTGTATGTAATGAGACAATGACAAAAGAAAGGAAGCTATTCTCTGACTTTGTGTTTTCTTTCTTTTTCAAGTTTCTGCTTCCAAAGAATTATAATATGTTTGGTGAATTTCATAAAATGCACGAGATAAAACTATTTCAAATGGATCGAATCAAAGGAAACAAGGGGCTAAATAGATTATGTAGTAAAAATGCATAATTTCTTATAAAAATCTTCTTTTCTGTTCCTGGGTATTAAATAAACTATCCTTGTATATAGTTATGTTGAAGAAGACTGACTCTTTCAAATTGTGAATTTCATGGCCCCAGGGTCGGGGTTTCTGGTGTTAGGTCGGGGCTCTATTGATCACTAGTATTTAGTGAAATTGCATAAGTTCTTTGAAAATCTTCTTTGCCTTTGATAAAATGACAAAGTTAAACAACTAATATTTTGAATTTCATGGCCCAGGGGTCAGGGGTTCTGGTGTTAGGGTGGGGTTCTATTGATTATATAGTAAAAATACAAAAATTCTTTTAAAATATTCTTTTGGGTATTAACAATAAACTATGCAATAGTTATACAGAGAGCTAAAGGTGCAAAGGACTTGTTAGGATGATTATATAGCGAAAATGTATGAATTCTTTGAAAACCTTTTCCTTTGCTCCTGTGTATTATGCCAATGATCTAAGTACATATTTATGATGAAGAAAGGTGCTTCTTCCAAAATAGTTATCACACCGCTTGGTGTTATAAATTAATGCTTTGAAATCTGCTCTTTGGTATTAATCAACCATTTATGATGAAATTTCCAAAATTTTGAAATGTGTGGCCCCAGGGTCAGTGGTTCCTGTGGGGAGGGATGTACAACTGGGGGTTATAAAGTGGAAATGCATTTTCTCTTCGATTCAATGACAAAAGTAAGCATGCTAAGTTTATAATTATGATAAACAATGGTCCTTTTTCAAAATTGTGAATTTGTGTTTTGGTTTAAAACACGAATTTCAATTGCTGGAAAGTTTACATGATACCAAAGAATTATAATATGTTTGGTGAATTTCATAAAATGCACTAGATAAAACTATTTCAAAAAACACAAAGTCAGAGAATAGCTTCCTTTCTTTTGTCATTGTCACATTACATACAAGACTATGGGACTGAATAATAAATTATTTTAATTTCTTACTGAAAACACCAAAAAATATTGTTATTTGTACTCCTGTGATCAGATAACTTTTGTTTTGTCAGGAGCAGAAAAGAAGATTTTCAAAAGAAATAATTCATTTTCACTAAATAATAGACCAACCCTAGCACTACCACCCCTGACCCTGGGGCGACGAAATTCACAATTTGGAAGAGGCTGTCTTATTCAACATAACTATGCACTTGGTTAATAGTTTATTTAATGACCAGGATCAGAGAAGAAGAACTTCAAAATAGTTTATGCATTTTCACTATATATTAGTAATTGAAATAAAGCCCCACCCAAACACCAAAACCTGACTCTGGGGCCATGAAATTCATAATTTTGGAGGAGGTAGCCCTATTAATTTAAACTATATACTTGGTTAGTTTATTTAATACCCAGGAGTGGAAAAAAAAGATTTTCAAAGGAAATAATTCATTTTCACTAAATAATCTATATAGCCCCACCCTAACACTAGAACCCCTGACCCTGGGGCCATGAAATTCACAATTTTGGAAGAGACAGCCATATTCAACATAACTAATGCACTGGTTAGTTTATTTATTGCCCAGAAGTAGAGAAGAAGATTTTCAAAGAAACAATCCATTTTCACTATATAATCTACTTAGCCCGGCCCGACCTAGCGCTGGAACCCCTGATCCTGGGGCCATGAATTTCACGATTTTGGTGGAGGACTAGATGCTTTTTATAATCATACCAACAGTTTGACTGCTTGGTGTCCTGGAGTAAACAAGAAGATTTTTAAAGATGGCATCAAATTTTAATGGTTTTGGCCCCACCCACCCCCAGTCCCCAGGAGGGGGGGGGGGGGGGCAGGGACCATGAAATTCATAATTTTGGTTCCCTTTCAACCATAGATGCTATATATGCCAAAATTGGTTGTAATTGGTTAAGCGGTTTCAGAGAAGAAGCTGAAAATCTTCAAATGTTAACGCACGACGCACATTGCACGACGAAGGCCAACGGACGAAAACGGGTAGCAAAAACAAAAACAAAATTCGTTCCTACAATGCCTATCAACTTTTCTCAGAGGTTAATGTCAAGTACTTCGGGACCTTGCCTGGTACATTTGACAAGATCATGACTGCTCAGTACTATGGTTATTTATAACAATATGTCAATTATATATTTCTTCATTCTCTGCTTGTAATGCTAGTGTGGCTCTCTTGTAATGCACCTGACCGGAGTTTCAGGGGGCCCGGGTAGCAGACTCTCCCGTTACATCTGTGGCGGTCATTTTCCATTTAGCTCATTGGTAGAGCAAAATTTTTTTTTTTCTCCTCTCCCGTTATATCTCTTGATTTTCCATTTCTCAATGTCAAAATTTTTTTTTGATATCTGTCTTCTTATCTCTGTTGGTTGAATATGGATGGTATACTTTGACAGAAATTCGACGATTTAACGAATTTTCGCTTTAAATTTTGTCAAGCTTTTCACCTTTTCCTCGATCCTTTGTTAAAATTGTGTTTTCATCATAATCTCTATCAAATATCGCGCTCTCATCTTGTGTTTTGTTTTCTGTTTTTATGTTTAGAGTTTGCTGAGTGCAGCTTTTCCTTCATTTTTCGCCCCTAGTTTTTTTTCAGGGTGCAGTAGAGATTCGTCCCAGATGTGTCCAATGTGTTGTCTTTTATGGGGTCTGAGACAGAGCTTCTTAGTTTGCTGCGACTCTACGTGTCCCCTCAATTACATACTGAGCATGTTCATTTATTTCTTATGAAAATCTATTCCTTTTGATAGATCCTTTACAAAGAATACTTTTGCAAACTTCGAAAATACGAGTGTTAAAGTTGCAATTCACTGTAGATTGCAAGAACTTTCAAAATGTGCATGCACCTGACGTACGTCACTTATTTTTCCTCTTAAAAAAATAACTCCAGTAGGTATTGGGTTAAGATTTTTTTTTTATATGAGAAAAAAAAAGTCATGTCAGGTGCCTCCGATTATGTAAGTAAACTAATCCTCGTGGCCGAAAACAAGAAAAACATCAAGTGAGGACAGATGGCTCGGGCACGGAACTCCCCTCGTTCTATTTTTAGCAGAGAGAACTTGTTCTGCAAGTCTATTTATAGATTGATCACTATTCATGTAAACAGAACACCGTGTCGGCACACCTGAAAACATGGGGTACAAAAGTGGTGAGTCGCTATGTTATCAGAGTAGAATTATAATGTATATTTCCTCATTAGGTAAACTGTAAAACATTTCAGTATAACAGTTATTATTAAATGTTTTCAATTCACAAAGCTACTAAGGAAAAAAAGGGGGGTGGTATTGCATGGATCTGTACCTTTTGGAATTGACTTTAAAGGTGCATGGACACAGATTTGAAGTTAATATTTTCTGTATAATATTACAACTTATATATTTTAATAGCATTTCACACAAAAACATAATAAAAATCTTATTTCATCTAAAAGTTACTTTACATTTAAATTTTTAGACGGGTTTGATTGACACATCCTTGCACTTTCATAAATTTTCATTTTATTTTTAATACTTAGGATAATATATATATTATAAATGTGTATAAATGAAAAATATTAAAACTATAATCCAGAAAATTCAGAGTAGAAATGTTCGAAAGCAAAATATACACACATTATATTGTCAGTCCATGCAGTTGTGGTGATCAGACTTTAACGAATATTTACATTACATTTCCATTTATTTGTCTTTAATATTCCTTACAAATTAGAATTTTATTCATTTTCTCATGAACTACAGTGGATGAGCATGAATATCTCCATTGTTACGTCATAAATACCGTACTTGACGTCAAACTGTAGTTCACACTGTTTTGCTTTAAAAATGACAGTTGGATGACATAATTTGTGGTAACTCGATCATCAGAAAATAATGTAAATATAAGAAATTAATTTAATTTTTGAAAATTCATAAGGTATATGAACTACAACGCTTCACGCCTGCATATTTATCATGAAGCGCTAACGCACTTCATGAAATATGCCGGCATGAAGCCTCATGCATAGTTCATAACCTCATGAATCTTCAAAAATTAAAATCATTTCTTAATTGAACGCACCCGGTGAATCGTAAACAGCAACAATAAAAGAGCTTGTGCCCTGTTTACAAAAACTGTGTACGTTTCACGGGTGTGATCAATTTGCTTAACTCTGTACACAACTCTTAGCGCGGAATGACGATACTTGTGAAGGGGTTTTGCTTTCTAACATTTCTACTCGGAATATAATTATTTTTCTGGATTAAAGTTTTAATATTTTTCATTAATACACAACAAGTTTGCCACTTTTCCTAAGTATTAAGAATAAAAGTAGAATTTGTGAGAGTGCAAGGATGTCTCAATCAAACCCATCCAAAAAATTGAAGTTTCAATAACTTAATTAAGGAATAACTGTCTTAATTCTCGATTTCATGATGTGATCAATAGATTGGGTTGCTTGACCATTATACAAAAAATACTAACTTCAAATCTGTGTCCATGCACCTTTAATTCATTCTTTTTTTCTTCTGTTCTTTCTAAAAGGCTCCTCTCGGACTGCGGCGGAGGTGTTTTTTGGAATCGCCAATCTTCTTTTCCTGGTTTGTATCCTACCATAAATTATTCACTAATAGAAATCGTTTTGAAATTTGAACATTGAGATGACAGTGTGATCAATGATAGTAATAAAGTAAAGAATTGAAATTTGTATGCAAATAAAACCTAAAAGAGTCTTTAATAGAATATTTTACATCTTGAATTTCACAATCCTTTTTCAAATTCTACCTGTAAATCAGCTACCGTATAGCGGGTTTTCTTGGCGGGTGTAAAATTTGGCGTTTTGTCTGCTTACAGGTATGCCAATAATTTTGGCGTAATTTATTTTAGCGGACACAGAGTTTTAGCTCTTTGCAAATGAACAATTAGAAGGTTACTGAATATTTTTAGCGATTAAAATTTTAGCGGACTTCCATCAAAACGCTAAAATTAGCACCCCGCTAAAATAACCCGCTATACGGTATTTGTGTTGACTTTTTCTGGTTGATGGGTTTTGCGGTGTTTGTGGTAGCTATAATTCGGTTGTGTTGACTTTTTTTTTACAGTTGATGGGTTTGGCGGTTTTTGTGGTAGGGGTATACCTGAAGGTGTCGCGCTCAGTCTACACTGAACTGCTGGACAGTCGAGAGTTTGAGACCGGCACCGCCCTGTGTGTGTCCGCGGGGATCATCGTGGTGGTGGTGTCCCTGATTGGATTCTGGGGACTATGGATGAGGAGTCAGTTTGTTCTCAGTTTGGTAAGGAGGCTAATAGTATTATGTAAATTATCAATGCCAGTCTATGCACAACTCTTTTCCAGAATGGCATAAATTGGGTGAAACCGTGCCATTCAATTGACTGTGAGACTTTGAGTTAACTGAAAGGTAATTGGATGTCAGAACTATAAGTCATATACTTGGCAGTGAATTAAATTTAAAAAAAATGCATTGTTCTATTTTAAATGTGAAAAATAACTTGGGCCAAGAGTATAGTCCCAATTAAGTCTCACCTATTGTAGTATGCTGCTGCAGATCATTGTACTATAGTTAATTTGAAAATAAAATTAATTTTTAAGACATATATTTAGAGATCTCTAGCACAAGTTTATATACATATGTCATGTCTGTCCACGATTAATTTCCATGAGAGCTACTTTCTTCAACTAGAGCTCTCCCCCCTCCCTATTTTAGAAATTGTCTGATGCTTTGACATTGATCTTTATCATAGACAGACAGATATACAGACATTCTGGGATTCAAGATCAGAGGCACTTGTTTTATTTACAGGGCATCCTCTGCTTGTAATGAACATCCTGCATTTGAAACAAGTGCCTGTGTTCGAGACACCCAGTTTGACTATTTTGTGATTTAAGTCTCGTACAATTGACTTGAAAGTTTGTCATTCATGTAACAACTAGGACTAAAAATTTTATTCGTGATAGATATTTATAGATTTGATCTAATTAAATTTTGATTTAAAATTTAATTCTGTTTTCTTTTTGTAGTATTTCTTCTCTGTGTTGATCATCTTCTGCCTTGAAATCGCTGCTGGGATCATAGCATACGTGTACAGAAATAAGGTGAGCTTCAGACAACTAGACTCAAAGTTTTGTTTAATTGTAATTTAATGTATGAAGATTGCAGTGCATGTTTAACATTACTGTTAATGAGATACTTTTTGAAATAAGATTGAAATTTGTTTCATCTTTGATCATTAAACTCAAACACCATGCATCTTACAACTTGTAATAAATTTCAATGAGGTTAAGAGGAAAACTTATGGTATTTTTAGATAGCAGTGTTTGATAAATTGTTATTTCCCCTCACCAGATAGAAGACATTATAGTGGAGGATCTAAGACTAGGCCTAAAAGACACCAAGAGGAGAGTGGCTTGGGATACAGTGCAAGAAAAGGTAAAGAAGAGGCCAAATTTAACCTTGTTAAAGTATATGGGGCAGAGTAAAATTTTCAAGATATATAAATATTCAAAATAGTGAGGGTTAAATACTTGAAGAACTAGTGGTTAGTGCTGAATTCAAATCACTTTGTCACATCAATTGTAATGCTCAAATTAGCCAATTAGTTTGACTGTATAGTGTAAAATGATGCATATTTACATTTGATAGTATAAGTATTAAGTGCAGTGTTAGGTATTTGAAGAAAAACAACTGAAACATACAAATTTAAGTGTTAGGCAAAACCATCAAGTTATCAGGCCTCTAAATGTGGAAGGGCCAAGATGCCTTCAGTTGTTCAAACTTTAATCTTGAAAGCTTTATTTTTCCAGTTTTAGATAAGACTAATTTACAGTTTGTATTTGTTTACAGTACGAATGTTGTGGGGTCCATAACTACACAGATTGGATGGGTGTTTATGATGTGAATGTCCCCACCTCTATTCCGGATTCCTGTTGCGGATATCCGGATTGTGGAGAGTCTGGATCAGCCGCTGCCTGGCGGATTGTAAGTTTTCTCTTCTTTTGAAGTCAGCGGCTAAATCATATACCTCTTTTAACTGGTTATTATCATTATTTATTTCAACTTTGAAACATTTCCCCCTACACATACTAGTATCACAACATACAGTACAGCACTTCTATATGTAGGTAGATTCTCTGCTGTGTCCATTCTAACATATACAGGTGACAGCTTTTTTTTTTTTAAAGATTAATTTCATCAGAGCTATTTAAAGTCTATGTGTGAAGTATTCCAGAGGAAGTCTGAAATTTGAATAACACTACCATTATTTATTACAAGCACTGCCACATGACAATTAAGTGCAGAATTTAGATATAAAGTTTTGAATTTATTTTAAAAACTTGTCCTTTTGAATGCATATCACAGTCAATCTTTATTTAGAACTGCATGTACATACTATAGACATCATTTTTTCCAATTTTTATCAATGAGGTTTCATTCATTTAAAGTCTAAACAAGAGGAAAACAGAAAATTGAACATGAATTTTGAATTTTTTTTAAAATGCAGATTCACACAATGGTCATTTGATTTCAAGATCTTTTATCAATAGAGAGAGGGGTGTTTTAAAATATTTTTATTTTCTATTTTCTTATTCCTGAAGGGCTGTGTTGAGGATGCCAAGGAGTGGTTAGAAGAGAATTATTTACTGCTGGGATTAGTGTGTATTGTCATTGGAGCTCTACATGTAAGTACAAAGTTATTATAAATGTGTATCTATCAGCCACAGGGGGACACATTTTGTAATGGTTATGGAATAATGTTTCTACATAAGAGTCAGTTTTACATTGGTTCGTTTGTTTGACTGATAGATGACATAGATGTATATATACTTCGAAATAGATTGTTTATAATTTAATTTAGTTCTAAAAAGTGGATTTCACAACATACCTTCAAAGGCATTGAATGATTAATTTTTTTTAAAAATTTTAAGAATTTAATGAAATGATAAAGAAGTATAGCTTTAAACTTTCAGTCAATTTGAAAGAAAAAATATTGGTGTACAACTATATGGACTTCACATATTCTTTAACAATTACTTGTTGTAGAAGGGAAAAAAAACATTTGGATTTATGAAAAAATGCTGTATTTGCATTGTTATATATAAGATATGATTATAAAACTGTTACATATGTATTTATTATAGGTATTGCTGCTGATAATAACTGCTGCTCTAATTTTCTTTCTGAGAAGAAACGGATGAATGTGACATCATTTACGAAACATCTCGAATAAATGTCATTATATCAGACAAACCAAGGGAGCAAATATAGGATGTGAGATGTATGCATAATATATTTTTTTTACTGATTCTGCATCTCTTAGGTAATTGACATTGAACCAGTATCTGTTTGACCTCTTATCTGAACAGGTAAATGAAAGAACTAAGTGATGAATGTACAATTCTGTTGTACAATAGAAGTGTGTATTTTTTAATAGATGTGCAACAAGAATCTCATGCGTATTCTGTGACTTTCTTTTTTTGTTAAATTTATTTGTGCATGTATATGTGATGGATTATTTTTCCAATACAAGTTTCTTCAAGTTTGTTTGAGTTTTAATGTCTCATGCCTAATTTCTTGAATGGGAAATTATATCATATAATGCAAATGTATCAGCATACAAATGTAGTTTGAAACACATACATATATCAGTTTATTTTCATATATGTATATTTTAACTCTGTCGATATCTTGATACTCCCTGGATAGTTCCTTGCCATTAATAAAATATGTGAGAGAAAAATTAAATGTTTATTTTTAAAACATTTGTTTTTTGATTTTTATTCCTGAAATCAGATGGCTCAGGAATCAACACTTAATTAGTCAGTTTCCTAGAAGCAGTACAAATGTTCACCTATAATATTGTATTTATTATTATTTGTTATGCTCAATAAATATTAAAGGTAAATGAGCAAGTGCTTCATTTCAATATTTAGAAGAAAGGCTGGAATTTTCCACATGTTGATGATCATGAGAATTAAGTTTAACAGAGCAAGGTACATTATGTAACACTACGAAAGAAATGTGGCAGGCAGACAGATTTGATTGCTGGTGACCAGATACAAGTAGCTCAATGGATAAAGCACCTGCCTAGTGTTTTATCGGACCCCAGTTCAAACCAGGTCTTGTCCGTTTTATTGTATCCATGCATTGCCGTTTCATAAGGGGGCCCCAGTTAAAAATGTCCCTTGCATTTTCTCCTTTCCTTTTTCATAAGTTGGCCCCAGTTCAACCCAGGTTTGGTCCATTTCATTTTCTCCTTTCCAGCTTCATCCTGGTCATGATTAAGTGAATCAAGAACGTAGAAAAATGTTAAATGACCAGATCATGATTTTAAATGCCACCCCTTCCAGATGAGTCTGATGTGCTCTACCAACATGAGCTATCAAGTCATCGGTAAACTTAGTCAATCTGAAGACCACAATAAGATTTCTTAACATGATTTGTACTCAATTAAAATGGTAAACAAAATTCCTATCCTCCATCTGACTGACTAAAGAAAACATGGAATATAACAGTATGGTTCTCGATTTATTCGTCTGGTCCAATGACTGACTATAGATAAAAACACCAAGGACTGTCATTTCCGAAGCAGTAATGGCACTACATGTACATATGATCGAGATTTTCAGGCTTAATTAATATCATCTTGTTAACTTAATGTTAATTAAAAAAAATATACACTGTACAAATTGTTTACCATGACCCTACATACACATCCACACATATTCTCTATTGAATATAACAAGAAATAAGTAATCATGGTACTATGCAAAATTAAATATCTTAAAATTATTTCAACATACATATATAACAAGAACAAATGTCCAGATCATTATTTTACGTAAGTACTATTAAAAATTTAACATTAATGTGGGTTAGTGACTAATAAATTAGACAGAATGACTAGAATATAAATTATTAATATGAGGATTCTATAGTTACTTTCTGTTTATGTCTACAAGAAGTAGATTACAAAATACAACACAAATAAGTCGTTGCTAGACAATTCTAATACCACATATCTTCAAAGACTATTCCAATCCTTGGAATAAAACCCCTGATACAAAATACTAAGTCATGCAGCAGTGCCTGTCAGGAAAAAAAACATGGAACATCTAAAGTACCAATAAACAATGTGATGGAATGAACTCGGCTCTGGCAAAACAAAATCAATATACAAGTATAATATTAAGAAAAACCTTTACCGCTGCATGTACAACCTAAAAAGTATAAACCGGTTCATATTTCTCGACACCAGACCAAAAAAGACTGGTGAAATATTCTATAAAGGCACAAAAACAACCATTGTTGAGGTTTGGTTAAAAAAGCAAGTTTGTTCATAGAAGGGAAATGCAAATTAAAACAGAAAAAAATAAGTGGATTTCGTAAGAGTCCATACTAAAAATGTACAAGGATGAGAATGTAATATGGAAAAAATCTTTTTCCATGTGAATACATTTAAAAAAATCATAGTACAAAAAATATCACAGTTGGAATAAATTTCACATAGGTAGGTGTATAAAAAGGAATGTTAAAATAAACAAGAGGCCCATGGGCCACATCGCTCACCTGAGAAGCTTTGACAATTCTGTACAGTAGACCCTCATTTATCCGGACGCTTTGGTTCCCAGTCAATTTGTCCGGATATGTGAAGCGTCCGGATACCTGAATCACCAGTTAAACAAGACAGAATAACAATTAAAAATTTCGTTCCCATAAAAAATCGTCCGGATACCGAAGCATTCGGATATCTGGCGTCCGGATATCTGAAGGTCCACTGTACTTTACTAGATTTACCCCTTGTAATACATATTGTGACCCCACCCTACCCCACTGATCATAATTTAGACAATTTGAAATCTACACTACCCCAGGATGCTTCCATATATAAGTTTCAGCTTTTCTGGCCCAGTTGTTATTAAGAAGATTTTCAAAGCTTTTTCCTATATATTTCTATGTAAAACTTTAATTCCCCATTGTGTCCCCGCCCAATCCCCTGGGGTCATGATTTGAACAATTTAGAATCTACACTACCCCAGGATGCTTCCATATAAGTTTCAGCTTTTCAGGCACAGTGGTTCTTGAGAAGAAGATTTTGAAAGATGTTTCCTATATATTTCTATGTAAAACTTTGATTCCCCATTGTGGCCCCGCCCAACCCCCGGGGTTCATGATTTGTATAATTTAAAATCTACACTACCCCAGGATGCTTCAATATAAGTTTCAGCTTTTCTGGCACAGTGGTTCTTGAGAAGAAGATTTTCAAAGATTTTTCCTATATATTTCTATGTAAAACTTTGATTCCCCATTGTGGCCCCGCCCAATCCCCGGGGGTCATGATTTGAACAATTTAGAATCTACACTATCCCAGGATGCCTCCACATAAGTTTCAGCTTTTCTGGCACAGTGGTTCTTGAGAAGAAGATTTTCAAAGATTTTTCCTATATATTTCTATGTAAAACTTTGATTCCCCATTGTGGCCCCGCCCAATCCCCGGGGGTTATGATTTGAACAATTTAGAATCTACACTATCCCAGGTTGCTTCCACATAAGTTTCAGCTTTTCTGGCACAGTGGTTCTTGAGAAGAAGATTTTCAAAGATTTTTCCTATATATTTCTATGTAAAACTTTGATTCCCCATTGTGGCCCCGCCCAACCCCCGGGGGTTATGATTTGAACAATTTAGAATCTACACTATCCCAGGATGCTTCCACATATGTTTCAGCTTTTCGGCCCAGTGGTTCTTGAGAAGAAGATTTTAAAAGATTTTTCTATATATTTCTATGTAAAATTTTGATTCCCCATTGTGGCCCCGCCCAATCCCCGGGGGTCATGATTTGAACAATTTAAAATCTACACTACCCCAGGATGCTTCCACATAAGTTTCAGCTTTTCTGGCCCAGTGGTTCTTGAGAAGAAGATTTTTTAATGACCCCACCCTATTTTTGTCTTTTCTTGATTATCTCCCCTTGCGAGGGGATATGTCCCTTCATTTTAACAATTTAAATTCCTCTTCACCCAAAGATGCTTTGTACCAAGTTTGGTCAAAATTGGCCCAGTGGTTCTTGAGAAGAAGTCGAAAATGTGAAAAGTTTACGGACGGACAGACGGACGGACGGACAGACGGACGGACGGACGACGGACACAATGTGATCAGAAAAGCTCACTTGAGCCTTCGGCTCAGGTGAGCTAAAAAGTCATCAAAAGTTCATCTTGTGGATGGAATCAAGTGGACTGCAAGAAGTATATTCTGTAGAAAATAGACTTACAGGTACTACAAATTTCCTAGGGTAAAAAAAAGAAGATTCTTTGTTCATACAATTCTACCTGTTACAATCTTGTAGGAAAGAAAAAAAAATACTTTTTAAAAATCCTTGGTGTAAAATTTACAGCAATTCACATTTTGATTTTACTGAGTATCATTTGAAAATTTATTCATGTGTAAATTACAACAGTTCACATGAATGTTTTTTTTTTAACTATATAAATTACAGCTGCAGTCTGAGTTTAGAGGTTTTCAGCAATTTTGGGGTTAGTATACTCTTTGTAAGACATAAGTTTACAAATTTTTAAAATCTCGACTTCAGTTGTAGAGTTTATATACATAACAGTTTGCGTAAGATGTGTTTTACAAGGGTAACCACTGCTTCTCTAGTCCACGGGCAGTAACTCCCTGGATATAGCTCCATCTCCTTTGTCTTTGTCTAACCATTGTTTACAGGGGAAGGTTTTCTTCTCGTTAGTTCCCAGATTAATTATCTCAATCTTGTCCAAGAACCAGGCGGGACGGAAGTTTTTGTTGTCATGTTCAATTCTCACTTTTTCAATTTCACCTGGAAAAGGCAAACATTTGTTTTCAAAATTAAATTTTTCAAAATACAGTCCATAAAAATAAATTATAATTGGCCCAATGAATGAAAATAAATCGAAACTTAAAATTGAAAGCTTTTTGTTAATTACCTAAGTCTAAGCATTCAATCTCAAATTTGTCTATCTGGTTGCGCTCGAACAGATCCCTCCAGCTTTGTTCCAAGGGACGTTTCCCGGAATCTCCGTTAGCTCCGTATATTGTAATGTAGACATTCGCATTGGTTCCTGCACCAAACACATCACCAGTGTACACAATTATCTGGTATTTCACTGAAGCAAGACCTGTGCAAAAGAAATAATACAGTTAGGGTAATATTCAATAAATACCTGTTAAAGTTAAAAACAAAAAACAAAAAAAAAACATGCAGAGTGCAAAAGAGAGCACAAAATGCTACATTTTTGAATCATATAAAATTAATTGCATGGTAGATGGCTTTTATTTTTTAAATTACTTGATTAGACCTTGATTTTCCTGATGATTTTAAAAACACTGCATTACAAGCTCCACTCGATCTACTTACTTCTGACAACAGACACCTGGCTCTGTTCTACGTCCTTCAGCTCCAGTTCTTTGCCCATGTTCCTCTTGAAGGGGGAGGGCCCTATCTGAATCCAGTCCTTACAGGGGAACAGGTACTTGTCCCCCGTGCTGGTGTCCGTGATGGCCACCTGGTAGCAGTACCACATGGCGTCCTTCCCTTCCAGGTCCTGTAGAGGTTTGTCCTCTCGTTCGTACGCCCCGACCGTCACCTGCTGGATTTTACCCAGATTCTTACAGCTGTGGCTGAAGGTGTTTGTGTCACCTCTGTCAAAATCAAAACGCAAAAAATGTACATGTATGCCTCCTTTGTAAGAAGAAGTTGTGTCAATTGTAAACAATCATTCAGAAGTTTCTGTAATACATATATATACAAAAATGTAAAAAATATACACGTACATATAATTATTCTCATTACAGGTTAACTGACTGTTTTTATTTATGCTGATATAATTACTCATAATTGAAACTCTGTAAATCAAGTTATCAATGAATTAAATAAATACAAACTAACACACAGATTGTAACTGAGACACTATACCTTCTGAGTATTTTGTCTCGAGCACTGTTCTTCATTTTCATTTTTGTCTCTCCTTTTTTGCCTTTGATGATCAGCCAGCCATTGTGTACTGTGCTGGCCTTGTCTTTGTCAGCAGTTTTCACCTCAATTTCATAAACTACAATTAACAGATAAATAAATTAGCATGAGTGAGTTTTACACAAATCAACCAGTGTTTCCTTTGATAATCCTTAACTTCCAGACTTCAATACAATGCTTGTAGACATACATGCAAGTAATTTACAATTCATTAAAAAGAATTTCATTTTTAATGCCTGAATTCCTCAAAATATGAACATGTTTTATTTTGATTTACAAGTCATCAAAAGGACTGATTTAGAAATACAGATCCCTTCAAACATGAACTCAAGATTTTCCATTCTAGCAAGCTAAAACTTGGTTAAGTTTACTTTAATTATCTACAAACTTATTGACAGAAAAGATCATAAAATCAAAGTTTATGACAATTACCTGTTTCATCCTGTGACCCTGGGGTTAAGGGTCGTGCAGCACAGGTCAGTTCCCTGACTATCTGTTTATCATCTTCCTTTTTAGACAGCCATCTTCCACAGTGGAATGTGTACTTCTTCCGTGTAGACATGTCCTCTGCTTCTATAAAGTCTAAATGCCAGGCTGCACCAAAACCTACAGGATATATGACAAATTGTTTATATATAATGATGACTGTTATTTACATGCAAGTCTCCACACAGAGACACATAGATGCATAATATGTCAATATATATTCATCTTCCTTCATTACTATATAAGGGTTTTTTTTTATTATTAAAACATACACGTTTTTTTTTTTATTCACATGAGCACATCAAGGTCCAGAGTCATCAAAATTAGCAAATTGTAAAATATTTCTCATAGATTATATAGCAAAGCAAATCTAACTTTAGCAGCTGTATACTGGAAAAGCAAAAATAAATTCCTTTTCCCATAATGGAAAAAAAATATTCATAGGAATCTAGCTCTACATATATAACACAATAAAAAGCTTCATTTATTGCAAAAAATAGTTGCTACTAATATTCATGGGATCTACATAATGAATTCATTTTAAAAAGGTCAAATACTAAACAGCCATGAAGTTAATCATCTCAAATTATTTTCTGATGCTGAGTATATCTTATGTGACTTTTTATGATGCACAGAATTTTAACTACATATTGTGTACTACATGATTGCACTGCCTACAACATATATAAAATAAAGATGAAAATAAAAAGCTAAGTTCCAGCCTCCACACAATGACTATAGTTACCCAGGGTTTCTTAATAGTAAGGAAACACAAAATTAGTCATGGGAAAAATTCTTGAAAAGTTTGACAGGATTAATAACACATATTACATTTGTACACCAGAAATATAAGTGATGACTACCTGTACCATAGATTCATTGACTGACATTTAGTAAGGGCATAGTATAATCACAATGAAAGGAGAGAGAAAGTTTGCTTTCATTTAACTAAGAATACTGTACAATAAAAAGTCATTTTTCAATTGACTTAGGAATACCATGACCTACCTTTATTGTCATGCCACACACGACACTTGGACATCTCTCCTATACTGAGCATATCATTAAAGGTAAACACATCCAGTTGGTCATTCTCAAATGGACTCTTGTTTGTCTCGGACTTCTTCAAGTGGAGCTCTCCTGTGTCACCATTAGATCCGAACAAAATGACGTAAACATTGGCATCAGTGCCAGCTCCAGGCACATTGGAAGTTTTTACAGAAATCTTGTATGTTGTTCCTAGAGAAAAAAATCATTGTACATGTATATATGTACTGAAGAGTGTGGAAATTTATAACAAAATATAGATAAAGGGGGAGCAATATCATAGCACATAGTGATATGACTTACGGGAGATGACTTCTTTGCCTCGTTTCATGGCTGGGATGTCTCTCCAGTATTTCTTGTCTTCACTCTTTTTACCAAACCACTGATTACACTCGAATCTGTACTTCACCCCCGTTGCTGTGTTGAACAAGTCAATCTAAAACAGAAAGTACTTATAGTCAGATGTATTAGAATTAAACTCATGTTAATTGATGTGAAATCTTAATGTACAACTTGATGGCATTATTCTATATTCTCCCTGGAAACAGATTCAGCTATAGAGGAATAAATCCTGTCTTTGCCCACTGTCCTGAGTGGATATCAGTTAACAGTGCATGTAACACAACATTTGTAAAATAGATCAAGAACCACTCTACATGTATGTATACATACCCTCTCTAAGTACCAGCTCTGTCGGCTTCCGCTGGCTGACGTCTCCACACGGATTTTCTTCAGGGAACCAACATCTTCTAACTCAAGCTAGATAAATAAAATACAAACTTTGTGTCCACAAAAAAAAACTTTATGATGCATTAAATATCATTGTTCATTACTTATGTTCACTGATATTAATACAGAGAATGTCTTCCTACCCTGAGGTTGTCTTCCCTTGCTCTTTCGAATCTGTCCGAGGCTTTTTCCAGCTCTACAGGAGTTGTGGTTCCTTTGTCCCCGGAGGCTGAGAGCATGATCTTCATGTCTGTTCCAGCGTTCTCTACATCCCCTGTCAACACTGTACACTCATACGTCACCTCTGTTATTGAAAAAATTAGATTTGTTAGCAATATTGCAACTTCCCGACAAAAAGTTTTACCCTACTTCAACAATTAATAAATATACAAAGTGCTCATTTTTACATTTATACTGTCTGGTACATTGCAAACTCTGTAGTTAATGTAAAGCACTAAAAAGAGGATTAGCTAGGTTACACAACAACTAGTGCATGTCAATTTTAAAAGTTTTATTGGTCACAATAAACTCAGAATTAGATCTACACTATTGCTATTACTCTGTATATATATTGTAGTTTGTATTTATTAATAACAACTTTTCAATCAATACTCACTTGGTCTGTAGGATGTAATGGTACTCAGCCCCTCGTCCAGACTAAACGTCCTCTCCGTTTTACCATCGCTCCTGTCCCGGGCCAGCCACTGTCCGCAGCTGAAAAGGAAGTTCTTTCCCTTGGTGGGCATGTCTATACTGACCTGCTTCACAAACCACCCACTGCCAGGGGAGGTACCATCATGACCAAGCTGTCAAAGGTTATAAATGTATACACAAAACTAAAGCTCTGCAGATGAAAAAAATAATCTTAAAAAGGTATAATAAATCCAAACAGCATGAAATATATCTGTTATAGCTATCTTTGTCATTTTTTTTACGCTACTTATTAGTACAAGTCATTTCTCATTTCTATATACTTATGTTACAATAGATTTCTTTTTAAATCCTTTAAAACTTACTTTAATTTTCTTGACTTCGTTGACATCTGGAGCATCAAATGAGAAAGTCTTTACAGAACCAGGGTCAAATTTGTCCCCAGTCTGAGCGAACTCCAGGAACTGAGTTCCTGTGTGTAATTTCTTTATTCCATAGATAACTATCCATACATTGGCATCTGTACCATTGTCTTCACCCTCTCCCGTCCAGATCTTTACACTGTATGGGATTTCTGAAAATATAACAGCAATATGATCATGGTAAAGCGATTCAAGTGTAACAACAGGAAAAACTGAAAATTAATCTAAGTGGAAAATATTTTAAATGTAAAGAAAAGGTTATATTTGCATACCCACTGCTCTCTTCCACTATGAACATGTAGTTAACACCTGCGTTCATAGGACTATAGACGCAATTGCATCTACTATGAATGCAATTGCTCTATCTCACTCGTGTAGCACAATCTCCACTACACTTATAAATAGTGTTGAGAAGTATATATATGAAATGTTTCATAAGAGGAATAAAAATAAGTTTCTAATACTATTTTTTGAAAAAAAGGAAATTCAGAATACTTAAAATTGCTGAATTATATCTTTAAAAATTCAATTTTGGTCAATGTATTTAATTGTATAATAAAACTCTTTAAAAAATGTAGAGAACTGCCATATTTTTATTTTTAGTATCATGCATATTTGATCAAAGAACGATAACTCTTCACACTTGGGTAATAACATTCAGAAAGAGAAAATTTCTTTAACTAGTATATCTATTTCAAGAATGATTTCAGCTATTAAAAGTAAATAGAAAAACTAAAAAAAAAATATGGAAAAGCATTCTGGAGTAATAATCATTATAAAAGCATTCTCATTTTTAATCATAGTGTTAAATTATTGATTTTTGTCAGAGTGTTTTACTAACGTCGATCGATGACGTCACAACTGCATCAAAACAAAAATGTGATGACGGCGCTGCTTGTATCCAGATAACTGTGTTTGAGAGGGAAATACTTTATAAATATGTTTGTGATTTATTATGGAAAAAGGAGTATTAATCAGGTTTACTGATTTTAAAGCCGTATGTTTTTCTTTACTGAAGACAAGAAGCTGCAACCTTATGTAAGTCAGGATTTCCTCTGATATTCTTGAAAAAAATCAAAGAATGCAAATATAAGTAATAAACAACGATTATTCAGTGAACATGGCGTTATGAATAGCAATAGCATATACATGCTGGCATATTTTCCATGATGCGCTAGCGCGCATCATGGAATATGCCAGCAGAGCAATTGCTATTCATAACGCCATGTTCACTGAATAACGTTGTTTATTTCTTAATTAAAACAGTAACTAATTAACTTTGGTGATTATAACTTACGTTCCAGTCTAGACATATTGTCCATTTCCTCTTCCTGCATCAGCTGCTTGCGTTTGACTCTGGGGCTCTTGGAGAAGAGGTCACCGCTGGACTCCAAACTGGCGACTGACCCCCCAAATCTAGTGGACCTCAATGTACCAGTACTAGATCCCATCTCACCATCATAACCCTACAGGGAAGACCGGAGTATCTGTACACAGCTGTATACACTCTAGCTAAATATGTCAGTTGAGATTGAGGAAACCCCCAGAGCCACTAATTAAAGTGTGAGCATCTTACATCTCAGTTCCATACACTTTTATCATTGATATGGAATATGAATATCTGTATCCTAGCTAAATCTAAGGAAGTTTAATTTACTTGTTTGTATTTAAAATATTTGATACAACTTTTATCAAATGTCCTTGACCTTTGACCTCACCTTGACATATAGTGACCTCTCTGTCTTGCAGTCGTCCTTTGATTTTGAGAGCCATCGCTCACAGTGGAACATGTAGGATTTGTTTTTGTCGGCTGTATCTATCACCTCCACATAATCAAGGTACCATGAGGGATTGATGTTTTTATTGTCATGCCAAATCTTTATTCTGTAGATTTTACCTAAGTCTGCTGCCTCTAACTTGAATACATCAGTCTAAATAAAAATAAAGTTGTATTAATTACACATTTTTTTAGATACATATATTAATCTACATAACATAAATCAGTAAAAACTATCACGTATATTAGTACTTTTAATCTTTAATTTGCCAAACATCAAATTATAAGTACATGTAAACAGGAAATTTTAAGCTGCAGAAACTAAAAATACCTACGTATAGTTAGTACTTACATGGTTTCTCTCAAACTTGTCCATGTGAGTTTCAGAATTGGCTAGCTTCCTTTCTCCTGTGTTTCCAAGCTCTCCATAAATGTTAATGAAGACATTGGCGTCAGTTCCAGCACTGAACTTATCTCCCGTGTGAACGTTAACTGTATACTGCTTCACTAAAATGTCAATGGTGCAAAAACTTGCATGTTTTCTCTGTTTTTAGCAACTAGTAAGTACAGGTATTGTGCATATAGATAAACAGGTATAATAAAAGTATAAACATCATGTTGGACAAAAAAAATTGCCTTTCAATGACTGCAGTCTACAACCTTTCATGTCTGATACTGAGAAATTTCATTCAATTTCTTGTTTGAGAAAACACACCTCCTCAGTTGAATTCCTAAAGTCCTTACCTTCAAGTTTGTTTTTGACCTTGACCTCTTTCTTTTCCACTTCCCCGTCCTTGCGTACTGTTTCCTTGATGATTTTGTCTGGTACCAATTCCCGTACGATTTCCTTGTCGTCTTCATCTCTAGCCAGCCATCGGTTACAGGGGAAGACATAGAGTTTAGAGCCCTGAAAAAGTCCAAGAATATAGAATTATTACACAGCAATATAACTTGAAATATCTAATATTTATCTTAATTTGATTTTATTAAAATTTTCTCAGATCCTTCAGAGAAAACATGTACTGAAGCAATGCTGGCATATCCCTATTGTGCAACATATTTATAAACAATTACTTGATCTTGTTTTAGCAAATTCACATTTTGTACCTTGTAAAAAGTCACTCTTAAATCATTAGAATTTTTTTTCAGAATTTAATTTGGTCTTCTTATATACAGCTAGTTTATAAATTGATTCAAATAGAGCCTTTAAGCTCTCCAGAGACAGTTTACCCTTGTTTCCTTACTTCTGGAAGGCTTTGGTAGTTGAGGAATTACTAAGTGCATATTTTGCAAACTAATAAGATGTTAACTGATTGATCAACTCATTATTTTAAGGCATGTAAAAGATATAGCAGTTTAATTGGGGTGTACTGAACATAAGAAGAATATGTGGATCTAATAAGAAGATAGTCTGGTATAAAAAGAATCCATATTTGTTAGAAAATCAGGAAAGTTAAGTGTTCAACGTTAATTAATATTAATAGTAAACCAACATCTATATTTGACAACATAATTAAGTCGGCCAATCTCTGCAGATTTTATAACCCTTTAATTTAGATTTCTTCATTGCCCTTTTTTGAATACAAAAGATTACAGAAATTTATCATTCAGTGATATATAATATTCAGCAAGTCTTGCTGTGATTAAAAAATAGATGTTGATGTACAGTAAGACCATTATCTTTGTGAACTGAAGAGGACAATAAAAAAATAATTATCAGATTCAAAACAGAATCATAATGATGTTGTGGGATGTAAAAACTGAAAGTACAGAGTATGAACAGAAAATCTAACAGGTGCTTCCACAAACCTGAGTCACGCGTGTCCGACGAGATCCCTTTATAAAATCAAATCAGATGTTATCGAATGGGTGGAAACAAGATTAACTATTTACAAATCTTTTCTTTTTTTTTTTTAAAAAGAGAAGTTTGAAACCTCATATATTTTCTTTATGTTGTGTCATCCTATGACACATGTTCAGAATTTGCATGCCTTCACATCAAGTCAAAACCAGTTACAGCAATATACTTTTTTCCTACACTGATATTTCTGCTTAAGCTACTCTTGAATTACCTTGCCAGAAGAATCGTTCAGTGTTCTAACTTCCACTTTCTCCAGGTGCCAACCAGCAAACAGACCAGCATTGTCATGGCCAATACGTAACTTGGTTATCTCCCCTACATCTTCCAGCTGCAAACATTTATAATTATATTAAAGTTCAATTTATAAAGAGAATTTGCTCATTTAGATCATTTAAAAAAGAAGAAGGAGAAGAATTCAAAACTTGCAAGTTGTTTAACCTTTTCTTAAAACAATAAATATATTTAGTTTATTCAATCTTGATACCTCAACCACAAAAACGTCCACTTGACCCTTTTTGAACTTTCCAGCCCTCTCTTGTTTGGTACACAGTGATTTCTGTTGAGTACACTGCATGTCTTTACCAAACAGCTGAACATAAACATCAGCACTAGTATCAGCCCCTGACTTGTCACTGGTGAATGTTTTAATTTCATATGGGATACCTAAAACATAGGGAAAAAAATTTAAAAGTTAAATACATTATTCATTAACTTTCTGAATATGGTTAAAACATTAATTCAAAAATATTTCTTGAAATCTTGAAATTAAAAAAAAACATAAAATATTCATCTATCAAAAATTCATTGTAAATCAATTTATGAAGAGTACTGTAAATTCCTTATTTTTCGCGAGTACTTATCGTGAATGGGCTCCTCAACATCAAATTGCGAGAATAATAATTAATTCACGAATAGAAGGTCGGTCAAGAGATTTTACATAGACTTCAGCACCATAAAAATAAAGGCGAGTAATTTTATTTCGCATGTGGTGCTTCTTGCGAAATTTTACGATAATTAATTCCACGCATGTATTTAGGAATCTACAGTAATTTTGACATGAGACAACAGTACATGTAATAATATAGACTTACATGGGATGTCCTCATGATCCAATATGTGTTTTGTATATAATAAACTTGGTAACTGTAACATTGTTTGAGTTTTATATAAATAAAGACTTACATGGGATATATTCCTCTGTTTCCAGGTCCTGAGGAAACAGTTCTCGTTCGATTTTCCCGTCATCTTTTCCTTTAGCCAGCCACCTGTTACAGGGGAAGGTCCAGGACTTCCCAAGAGATGGACAATCAATGACGACTTTGTCCAGGAACCAATCTGAGCGGAAACCTGAGTCATCATGACTAATACTGAAGTGAAAAGTATAATAGTTATATTTCATACACAACTACTGTATAACAGGTATTTTCTGCGGTTGTCCAATTTTTGCAGAATTTTGCGGATAGGACAAAATCCGCAAAATCTACAATCGCAAAATATTTTAAATATGTGCCTTCAGGTATTTATACATGCAACTATGATATGTGCAGGTGTGTATGTCTGATAGAATTCTCATTCTCTGTGTACCAGACCCAGTAATATTATTTGGGACCCAAGGTTCTTAAAAATGATGCATCAATCTGCAGACTCATGCGTGGAACAAAGCAAATCTTCCTGGTCCAAGAAATTGTTGTATTGAATAATTAGTGGTTATAAAAATAAATGTCAATGGATCCCCTCTCCCCTCCAAAAAAATCCATCTTTTCAGAGATTTAATTTCCTTTTTCACTTAATTACCAATGAAGCTTTTTAAATTATTTTCTATAACATATTTTAATTCCCCATCCTTCTACATCCTCACTCATTTTCCAGAACGGCTATATTTTGTATACATTCAAGGAATTCTCCACATGCTAATTCAAGTACAACATACATTAAATCTTGGAAGTTATACTACTTACATAATTTTTTTAAGTTCTCCAATGTTGACAACTTCTAACACAAACTCATCATCATGTCCTGCCTCAAACTTGTCAGAATGCGTCAGAGAGGACTTCAGAGGAATCTTGTCTGAAAATTCACACATGTAAGTCTATCAATTTTGCTTCATTTTAAAACGTTGTAGTTTAAGGAACCAGTGTTATGAGACAAGAGGCGAACCAAGGATTTTAATTTTCACTGAAAATGTAACATTATGATATATTTTTTTTACTAACTGAATATCCTCAAATCATAATGCTTTAATATTGAAATTTTTTCTGCATAGCTTGCAACAAACCTGTTTGGTCTTTGTCACCATAGAGTTTGATGAATACATTGGCATTTGTACCAGATCCAAACTCTTTACCAGTAATCACATGAACATGGTAGGTTGTCAGGGCAGCTGGAAAGGCAATACTCAGTTTGAAAACCAGAATTTATAATAATTATAGGCAAATATTTCATAACATGACACGACTAAGACAACCACAATAAAAAAAACTAGGAGACTTATTGTTCACAGAACAATAAGAGGTCTTTCCACCTTCTTTGAATTTTAAATTTGTTTTATATCTGACTCCTAAAAATTAAATTCCATGAAAAAGAAACCAAAACTCTCTTAAAGCATCGAAAAAAATAAAATAAAAAAAATGAATGACCTTGACCTTTGACCTTGAAAAAATATTTAAGGTCAAAGGTCAATGGTCACAATGCAGTTGTCCCCATGCTTCTATGACTTATAGTTTTCAAGTTATAAGGTTTAATAGTAAGTACAAAGAACTTAAAGGGCAATAACTGATATAAGGGGTCATCAGATCCATTTGCACTTATACAGTGAAGTTAGGCCTAAAGACCCTTAGGATATTAGTGAAGGTTTGGTGTCTCTATAGTCTATGGTTTCGGAGGAGTAGCGATAACAAGGTTTTTCGCACAAGGGGCAATAACTTTTAAAAGGGTTAATATTAGGGGACAAGAGTGAATTCTTTGAAACAGTTTTAAAAGTACATATTAATGATGCATAGAAATTTAGTATATGTTGAAAGACAAAAGAGATATAAAAATGGTTAAATTTTCCATTTTTGGAATGACCTTGACCTTTGACCTTTACATGAATTTGAAGGTCAAAGGTCAATAAATCATATGCAGTTGGTCCCATGTCTCTACGACTTGTCGTTTTGAAAATTTTTAATTATTTGTAATATTCAAAAAGTTTCAGGGGCAATAACTCATTGAAGGGGTCACCGAATGCTTTCGCAATGAATAGATTGAAGAGTCCCCATAATTAGGCAAAGCCATTGGTGAAGGTTTCATACCTTTACGGTTTACGTTTTCAGAGGAGTAGCGATAACAAGGGTTTTTAGCACAAGGGGCAACAACTTTTAAAAGGGTCAATCTTAGGGGCCAAGATTTATATCTTCTAAAGAGTTTCAAAAGTACATATTAAAGACATAAGATAGATCGTATATGTTTAAGGACAAAAGAGCTATTAAGAGAAATTTATTTCTCATATTTGGAATGACCTTGACCTTTGACCTTTAAATGAATTTGAAGGCAAAAGGTCATTGAATGTTATGCAGTTGGTTTCATGTCTCTACGACTTTTCGTTTTGAAAATTTTTAATTTTTTGTAAAATTTATAAACTTTCAGGGGCAGTTACTCATTGAAGGGGTCAAAGAAAACTCTTGCAATGAATAGATTGAAAAGTCTCCTAAATTAGTTGAAGACAATGGTGTAGGTTTTATATCTCTACGGTTTACGGTTTCTGAGGAGTAGCGATAACAAGCTTAACGGTGAAAGGGCCAATAACTGCGTAAGGGGTCTAAGTTAAAACATGGGGGGTCATTTTTCGGAATAACTTTACATATCCAGTATCATGAACTATAAAGTTTTTTGATAAGTCTTACGGTGTCAAAACATAAGGTGAGAAATGGAATAATAAAAAACATAAGCATTTCAATAGGTCTTTCCACAGAAAGGTGGAAAGACCTAAAAAAGAAAATTCATAGGCACATATTGAGAGAGCTTGGTTACCTTTAGTTTCCAGGGCGACCTCCATTCTTGCAGAGTCTTGTCTCTCCATCTTCTTCAGCACTGACTTGTCTACAGGAACCAGCTCCCTACAGATCTGTCCATCATCTTTACTTGTTGCCAGCCAGCGCTGACACAGGAAGTAGTACCTAAGGTCAAAGGTTAAAGTTCTTCATTGAAAAATTTGTACAATTATTTTTTTTTTCAATATTTTTTTTAATTTCTTTTAAGACTTCACAAGTTTAATTGTTTCACTGGTATACTTACTGTTCCAATGGTACTCTTGCTACTAAGTACATTTTCAGCTATTGGTACCTATATATACTTTGAATACTTACGTTTTCTTATTCTTGGTATCCTCAACCTCTACTCTGTCTAAGAACCACGCTGCCCCCACCAGACCAGAGTTGTCATGGCGGATACGACACTTAGTCAGCGCTCCAAGTTCCACAGCCTTTATCGTGAAGATGTCCTCCTAAAAAATAACCATATCAGTAAGACAAAACAAATTTCTAAAACTAAAGTTAAATCAATTAGTGTATCTAAATAATTTGAAGCCCTAATAATAAAAGTGCACCATTTACATTTTTAATACACCATAGATTCAGTTCAGTTTTCCACCTACATTTGTAAAACTATTTGATCTTATTACTTAAATACCGTATAGCCGGTTTTTTTGGCGGGACACAAATTTGGCGATTTTAGGTTGTTAAGATATATCATTAATTTTGGTGGATAATATTTTGGTGAATTCAAATTTATTACCATTAAGTCGCGGGTTAAGAATGCGCTCTTGTTACGATTGCACACCCTCCCAAACTTGCCAAAGTGTCGGGAAATCCTCGGAAATACGCAGATACTATTGTTAAATCACACCCCAAATATGGAAATTCAGATGTAGCTCTTATTTGAACTGCACAAATAATGTAAAGAACATTTCTAAAGAAGTAAAATATTTGTATTAAATTGAAAAAGGAAAGTAGGATGCAAACATGTTTTTTCCGTAGCTAAATCCGTTTATATATACATTTTGCTGACAATGCATTCCAAGCGCTGTCTGTGTTTACGTGAACAAACCATCCCAAGCGCAATTACTTTCACACATAGGTATTAATTGATACCAGTTATTTAATTATAACAAGTACATGTAGTTTAAAACATTAATTGTTGAAAAAACTTCACTGGTCATGAGTGTGCCGTATAAATGACAGATGATTTGAACCCATTGTTTAGCAAGCATGGCACCTTTATAACTTGAGGGTAGATTGGAGTAAAAGTTTTGGCAGTGATGAAATCCAAATTAAAAACGATAAACTTATAGAACTAAATATTTTTGTTTAATCAAAATAATGTCAGTATGGATAATTATATCTGTATTTATAACTATTTGTTGACTTATATACCGGTGATAGCTCTACCGGTGATTTGCCGTAACCATTCAAAAATGGGGAATTTACAAATGCAAGGTGTGTAGGCTACAAATTTAGCGGTTTTTATTTTGGTGAATTTTTATAAATCGCCAAAATAGGCCAAAATTATATCCCCGCCAAAATAACCGGCTATACGGTACATTGGTTATTTTAACTTGCTTGCTACCTTTTTACTGAAAGAATTGACTATGAAAAGGGATTATGTGCATGCTGACTATTACATCACTACTCAATCACCCTCTTATAATGTCCTCCAAACTTACACAAAATCATATAATTTTTACAGTAAAACATAAAATGTTAAAGTTTTAAGAATACCTGTCCAGACTCAAATTTGTTCATATTTGTGCTGCTATTTTTGAGCTGTCTTTCTCCTGAGTCAATAGGATTGTCTTTATAGCTGCCAAACAGAGTCACAAACACGTTAGCATCCGTACCTGCACCACTGACTTTACCAGTGTATACTCTCACTATGTATTCCACATCTAGCAAAGAAAAAATCACGTAAAATGTTCATTATACATCAACAATAATATGGCAACTACATGTACATAAAATAAATCTTGTGTTTGCAAATTATCTAAAACTAGGCTATCCTCTTTTGATCTGTAAAGAAATTGTGGGTAGAGAAATGAAAATGCACTTAGAGATGAGCTTGCACTATGATAACCAATAAGAAATCTATAGAAGCATGAATATAAGCTACCATCAAGGGCCTTTTTAAGAGGTCTTCCATCTTTGTCCGTTGGGACAAATTCCCTGACGATCTGTTTGTCGTCTTCATCAGTTGCAAACCACCTATCGACAAAGAACCAATAATCAATGGTCTCTTCTCCATCGTAAACGTCTTCTTCTTCTTCTACTGTCTTCAGATCCGGCTTCTTCTGTTGTCAGATAAAAACACAATATTCAAAAGGGGAAGAAAATTCACTCTTATTTATCAATATAAATAATAATGTATGAACATGCATCACTCCTCCTTATTTAAATATTCAACCAAACTGCAGCAAAGTTTTGCTTGTTTTTATCTAAAATGTACAAAAAAAAAGCTATTGATAGAAGAGGGAAAACATGAGGACTGACCCTGAGGCTTCTCTTGCGCCTGGGGGTGGGGGAGGAGGATGAACTGCTGTCAGAGTCCTGATCCTCGTTCTGTTGAATCAGGGACTGTCTCCTCTCGTACGCTGCATTAGCCCCAGAAGACTTGCTGGACTTTGACCTCTTCTTGGTTCCTGCCTTTGGCTTTCTCTGGATCAGCAACTGAAAAGAAAATCATAATTTTCCAATTTATAGTTATTTAAAACTTAAATTCAAGTTCATATATCAAATCAAAATCAAAATTAATCTTTGTGAAATATATATTTGTAAAAAGTGTAGTCATCACACCTTATCCAAGTGCCAGCCAGCTCCAAATCCTTTACCATCATGTCCAATTCTTATCTTCAGCAGATCCCCAATGTCTTTTTGCTCAATCTAGAAAAACATAAGGATTTCCATTAATCTTATATTAAAGTACAACATGATTTGAATGTTACATTACCAGTTGATATTTGAAAAGGATGGACTTTTTAACACAGCATTGGTTGTATGGGTGGGACTGGGGTCATAAAATTGGTAAGTAAAAAAAAATGTGTTGCTTAAGCATACTTAATATGTTAGGAATCTATAAACCTGCATGCTTTTTATATCAAACTTTAACAATAAATCATCATTACTGTGGAAGAAAATATTTTTACCTTAAACTTCTCCTTCATTCCACGTTCAAAATTATCAGACCTATTATTGAGCACTATCTCGTCCGTTTTGCCCTCTGTCCCATACATCTGTAGGAAAACATTAGCGTCAGTGCCAGCCTTAGATCTATCACTGGTCCACACCGTCACTTCATACGGAATTCCTGAAAATGAAAGATAAAACATTATTAAAACTCCCTGGTAAAATATTTACAGGCCTATTAATTTCTGAAGAAGAAATATAAAGAAGATTAAGACATACAAATAAAGAGTACTGTAAATGTCAAGGAATTAATTACTCTGATTCCAATTTTATCTTTTCAGTCTGAATTATTAGTTGTAGTAATTGTTTTACTGATCTAAGCTATGAGAACAACACTTTATACTGCATGTTCATGCAAAAATCAGCATCTACATCTAACAGCAGTTCAAAGAGTCAAAAATAAGTATTCAAATTCATATGATATCTATAAATTACAAGAAAATTTGAAAATGCTACAGGGAAAGTATTATATAAATGTATTAACTAGAGTCTATTTCATAAACATGACCAATGAATAATCAAGCATACTCTGAAGCATAAAGCACACTGGGCTCTATGTTTTATATAAAGGACCCTATAAAAAATAATTGTTTAAAAAACAGTCTCAGCCTGTTAGATAAACAAAATGGGTAAACCTTAGGCAAAGAAAGCAATAAAAATTCTCATGCGGATTCTCGTTTTACAAACCATCCTCAATACAGTCAACATTCACTGTGTTGTCTGGTGCTAATGTCAAAGGTAGAAAGAGAAAACATCAAGAATTTATATCAAAGTCTAAGTTGTTTAAAATCTACAGATGATGAAAACAAGAAAAGATCCTTCTTATGTGGAAATATAACCAATTCCACAAACGCTTTAACTTATTTGAAATCAAATTTGTTTATATAAAAGCATCATTCATTCTGACAACTCTGATAACAATTAATTGCTCCCAGCATTCTAATTGTCTAATGGTAGTTTCACACAGAGATTAAAACATAATCACTTTTAACAACAGCCTTTGTACTACATTGCACACTGAGTTTTCCTACCAAAGAAAAAAACTCATAAAATTTCCCCTATCCTGTTTTTTTCAGTTCTTGTCCAATGATCAGGGTCTTAAAGTGTGAATTGATCCTTTCTATGATTTATCATCTGATTTCAGAAAGAATTCAGCAAACTTTGTTTTAAGAAACCTTCAATCTTTTAAAACAAAATCAGTCATTTCTTTTGGGATCATGAACAGGTAAAAGATTCAAAGTTGAAAAAGAAAACAATCACAGTACAATTTTAATAACATCAATAAACCATATATAGCTCTGTTTTTAATTCTGATTTTGATTTCCCAGTATAGACATAAAAAATCTGAATTTATACAAACACTGAAAACTCAGAGTTAGTTTCAATGCCAACAGTTTATTATAAACAATCATTTCCTCTCATGTAAATTTTAACTTGCACAAATTTACCTCTTCTTACTTCTACAAAACATTTCAAAATTGTCAAGTGAATCGTGAAATCAAATAAAAAAGACAAAAATGTCATTCATGGTTAATACATGGCAAATCAAGGGGGAAAACTCCTGTTGAGAGTGCAAAAATTGGTGGCTTCAGACAACTCATGTAGTTTGTACAGAGGTTGTGCATTACTTCCACACAAATTCAATGTCATCGCTTACTTGCACAAAGCCTTCGAAGGCCCCTGCATCTTATTCCTGACATACAATATTGCAGGTTAGAAGGTATATCAAATACAAACATTCATTCCTCTATTACCAAAAAAGTTGTTTTTAACCACTAAGAAACACAAGTGTATGTGATAAAGAGCATTCAAAAAAAGATAAGGGTCTTGAAAATTAATATCTGAAAGAGAAAGCCAAGGTCAAATAGTCATGGGCATATAAATTTTTAGATTCAAAAATGAAATTAAAAATTCACAGAACACTGCTTTCTGATCACAGTTAACTGCTTTATTTATATTTGCAATGATAAAAGTGAAAACCGGAGGGGGATTTCACATTGTAGTGTTTTCTTTTACTATTTTTCACACATCTAAGGGGAACTTACTCTTCTCTCTATCCTCTTTGAAGGATGGTTCCAGTTCTACTTCAATCTCTCCATCCCCTTCGTTTTTGTCCAGCCAGCGGTGACACGCGAACACATACTGCTGTCCATGGGAGGGGATGTCGATACGAACCTCATCTAAAAACCAACCCGAGCCAAAGTTGGCTCCGTCATGTCCAACTCGGATTCTCTTGATCTACAAATTATGTTCAAAACTTATATACCACACTGTGTTTACATATTAATCCTTAAGTTTTTCATTTTGATAAGAGACTTCTACAAATTTTAAATGAAGATGTAGGATAACTTATAAAATTATTTTGTAAAAGTCTGAATATAAAAACCATCTTTTCCTCTGATGAAATTGAGGTTACAGACTCATTAGAATAGCATTATTCTTTGTCATTAACGATAATTTTCAGTCTCTTCTCTCAACACACCTTTCCAATATCTTCAGCATTAAGAATGAAGTGATCAGTTCGATTTCTCTCAAACTTGTTTGAGGTAGATTCAGCATTTTCCAGCTTCAAGGTTCCTGTGTCTCCCTTTTCTCCAAATATTTTGAGAAAGACATTGGCATCAGTTCCTGCCTGTGGCACATCTCCCGTCTTCACATACACGTTGTACGTGGTCTCTGAAATTCAAACCATTGCTCTGTAGTAATACATGTATCACTTAGGTTAGAAATAGTACACTTTCAAACCTGTACTGATCAAGCTACTCAGACTCTCTCCATACTTACTTCCCAGTAACTGGGACCCTGATACTAAGAACTCCTTCACAATATGTCCTGATTCCTCATCTGATGCCAACCATCTGAAAACACAATTAACAGGTACATGTAAATATAATTTTAAATCAACTCATTTTATTATGAAAGAAAGCTGTGAAGTTATACATATAAAATGAACATTGATGAAAATCAAATGTGATATGAAAATATGGACTCTGTAACTTCATAGATGTAGATGCAAATTTTTATTATTTTTATTCAATGATATTGCAGTAACTATTGTTCATATATTAACTGAGTAGTAGTTACATGAAAGATTTAATAGAGTAAAAGACTGATTTTGAATCAATCCAACTCTCAAGAAAATTCAGCAACTTCATATGAGTTATTTCCCTTCATTAACACTTACGAGCTACAGTCGATGCTGACATCATATTTTGGTTTATCTGCCCGCTTGATGACAACTTTTTCTAGGTACCAGCCTGCCCCTAAACCCTTCCCATCATGCCCTACTTCTATTTTCTTTATTTTCTCCAAGGTCACAGCCTCAATTTCAAAAATATCACACTGAAAGAGAAAATTCAGAACACTGTAAGAAGTTGATCTTGCTCAGTAAAAAAATCATACAAACAGCAAAATAACACAAAAGTCAAACAAAAAGTGGCAACTTGTGAATGAAAGCATTTTAAATACAAATGTTACTGACATAAATCTATAAATCCCCATACCTGTCCTTTCTCAAACTTGTTAATGTTAGTGGAGGAATGTGTCAGCCATCGTCTTCCTGTGTCTCCAAGTTCCCCAAAAATACAAATAAACACATTGGCATCTGTCCCTGCCCTGGACTTCTTCCCTGTGTAAACCTCTAGTGTGTATTTAACCACTGAAAACACAAAATAATCTTATTATTCCAATGTTCATTGGTTGAATTATAAAATCTTGAATAAATTATAAAAACATATTAAATATTCTATCAATATTTATTATTGCTTCATAAAAATGTTGGCATATGAATATATTGCTATCATTTTGCAGAGTAAAATTGTTAAAACATTGTAATGCATAAAGTAATTTTAATATATAAAAGCAGAACTTGACAGTATTATTTTTTAAATCTTGACCCCCTATTGTTGTTGGGGGGTAGACTTACATGCTAGAGGTTTTTTGATGAGGGGTCCCTCGGCTGGCATCTCCCTGACGGTGGAGTGGTCTCCCTCGTCCACGGCCAGCCACTTGCCACACTTAAAGATGTACCTCTCCTTACTGGCAATGTTCTCCATCTCAATCTACAACAAAACGCAGGGCCATAAATGATAGAAATTGATAGACTAATGATGAATTTATTGTCAGTGAAAACTTAGTAAAGACATGTATTGCTTCTCATAGAAAATATACAAGGCACTCCTCTGATGTTAAAATGTAAAATATATTCATGTGAGTATGAGGGTTGTCACTGTCTTTGATTGATCTACGCTAGACCGAAAACTCTTCTTAATTATCTGTCCCACATACATTACTGACACTGAACCATCTTAAACCTCTGATCATCTCTATTATAAACATGCAGTGGCTTGTGATCATGATTCAAGATATTTAAGTTTTAGTGAATCATAAGAAAAAGAAATAACACTGACCTTCACAAAGGTACTAAGTGAAAATATTTTGTTATAACAAAGTGCACAATTATTTCAAACTGCAGATAACATATGACTGTGTACTTGGAACAAATCATAACAAATACACTGCTAGCCATCATTAAGATGCAAAAAAGTGACATGATCAATTTGTTTTAATTTCTTCATAAACAACAGACACAAAAGAAGTTGTGATGAAAAATTATACAAGTAAATGTATATTAAGAGAAAAGCAACAAACATGAACACTTTAAAAACAATGGTACAAAGACAAATTTGAACCTATATGAAAAAGATATATACCACAATTCTACTGGCAAATAATGTATTGAATATTTTATGCAATAGTAAAAAAAAAATTGAGAAGAAGAAGCCAAGTTAAAACTTTTTGTAAATGATGAAATTTCTTTCTAAATATGTAAATTTCCACAGAGAACATGAAATATTTATTCTTCAAAAGTATAGTACATAAGAAACTAAGATTCAACATCTTAAAATTTCATCTCAAGCCAAAGGAATAAAACTCTGAAAAGCAAGATGTACAAGAACATTTTTATTACAGTTTAGGACTAGGTAATGTCTACTTTACAGTCTTCACGAAAACTTTTCAAGCTAACTGGCCAATCGGACCAGTGAACTTTCAAAATTTACTAGCCCACCAAAATTTTTACTGGCCCCGTACTTAAAAAATAAAATAAATACATTTTCATAACTGTAAATTTATACATGTTTACGTACTTCAACTTTTGTAATGCCGCCATTTTTCACCCTTTGACGCGTTTCGGTAAGTTGTTCGTTGGAACTTTGCACATTTTACGTACTAGTTAATATTAGTTATGTAGACACTTAGAGGTGTAATACGGAAATATGTGGGGTCCTTGAAAAAATCCATATTGGGCGAGGCGTAAACACATGTTTGTTCTTTTTATTTTACATATCAATGAAATTAAGCAAGTCAGTTGAAATAAATTTTGACTGTGTATGATTTTTATACTCAACAAGCCCATCGGACTTCTTGAATTTTGATTTTCACTGACCCGACATCAAAATTCACTGGCCTCGGTCTTCGGACCATTGAGTTTTCGTGAAGACTGCTTTATTTAAATCCAGGAGGAGGTTTGATTAAAAGGGACTTTTTCTAAAATAAGACTTGTCAATTTATACCATGCCTCATAAACAAAACTGATAACAAGATATAAAGCAAAACACACAAAGCTATGATGCATTTACAGTCTGTATCTCTGTTATATGTACATTTACATGCCTCTTATATATACTTACTTCTGTAGGTAATTTCTAAGTTGATAGATTGGTAAATCAGTAAAGTTTGGAGTTGTATATGCATTGTACTGGTATTTAAGCAAAACACAGACTTTTGATAGTGCTTTAAGTAATTCAGCAGATATACCCACACAGTGTCACACATGCAAATTTTGTGCATTTATATGTATCTTAATAAATATATACTTCTTTTAAAATTAAGGTCGACTTTAGTAATGCAGAAAATAAAAGTATATGTGCAATTTTGATTAATTTGATTTCACTCCATATGTAATTTTTATCCACAGTTTTGCTAAATGTTGCTTTTGACATCAAGTTTCAGTATGTGATTTACCTGGTCTAGTTTCCATCCTGACATCAGACGCGTGTCGTCGTGGAACACCCTCACTTTGTACGGTTTGCCGACGTCAGACACGTGTATATCAAACTCGTCAGTGTTCCCCTGCTCAAACACATCACTCTTATTGTCCAGCTCCACCTCGTCTGTTTTACCCTTGGTACCGTACAGACAGAAAAACACGCGAGCGTCCGTCCCAGACAAACTCTCATCACTGGTCTTAACCCACAGGTGCCAATGGACTCCTACAGAAACAATGCAACTTGCATTACATGAATCAATATTTCTTTTAAAAATTTTCTTTTAGAGACATATAATTTCATAAGAGACAATATCAACAAATCCATAATACTGTGAAATCACTAATTTTGTGGAGGTTTAGTTTTTGTTGTTTTCAAGGTATGGAGAGACGCACAAATTTATAACCACCACCTAATGTAAAATTCCATAAGGTTTACTACTAAAAAAAAATTTCCAACCACGAAATCAAATCCCCACAAACCAATATTTTTTCCTCAAACCTTGGAAATCTGACCACATGAAAATATGTGATTTTACAGTATTTGAGATATCAGAGTACAAGAAAACAAAGTTCTACTGTACTCTTACTTTTTTCTTTCTTCTGCCTCATTGCCTTCTGTTCAAACAGTGTCCTCTGAATCTGCCCATCCTCGCTGTCAACGGCCAGCCATTGTTTACATGGGAAGACCTGTTCTATGCCGGTGGTGGGGCAGTACACAATGATCTGTTCCAGGTACCACCCCGCCCCCACTCCACTATTATCGTGACCCACCTCCAAACTCTGGACAGGACTCACCAGGGCCTGGAGGTTAATGTTGAAGATCTCTGACCTGTCTCTCTCAAAGCTTCCATTATCTAGCCAGATTTTACCAGTGGATTCCTTGTTGGGTCCCCCATTCATCATGATGAAAACCCTGGCATTGGTTCCAGCATTCTTCTTATCACCCGTAGAGACAGTGATTACATATGGTACCCCTGTAAATAGATAATGTGTTTTCAAATATTCTGGACATTGGAAATAGCATTTTTTTCAATGGGATAAGTAAAGTAACTTCAGGTAGTCTTTTTAATTTGCAAATTCAAAGAACTTAAACAATAAAATCAACAATCAATTAGATTATTAAAAACATGAAAATAAATTCTGAATCTTTCAATTACAACTTGTTTTACTCTCACCAACGTCTAACAATTTTCAGAAATTCACATGAAAATTGCTCAAAAAAGTTTCATTAGAAATTTTTCTCCACACTGACCTCCATAAGAGCTTGTGGCTCCAACCCCTGGAATGAGGTCTCGGAATAAAGCACCGTCATCTTCATCATCGGCAAACCATTTACCGCAGGGGAACTCGTACACTATCATGTTGTCACAGTCATCAATAATTACCTAGAAAATAAACAGGATCTAAAAATTACAAATTCATCTAAAATTAATTGAACTTGAAATAGTTCAGTCTTGAGTAAACTGTCTTCATAACAACTTCCTGCACCTGACTAGTAACCCCCAATCTCTTCCCAATTTCATTGTCAACCTACAAACAAAGGTTTATCCTAATTCTTAGAATATTTATAAAGTTATGGAACCAACAAGGATTTTTGCTTTGACACTATGCAATCCTGGAATATTGTTTCAAGCATGTCCTTGGTTTTAAATGTTTTTGTGGTTTTAAGTTCAGGCCCAGACAATATAATTGTTGAACTTCTGACCCCTGATATTGACCTTGTCCAATGACTGGTTCAGGGTCGTATCTTACTCTCTTGTCATATGCAACTTAGAGTCATGTATGATGTGTCTATTACTCTTCACTGCTCTGCTTTGGTGGATCTACAGTCGTAAAGTCAAAATATTTCCTCTATACTTAATAAAACTTTGTAAGAGATAGATGAGTTAAGGTAATTACTAATTCAAAGTGAGTTACATATAGATTAAAATTTTGGTGTATATTTGAACCTGCATGGACAGATGCACTAATCTAAACCATCCTTAAAATTTCAGCAGCTTATTCATATTCATGGGAATTTATAGAGTTATCCAGTCATTAAATCTTATGATTAAGATTTGTAGCTACTGATCCATGCACTGTAGTGCATCAGAGACATACTATTATCTGCATTTAAAACCTCACTCAGATAAAAGTATAAGAATTAAACAGAGGAATACCGAGCACCCCTCACGTCTGAATCAGAGGCTGCTGATGACAAACAGGGCAGATACAGACAGCCCTCAACATACTCACTTAAACTGTTTATGTAAATCCACTTAAGTATAGTTTTTTTTACAGGCTTTATCTAAATTTTAAGCAATTTCGGTAGCCTCTAAGATGCATGGGAGGAGAGATTTAGTCATTACAAATTGGCGGAATTTTTCTGTGCCAGAAAATGCATCTGCAATATTTAATCAATTGCAATGGGTTTTATTCTAATTATTAATTTTTTACATAATTCATTAGTAAATTATTTTACTTAACATTTTAATAAAGTCATTATACTAATTACAGTCTTTGATTTTTTTTGTTTATATTTCAAGCTTTGTGATTTAGGTTGAAATTAAAACAAGAGACAAACTTATTTTTGAAATTGAAGCACAAAAGTAAATGAATGTTAGTTATTGAATTTGTATTATATATAACATAAAAATTTATGTTCCTAATCTGGCCACAGTCATGGCAAAAATCTTTCCATTTATTATGTCAGCACTTTTAAACCTTGACAATTTAAAATAAAACAAAATCATGTTAACTTTGCATGCACATGCACTGCATCAAAGAAGCCCAACATTAATTTACTTTTTAAAAATGGAAAACGTACACGTAGTTAATAAATTGTTAAAAACATATATTTATCAAAACCTGTTGTTTTATGTAGCAATTCACACCAGGTTTTTTTTCCTTCCCTCACAATATAAGCATAGCAGGAATCAAGAGATAAATGTTCTTTTCATTACTGATAACAAGTGTGTTTACATGGGCAATGCAATGCTTCTTTCTGATGGCAAAATAACTCCCCCGTAAGATGGGAGGAAAATACAACTACACTGGTCATCAATCAAGTGTGTCATTCACCTGCACAGATGCTAGAATAAAAACTATTTCGCAATTTTACTTCCACTTAGCTGGATTCAGAAATGTATAAACAATTTTCTCTTTCATGCCATTTCATTTCTAAGAATACAAAGAAAGTGAGTTTTAGATCCGGTGGAAAATTCATTTTAAATTGAGAACAGTCTGTGTTGACTAAATGTTATAATTATTTTGCTGAAATTTTTCTTTGGATTTCACACACAATTCAATTTTATGGACGAAAAATTTAACAAAAATCTTTCATGAAATGCAGCATATATTGGTAATCTTGTGGTTTGGTCTATCTGTGGGAACAAAGCAGGTATGGTCAATAACAAATGCCATTGGTGAAGACTGTGTGGTCAGTTTGACCATACCCAGGGACAGCATCAGAAGTAGCTGTAATCAAGATGAGGGAACTCTCAGGAAGATGCAAGGTCTAGAAGCCAAACTTCAGCGGTTGTACACTACAGTGCGAGGGTTGGAGGTTCGATTACCTCGTATTGTATCTCAACAGACCAGGAATCAAGAAACAATGGAAAGATTGGAATTTAATTTGGCCCAGTCAGCATCATATGTCAAAAAGATTGAGGACAAAGTTCTACATCTGGAATCCAAACTGCCACAGACAGCAGGGGGACAAACGGTCGTCCCCCAGCGGTCCAATTCTCTGGACTCCCTGTTGGATCCGGTCCGTCCACTCGTAATGAATGAGCTGGAAAGTTTCAAAGATGATTGGATGAGGAACCTTGTGGACAATTTAGTTCCTGCAATTTTAACTCCAGACAACAAATTAGGTGTGGATTTTATGAACAAACTTATTCAAACTTTAAAGGTACAAATGAAAGCTGATAATATTGGTCCATCAGAAATAGTTGAATCCTCCAGTGACATTGAAGATGATGAAACAAAAAATGACACTAAAGAGGACGATTTTATAAATGAATTCATGATTGTAACAAAACCAACAAAAATGCCCGAGACCTCATCTAAAACTTCTTGGAATACAAATGCTCTAGACATGCTGGCTCGAACATTGAAAAATGTTAGCTTTAATCCAAATAAACCGGCAAAAACCATATATAATGTCTCTGAAATTGACAGTGGAAATTCCTCTAATCTTTCCCCTGCTCTGAGTGGAAAAAATGTTTTAAGATTGTTATCTTTTGTTAAAAGAGAAGTTTCAAAAGAGATGAATCTGAGGGTCAATGAAATTGATGATAAATACCAAAATGTAAGCGAAATTTTATTTGGAAGGACACAGTCTTTAGAAGAAAGAATTTCAAATTTCCAAGAAAAATATCAAATTCAACAAGGAACTATGGAGAAAAATATTACAGACCTCAGGGAAGAGTTAAATATCCTGGAAAACCAAGTTGAACAGTCAGTTAAAGATCTACCACAAGCAACAGAAAATCATGTGAATTCAAAACTTGATTTGAAAATTTTGTCTTTACAAAAAGCAATTTCGCAAAAATTCCAGAGTGAAATCTTGCAAATAGAAAATAAAATCTTTTCTCAGAGCAAAAGGCTGAACGCCACATTTAGATTTGTAAACATCTTCCCAGAATCTCTAGCCAAATATCAGAATCAGAGTCAAACAGAACTCGGACAAATTCAACAAAAGGTGGCAGAACTGAGTCTTAAACTAAAGACTTGTAACAATGATGGCAGTGATGTGCTGAAAGAGAGGCTACGATACTTAGAAGAGGAAATCCAGGGGGTTGCTGATTCCCAGTTATTCATGGAACAAGGCATTGATAATTTCAAATCTGGGTTCACTGTAAACTTTAGAAATGCCCAAAATGAAATTCAGAATTTGAAAAGAGATTTACAAGCTGTAGAATATGAAATTGGTGGAATTGACCTGCTTAAAGTCTCGTTGGGAAACCAGGACATGGTTCTCAATACCACAACTGATAAAGTCAACACATTTGAGAGCAAACTCAATGACATACAGAAGATTTTCTCAGAATTTACAGCTGAAGTAATGAGTGAAAACCAGTGGGTTCCCTACAACTTTACTTCCCACTCACCGATTCGAAATGACTGCGGTGGAGGCAAAAAATACATCAGGAAAAGTTTCTTTGGGTCTGCTGTGGTCAAGTTTGTTGGGGTGCAGTTGTGTACAAACACTAGGTATAAAATATTTCTAGGGCCCAGTAAGGGAGGGGAATTCTACGACATCGGAGATAAAGCTGGGAGAGGGGAGGACCACTGTCAGTTTGTGGGGGCCACCGTTCCAGACAGCAACGCGACGTACAAGGTGGACAAGAAATTAGTCTTCTTCACAGTGAATGGTAAGTACAGAGATAATTCAGACTGAGTTATACTCAACAGAGCATGCATGAAACTGCCACAGTTTTAATTGTTTCAATATTACCACTATTATTGACATTCAACATTCCTAAAACAATGAAGATCTCAAGCACACCAAACCCAGAGCTTGCTTTCAGAACCAATTCAAAATAACTGATCTGGAATTGCCATCTTGTAATGCCTAATCCAACTGATTTAAAAACATTAAAAATCTACTTAAATTTTGCATGTGAAATTCTGAAAATTCCTACATGCTGCTGCTAGTTAAGTTTCAGTATATCCTAATTTATTTTTTGTTAGGATACACAAGAGAGCACTGGAATGAATTGCCACAGTTTGGGAAGATATCAACTCTGCAGCCCACTTCTGCCTTCTACGAATGTGGTATATCAATACCTTAGTTATACTGAAAACTTTACAATTACATAGTTTATAAACAATGCAATGAAAAGTGGTGAATTCTGCCAGGAAAACAAGAGGGCCCAGGATTATCATTAATTTTTTTGAGCAAGATTATACCAATTTCTTGGGACATGCATTTTTTATACAAATGTTTTACATACCGTATATTATATGATGAATGTTGGTGCTACCTTGTAATCATTATACATATATTTTTTTGTTGGTTACCAGTCTTTATTTTTGTTGTTGTTGCTTTTCTTGAACTACATTTTTCTGTGTTTGTGTAAACTATATTTCATACTTTTTCTAATAAACCTTTATTTGTGGAGTATATCTGCAAAAGATTATATGTGTACACTTATAATATCAAATGTAATACAGGAAACATTGATTTGAACCAATTCTTTCCTAAGATGATGGCAATATCAGCACTATTCATCTAAACTGGTGGTTTGTAATCAGATTCAAATCAAAGGTTAACTGTTTCACAGTATTACTGTATAGCGGGTTATTTTAGCATGGTGTTAATTTTGGCTTATTTGGCATTTTGATGGTAGCCCGCTAAAATTTTAATCGCTAAAATATTCAGTACTCTTCTTAATCTTCATCTGCAAAGAGCTGAAACCTGATGTCCGCTCAAATAAAATTCGCCAAAATTATTGGCATACCTTTGAGCAGGAAAAATGCCAAATTTTACACCCGCCAACAAAATCCCCTATACAGTATGAATACAGATAGGTCTCCTCTCCTCCTGTCCAATGCTATCCAGCCCTTCACTAACCTTATCCAGGTACCAGCCAGGCCCAAAGCCTGTGTTGTCATGTCCGATTCTTAACCTTGTAATACGACCTAGACATGGGCACTTCACCGTAAACTCATCCTTGCTGCAAAAGAGAAAACAGTGGTTTTCTTCTAAATGCTTCAATAGCCAAATACAGAGAGAGACTGTACAGAAGGAAAAGATTTGTTTTTAAAATAAACTTTAAACTTCATTACTTTGTAAAATATTGTGCAGTTAAGACAAATCACTAAACTCACCAGTTTCTTTCAAAATTGTTTTTGGCATTGTCCAGTTTGATCTCTCCTGATTCGCCATTTTCTCCAAATATATTGATAACGACATTAGCGTCGGTACCCGCCCCCTTCTTATCACCCGTGTACACTGTTACCTTGTATTTGCTGTCTGTTTATGAAAAAAATAATTCAGAAAAATATAAATGGCTAAATTTAATAAAATGTGAAAGATGGTAGGAACTATCCCTCTCTTCCAAATCTTCATTCACAAATCTTGACAATGAACAGTCCTTTTACTTTCTACATGTATCCTTACAGGGTTATACTCCTGTCTATAAATCTACCTTTTCTGATAGCGAATGGATCCTTGCTACCGATGAGGTATCTGGAAATGGCCCCATCCCCCTCATCTCTGGCAAGCCACATACCACAGGGAAAGTAATACTTCCATTTAGTGTGATTTAAATCTGTTATCACAACCTAGGGAACAAAAAGGCATATCTGTTTATATGGTACATGACTACATGTATCACTTTCACCAAAGTTTTTACCTTTTTTGTGAATTTTGCATATCTACTACCCATCCAAAAGAATTCTTTTTCAAACTTAAGTACATATGCAAAAAGGGCTAAAAATTAAGCGATTAAAAAAAATACATAAAAAAACATGATCACAAAAAAACCTTTTAACTACATACAATGTTGACCCCTTTGTCCCCATTGGCAGTGGACAAATTCATAATGGGACAGAGTTATCTCTCTTTTCACATTATTATTTTTGCTTGGAGCAAAATAATTCAGATATACAGATTATATGTCTCATTGAATGAAACTGCTCACTCACCCTCTCTAAGTACCAGCCAGCACCCAGCCCTGTATTGTCATGTTCAATTTTAATTTTCTTCATAGGGCCCACACAGTTAGCTCTAACTTTGAAAGTGTCACTGGAATTTTGCCTGAAGTTGGTCCGTGTGAAATCTTTGAGGTGAATTTTGGGAGTGACCCCTGACCGACCCTCAATGGTGATATATACATTGGCATTTGTGGCTGCTCCTTTCTTATCTCCTGTCACCGTGACAATCTCATAGTCTGAAAATTATAAGAATATCTATATTTAAGATGTTTTCTTTTGAATTTACTAATATTTTATCTAGGATTTTAATCAAAGATGCTGTAAGACAACTCATAATGCTTTAGCAATTATATTTGTATTTTAGCTAGTGATTATTTAGTTTTTATGAACAGATATTTGAGGGTTTTTTTCATTCGTACCAGCAATTATCAAATGAGTACACATCGAGATGAAAGGTGGCATACTGTATAAAATCAGAATCTGTACAAATATACTATCTTATTATTTTTCACAAATATATAGGAAAATATTTTCCCCATAAAATTAATTTTTTTGACAAATGTCTCCTTGATAAAAGAATATGTCAATTCTGGATGTCATAAGAGTAATCTCCCTTTAAAACACAATATTGACCTGTTTTAGAGGAGATATTTGGGAATAACTCCCTTGATGTCTGTTGGTCCACATGATGCAGAGACAGCCAATTATTACAAACAAATGTCCAGCTTTTCTTCCTCTTAACATTGGTGATTTCTACTTCCTGTAGGAACCATGCTTGCTCCTTCTGTATGCCATCAGTCTACAACACAAAATGAACTTGCAATACTGATGTCCACCATTGATGAAATTTTCAGATACTTTCTAAATCCTGAATATTCCTCTTTCAAATTCATTGAAATTTCTTTTGTGCCTAGACATGGCTGAACTTCTTTTTTTTTTTATTATTTTCATGGGATATCTAAAATTTAATGATTCCTCTTTGGAAGGAATACAGTGGATTTGTAATATTTGAACAGAATTCATAGTTTGGAGCATTTAATTTTTTTAATACACAAATCTCCCAAAAATGTGTTTTCATAAAAATATAATGCATAAAAATTCTGAGCAGGCTAATGCATGTTCACTAAAATAATAACCCTGACCTACATTTGAGCTAAAAATGCTAAATTTATTACATAAAGAACATGTATTGTATAAAGAACATAATTAAAAGATGTTCCACTTTGAAATTTGATATCTATTTGGTATAAACTATCAATAAATTAAGAACTTGAAAAGTGAATTTTTAAAATTTACTGTATATAACTGCTAAACATTTACCTCAATAACTATTGACTTGATATCTCCAATTTCAGGACCTCTGATCTTAAACAGATGAGTGCTGCCTTTGGCAAATCGGAAGGCTACTTTGCTGTTCTTTTTGACTGAGCCAGCTTTCTTAGTCAGTCTGGTTTTTGGAATTTTACCCCTAAGACCCTTCACTGTCAGAAAAACCTAAAACAAAAACCACATTCTGGTAACACTCCCATGCAGTGTATGTTTTCTCAAGAGCATGCCAGCATTAAAACAATATTGAATCTATATTTAAAAAAAGAATATTTGAAAGCAATCTTAATTATCAAGAATATCATCTACAGAAGACAGACTTAACAGAAAACATTTTTTTTAAAATTCCCTTAGAATTTCAACATTTAATTGCTACATTAACGAACATTCATCCAACGTTAAATAAATATTTGCATAGTGCATAAATGCATGTATTTTAAGTCGTTTCATATTCCTACTCCAATATCCTTGAAATATTTCCATTTTATTGACTTAAAATATTAAAAGGGTACACTTTCCACTACCGTGTTTGTAAAAACTGCTGACAAATTTGTCAAGAATTGTAAATTATAAGAATGAATTTGTAGAAATGATTGAGACCTTGGCGTCTGTGCCTGCGTTGTTTTTATCTGCGGTTATAACAGCTACTTTATAAAGCACATCTTCCTCATGCTTCTTCTTACTTCTGACTGTCGAGGAAACACTTGAATGTGCTGACTGTGGCCGTTTCTGGAATTAAATCATTTATAAGTAATATAAGTAGTATTTTCTTCAAAGTTTCTATTAAATTTTTTCCCTTTTAATGTTCCATAAATCTCACTTGTTTCAGGCATGTTAAAATTTTTTATGGATTTTCAAAAGTCGATATTTCTCTCAAAGTACTCATAAAGGTGAGGATCGTTCATAGAATGGTAAGGGGGGAGGGGCATATTGGACCGGATGTCATGGTTACGACTGTAACACATAAAGGCATGCATTACTTCATCTAGCTTATTCATTTTTATGAAATAAATTTTTTTATGGATTTTCAAAAGTCAACACTTACCCTTCTATGAATCATTTGTATCTGTCCGAATCTTCTCTCAAAGTACTCATAAAGGTGAGGGTCAGTGGTCATAGCAGCGGTGTTGAAGCACCCAGTTATTTGTCGCGAGTGTTGGAATCACAATTTTTTTAAGCTCAGGTTGAAATTTATAGATAAATATATTTTTTCACTAAAAAAAAGTGAAAAAATAAGATAATGAATTTATTTATGGTCAATTAATATATTTCCTATAATGAAGTTTTCAAGATATAACATTTTGAATGCATTCAATTCAAGACTACATTACACAATTAAAATGTAAACAATCTAAACTGATTTAATAAGAAAGGTAAAGCTGGTCTTTTGGCTGCAAAATAAAGGTACAGATTAATAATAACAGTAACACAAAAATTTGAGAGGAAATATGAAATTACACAGTACTAAACAAGTGCTTAACAGATAATTATTTTATATTCAGAACAGAGAGTTTCAAAAAGATTGACTTCAAAGGATAGAAGCCAAGAAATATTCGCTATTCCAAATAAAATTTTAGTGAAAACACCCACATATGTATGTGACATAATCAATTATTTTTTGTCCCAAATATTTGATTTTGTGAACAAATTTCTTTGTTGTCAGTGAATTGAAATAGTAAAATTTTACTGTTATCACCTCCACATTTCATCCTACCTCTTGTAAAAGCAGTGATAATAAAAAGTGACCTGGTTATTTCCTACTCCACACAAACTTACACAAAAAGGGTGTTTGTCTGTCCTCTGTAGGTCTAATGGTTACTTTTTGGTAACTTCTGGGCATAGTCACTCGTGGTTCATGATAACTCGGCCCCCTCCATGGATCAGAAAAATTTCCATTTGTAATGCGCCTTGCTGGAGCTGAAAATAATGGAAAACAATATCATTCATTGTAGCCGAAAAAAGTGCTTGCCAAAACATTTCAAAAACTGAATACTATAGTAAATACAAAATGTCAAATTCTAACCATTGCAAATACTGTGAAATCACAAATTTTCGTGGGGGTTTGATTTTCGTTGTTTTTGAGGTATGACGAGACCCATGAATTCATGTCCTACTCGAAATGTAAAATGTTACATACATAAGTACTCATTAATTCTTGATCCATGAAATCAAATCCCCACGAACCAAGAGATTTTCCTCAAACAACGAAAATTTGACCCCACGAAAATATGTTATTTTACAGTAATTAAAAACCAAAAGTCATCTTTAAATTTATGTTTACATGCCCTCACTGGACTCGGATTAAGATATTGGGTTGGACAGGTAGGGGGAAAATGTTTATTCAAAAACACATCCGTAAATTGTTAAGATAGTTATTAATGCGGTGAGAAAACTTGGGAATGAATAAACAAAAAAAAATTTCTGGAGGTTATAAAAGTTTACAGTCGGAGCATTTTAATCAGTTGGTCAGGAGAGGGCAATTAAACAATTTCTTAAAGAAGGCCTAATTAATTACATTTGTGTTTATTGATTACAAGTATAGAAAAATATCTACATGTGCCAATTAATTAATACAATCAATGTATGTAAAATCAAATGAATTAAGGGTGAGTGGAAGTGAGGGGTGAATCCTGTTTTTCTATATATCCCCATAAACAAGAAAATCAACAGTTTGTAGTTGTTTCTGATTTAATCAGTAAAAATATATGACTTTTTTCATGCAATCTGAAAAAAGACACTCAACATATATGTTCTGGAACTTAATCAACCAATTCTACTCTGCTGGGAGTAATCAAGAAAATTACTTTATTTTTGGCTGTCATTCAAATTATTTAAGCATTATTAGCATTTCCCCCATAAGGGTGAGATCCAGGAATCTATTACGTAACCAACCGTTTCCTGGTAAATAAAGCTTTGTTACCTGAGTAAGGTCTTTCTCTGGGTTTTCCCACTGCGTAAGGAGGTTTGGGCCCATATCTAATGTGACTGCTTAGTGGCGCATCAGGGCCTGCCATGCACATTCTCACAGCCTCAGAATTTGTAAAAGGTTGCTGCATTTTTGACTTATTTGCTTTCCTGTAAGAAAATACTCCTTGTAATTGCAATTATGTTTATCTAAGTCTGTCATCTTTAGTCAAGGTATCTCTTATAATCATTAATTATTCATTGAATTATCAACATTTAAAGTAACCAATAAAATTTTGAAAATGATCCCAGTATGCAACAGTTGTTACTCTAGGATATAAATTGTCTTTTACCATCAGTTCATATCTATTCAGTCTGTTAATGTGTATTATTGAAAAAAATTAATACAGTTTAGCTTTTATGTTCACTGATGCAAATCTGTGTTAAATATTGATTTTTCCATCACCTGTGTCATATCTAAATTTAGACAAAATTTTTGCAATTAAATCTTAGGATCCCTCTTATGATAATAAAGTCTTCAGGCAAATCTTAGGACAATTTTTAAATCTTAAAAATTTTAGACTTAACAGAAGTTAAGAAATCTCAAGTTGAATTTATTTCTTTCCCAAAAATAAAATGTTTCTTCACCTTTTCTGCAGTTTCATTTTTTGTCATCTTTCTTGTACAAAAAGTATTATTAACTTATGTTGGTTGTATGTTCGTTTGCCCTAAAATTTGTTCACCCATGGCGCCATTTGCCTTAATTCCTGTTTGCCCAGAGTGCGCTTGCCCTAAGACTTGTTCGCACAGGGTCTGTTCGCCATATTCAATATATAGAATAAGGATTGAAATTTTTTCAGAGGTAAAACCTTCATCATCCGCTGTTCATTTCCATAATGGACCTATTAACATTTCAGTCCTTTAATTGTTTTCAAAACACAGCGCAATTCGTAAAAAACAACATGTATGTATCCCTCTAATTAACATTGATAATAATCATATTAATCATTCAATTAACTATAATACAAACACTTAGGCCTTCAAAAACATTAGAACAAAATTAGATATTAATTAAGCAGTTAAAACTAAATAAAAATAAATCTTCTTATCAGAATTTGAAAAAAAATATATATCCCAAGTTCGTAAAGAAATTAAACAGAATAAATAATATATATTAATATTTAATTAACTCATATAATTATATATATACAATTATATACATGTATAAGTATTGCGAACGAGATATCGGGCGAACAATATTTTGCGACTCTGCGCGAACGGACTCCTGCGAACAGGTAGATTGGACAAACGAATCTGATACCTTCTAAAATTGATATTAAAACTCCATAAGCTGGCTTAATTTTCTTAACTATTCACAGGTTTTTCTGACAAGCTTGTTACAAGTACTTACAACAATGTCCATGAACCACTTTTTACAAAATTAAAAAAAAATGCTAAGGATCCCTTTATCTACAGGATGTTGAACTTAACTCTTCAAATGTAACTCATGTTTAATACAGAAGACACTGTCTAGCCAATATTTTAATATGAGAAATGGCTCAATTTTGTACAAATTCTAGCCTGTGATATGTTTTTGTTTGCCGAAGAGGCCTATAAAGATGTGATTGCTACAAAAAAGAACCACGCTGGAAAATATTGAAAAAATGCAAGCTTTCCTTTATGTTTTTACTCATGATTTAAAAAAAGGGGGGGGGGTAAATATACGTGTCGGTTACAGAGCTGATAGACACACGTCTTACATGCAAAATAAAAATATAGACCAGTCTTGAAAAGAGCATGGTTCTAACTACTAAAAAAACAACATTAAATTCTTACTGTAGGTATACTTACCTTTGAAGTAATCGTAGTCCAAAAGGTTTCCTACCGTGCCGAATTTGTTTGCATTAGTGAGATTAAAAAAAATTCATGCAAGGTTGTGAACATATATATTTTCCAAAAACATATTAAGTAGTGAAAATAAATACTACCATTTCAGTCAATTGTCTAAAGTATCATACATCATCTTAATCGGCACGTGAAATCATATAATTAAAACACTTAGAAAAATGAGTTTACACTTGTTTTCATCGTTGCCAAACATATCGGAGCATGCGCATTCGAGCAAACCACCTGCAAAATAAGTCTTACACTAATTATTTCGAGTTAATTTTTTTCCTTCCATTTCTGCCTTTCTTTCTTTTATATAAGACTAAGTAATAACTTCACATGAGCCTTGACTTCATGATTCATTTCGACGTATACCTACTTGACAATCAGTGTTTATTTAAAATGAACAATCTCCCCTTGGGATATTACATGAAGAATTGGAGACTAAAATTTGCTTGTGGTGACCTATATATATATATATATGCCTACATGTACTATGCATTTTTTTAATAAGCCTAAACTGATAAATGATAACTATTTTATATTATAATTAACAGTTTTTTTTTTTAAATCATGTTATTTACAAATATGAAATTCTAAATTATTTAGTTATTAATTTCTTTTTAATGAAAATGATCAGCGATGATAAGTTGCAATATTTCCATTTCTATTCGTTTTCTCCAGTGGTAACTCTGAAAGTTAGTGAATTTGATTTCTTGATCATTATTCCGGCATGTACATTTTGCCAAGCGATGCGTCAAAAGCTAAGGAGGCCTAATGTGCATGTAAATCTCGTGCGTCTGTCTGTGTTTGACGGTAAGGAGTACATGTGTAGGCCTACTTGTGAACAGGAACAACCCCCCCCCCCCCCCGATATTCAACCCAGGGGCTTGTTGGAGATTATATTTATTACACTTATTCATCATATGTACCATTTGAAAAAATCGTGAAATCCCCAAAATAATCGTTTCACAAAAAATACCCCACTATACCACGCAGCCATGTTTACATATTTTAAGAGAGAAAGGTATGTCACTCCGGTTTGGTTACGTTGTACCCACACTGGTCTTTCTGTATGGAACGCCATCACTGCCTTATAGCATAAAACTATGCATTCATTATGTCAATCTATCATAACGTGATGTGAACATATCTTATATGTCAATTTTTTATGGGGTGATGTAAAAATATCTTTACATCATGTCAATGCTGCATTACATGAAGTAAACACATTCTTCCATTATGTCAGCACTTTATAACTTGAAGTTTGAAGTTCATTATGTGAAGTGAAAATATGTTTACATTGTGTTA